TTTATTTCTTATAGCTATATTAGTAGAATTTATTATATTTAATATATTATCTAACTTCTTAATATATAGTGTTTTATAACTAGGAAAATTTATTATATAAGTTTAAAGTAGAGTCTTAAGTATATATCTAAGTAGTAGAATAGTATTTTATTAGTTCTATTCTATATTACTAATATAGTTAGACTAGATTCTTACATTAAGTTCTTAATATTTATCTCTCTTTATCTGCAATAAATTCTATTGCTATTATTTGCGTTATTTCTTAAACTTCTCTAGAGGGCATTTGTCTTAACTTCTATAACTATACTCTATATATCTCTATTTACTACATAAGAAACACTAAAAGAAGTCTAGATCTCTCTAGATGTTATTTCTTAGTTCTAGGAGATTTCCTAGAGCTAGTAATAATAGGACTTCTTTTCTAGAATTATTATTATTATAGAAGTTTATGTAATTTCCTTCTTCTATTTATTAATTTATATTCTAGTTATTATAACTAGACCTTCTATATTGTCTGTATAGTCTAGTTAATTTAGAGGAGTTATTTTATGCAACTTAGAAAGCTTCTAACTATTTAATTAACTTATATATCTTTTTATCTCTCTTTACTTATTGTTCTGCTTATTATTTATTCTATTTTATTTAGTAGTTTATTAATGCCTATATTAAGTCTATACTAACAGCTAGAATTAGTTCTCTATACTATCTTGCAATCTTCTTTAAAGTAGATAACTAATAATTATATAAAATAATCTTAAGGTCTGCTATTATTAAACTTTTTGCTGCTATTCTCTGCGTCTATTTATCTAAAGTAAATAAGTAATTAAATACTTATTTTTATAACTTACTATTTATTTCTCTATTAGCTAAATAAGTAATAAAGTTTATAAGTAAAATTTATTTTATATTTATCTTTACCTTTAATGCTAGGTTTTCTGCTCTTTAAATATATACTATTAATAATTTACTTTTTTCTTTAGCAAAACAGAAAACCTCTTATCTTATTGCAACTTCTATATATAAGTCTAGGTTAGAAAACTTTTTAATAAACTTAGCTAAAAGAACATTCTATCTTTATTCTTTATAGTTTAAATCTTTATACTATACTACTACTCTCTCTTTTAACTTATAAGTAAAGTATACTTTTACTAAAGTTTCTATATATTCTAGTACTCTTACTAGAGCTGCTATAGTATTATAGTAGTTAATATAATTTTATGCTAGTCTATTCTTAGAGTATTTAGCAAAAGAAATTCTACCTATACTTTCTATTAAATAAAAACATAAAGTATTTATAGTTTCTATAGATAAAGATAATAACTATCTTTCTCACTTAATTAATAGTAGTAAAAATATTAGTAAGACTTCTTCTAATAAATATATTAAGCTAGAGAAAAGGTCTTTTGTAAAAATCTATATTAAAGAATAGTCAGAACTTAAGTCTAACTTTAATAATTCTATATTTAACTAGCGTAATATAGAAAAGAGTTATATCTTAAAGTCTTTTAAATATTTCTAAGTAGACATTTATCTTTATTAAATAAAAGAGAATTAAATTAAAGGTGTCTTCTAAGAAGAGTTAAAACAACCTAAATAAGTCTATCTAGAGCTAGTAGATAGTATGCAAACTAAAAGAAGTTATAGAATAGAAATAATATTACTATAATTCTTAGAATTATAATAGTCTCTATTATATCTATATTAATATAGGCAAAGTAGGTTTATTATTAGTTAGGTTGTCTGTCTTATTTAGTTAAGAAGAAGAAAAATCTAAGTATAAGTTTTTTAAAAGAATAAAGGTTAAAAAAACTATACTTATTTATCTTCCTAATTACTATTTCCTAGAATTACTAACTATTCTTTTCTATCTCTATTTAATTTACTAACTTCTTTCTAAGTTCTATTATAATTAAGTCTATTTTATTACTTACTAAATTAAACACTAATTAAATATTTCTAACTAGTTAAAGGTAGAGTAACTATAACGCAAAGTAGTCTATATACTTATTAGTTAAGTAGGGTTTTTTTGTGCATAAAAACTATTGCTTCTAGTTCTAGAGTAGGTCTATAAAGAGGTCTCTAGAGCTATAAGTTTAAACTCTAGTTTGTTAGTGTTTAGTAGCTCTTCTAACTGCCCCTCTAGATTTATAACTTTAGTGCTTATTGCTAGAACTCTAGCAGTTGCAACTACTAACTAGAATTCTAGCAGCTATAACTATTTATACTAGCAATATATAAATAATTGCAATTAAATAGAATAGTAATTTATTCTCTCTAAACTCTTTATTATAATTAATTCCTCTTGTTCTTATAAATTTATTATATATTATTTATTATATCTCTTATATATTTATATATATTATATAAATTATATATTCTATATATTTTGTTACTTTATTTATTTATTAACTTTATATCTAAAGTTATTTAACAGCTTTAATAAGCCTAAGTCTTTAATAGTAATAGCTGCTATACTATTTCTTTATATTTATTATAGCTCTTAAATTATCCTTAAAGTTAAATAAAGTAGTATTTTATTACAGTATATCTAGCTATCATCTATATATTTTCTTAGATTCTATAGTTTATTTAGTATTAATAGTTTATTTTAACTATTATTTTCTCTAACTTTAAAGAGTGTTTATAAACTTTATTTTAAACTAAGAGTTCTAGTTATATATCTGCAAATATCTAATTCTTATTTTAATTAGTTTCTAGTTCTAGTTTGTCTTAGTAGTATTATTCCTAGCAGTCTTCTATTAAGACTATTTTTGCCTAATTTCTCTTACATTCTGCAGTATATATAATTCTTTAGTATTCTAATTCTATAGTCTTATATTTCTATATATTATCTCTACGCTTTAAGTCTATTTATATTCTTTTGTAATTTTAATTCTATAGTCTTATAATTCTATATATTAACTCTAGAAGTCTATTCTTACGTTTAAAGTCTTATATATATAAAAAGTCCTAGTTTCTCTTATTATAATTCTAACTCTATAGTTTTAAAATTCTATATTATTTATAATTTCCCTTATCTTTCCTCTTCTGTTCTTAATTCTATAGTTTTAAGGTTCTAGAGATAATCTATCTATATATTTATATTAACTAAGTTTTAAGTATTTATAAATTAATTCTATTTAATTTGCTATTTCTTAATTATTTTATTATAAGTCTAGTTTCTATTTATTCTTATTATATTATATATATCTTTATTTTTGCTTCTATTAATTTATATATATTAATATATATATACATACTATTTATTCTAGGGGTTTACGTTTGTTTATAGTATTTCTTAACTTTATCTATATTAAGTAGCAGTAATAAAGCAATTAACAACAAAAAGAAGTCCTAGTCTTATTACTAAAATATAATGCTAGTTAGTAGGCATTAGGTATATTAATGCTTGTCTTCTCTAAGTTTTTATAATTAAGTCCACTCTGTAATTATGCCCCTTATTTTCCTAGGTTATATGACTTGTCCCACTTTTCCCCCTAACACCCTCAAGAATTAGAATCACACTCTAAACGACTAGGACATTCTCTAGTGGCACGGGAATCACGTCGGTTGAATTGCCCGAAATCCTCGTCAGAAAATTTGCGCAGGTCAGAGAGATACCCTGGTCTGCCGTAGCGCGCTTTATTGCGGTCAGGTTCCCACCTCTGGTCTCTTTCACCCTCCTGGCTTGGACACTTTGCGTTGTCGAGACATTGTCGACGGACTACGTCTCTGCTTCCAACTTCCCCGCAGCCCTTCAGCCCCAGACCCGACTGATCCTTGGAGTGGTATTGCATTGAATCATCTTGGGTTGTCAATATCGGCTGTGGGCGGCCTTCTACACTAACTCCGTCTTTTGTTTAGGATGCGCGTCTCGACTCGCTGGTCTCGGCGCCAGAGGGAGGCGACTGCCATCTTCCATTTGCGGAGCCGTTGGAGACACATATACGAGGTTCGTGTAGACTTATCTCTGACTTGTTTAACGGTTGGCCAACACAGCGTTGTTATTGACGGCTGGCTGCGCGACGCACATCCCCTATCAGTCTCTCCGTCAAGATGGTCGATACCTCCGTCCAAACAAAGCGTCAAAGGATCCAAATGTTGCCCAACTGCCATATCGCAGAACCATACAACCCTGAGAATCTCCGTCATCCTTAAATAGTTCTCCGTCTTGGGATCCGCGTCTCTAACCACAGACATCCGTGGAGGCTCGCAAGTTGTAGGCGATGATGATGTTGCTAGTCCCATCACCCTTGCCATGTTCATGGACATGCCAGTCGAAGATGCACGCCAAAACATGGCCTACTTCCGTACTTCCTGCCCCGTAGGAAGTAATAGATGCGCCGTCAGCGGCAAGGGGCGAGGACGGTGTGCCAGCTCAGCGGACCGGGCGTGCAAGCATGTCACGTCGTGCCCCGGCAACACTATCACGATATCCTGAAGCCTTCAGCAGTGAGCACAAATACAGTAATCGCTGCCTTGATGAGGCTTGGCGCCGCACATGGTTGGCTAAAAACGGCAAATTTCTGTCAAAGACTCTTCGTGAGCTGTCCGACCTTCGACTGATCTCCATCCATCTAGATACGCTGCGAGTCGGTATTTTTGTTCTATTCGATTTCTTGGAAGAATATCACGGCCGCACTGCCCAGCTACCACCGAACGTGGATCGCAGCGCTTTACGCCATCGCGAGGCCTCAACCTTTGTGCAAGTGCAGCCATTTGGCGGTGAAGGGAAAAGGGGCTCCGTTTACGTGTAACAACTACGTCGGCAGGAAGTGAGGGGCCGAGACGGCAGCGCTGGTGGAAACGCCTCGACTAGAAATAAATTCAGCATCTAGGCCGATTCGAAGGATCGTCTGAGGGTTTATGCTGTCAAACTGAGGTGCCAGCTACCCTTTCAACGTATGGGTCGACGTAATTTCTGATGCTAAAATATTCAAATCTCCTAGCCTTACTTGTAAAAGATGTGAAGCCTGTCCAAGCCCACCTCCACGGTTACCCTAAGCAATCCAGAACCATATCCTCTCAAGCCAGTTCCTCGGCTTATTCACCTCCCACGTCCCCTCCAAACGATCAATTTCCGCCTTTCCCGACCAAAGATCCATCTCGGCCAAGCTGACGAGCCGCGTCCCCACGACAGACTTGTACCCTAAAAATAGAGCCAAGAAGATGGGAATATCAATGTAGGGCGGCACCAACGTCTTTGCGGAGAATTTACCGGGGAAAAACGCATCAAACCCATTGAACAAGGCAACTGCGAGACAAAACACTAGGGCGAAATACGCGAGAAACGGCTGGAGCGGCGCCTTGTAGGGCAGCATGGCCCTCGAGACGCCCTGTTGGCGCAGGCCGTGATAGAAGCGGAGGTAGGTGTAGCAGACGCTAGCCCAGACGATCAGGGTACTCACGGCGCTGAGGTTGCTGATCCAGAAGAAGACTTCTGCGGAGCGATTGTTCGCGTTCAGGTACACGAGGCAGCTCAACGCCGTCGTGGCAGCAACGCAGCCGTAGGGCACGCCAAACCGCTCCCACTTGAGCACGGAGGGCGCCTTGTCGTCCAACGCGGCGGCGTAGAGCACGCGTGTGGAAGCGTAGAAGAAGGAGTTCCCCGCCGACCAGGCAGACGTCAGGATGACGGCGTTGATGACGGAGGGCAGCGTCCTGATGCCGGCGTTTTGGATGGCAATCACAAAGGGGGACTGCGCGGCGCCAGGGGCAGAATTCGTGATGGCGTTGAGGAGCTCGGGGTCCGCCGACGACACGCACAGGCCGACGAGGAAGACGGACAAGACGTAGAAGACGGCGATGCGCCAGAAGACGCGGCGGATAGCCCTGGGGATGTTGCGGCGTGGGTTCTTCGTCTCGCCCGACGCCACGACCACCATTTCGCTCCCGCCATACGCAAAGGTCGCCTGGACAAAGACCTTGCAGAAGGCGAGGAGGCGGCCCAGCGCCCCGTCCTGGAGGTACGTGTTCATGGGCCCCGGGTGACGCCAGTAGCGGAAGCCGATGGCGCGGCCGGCGGGCGAGCCGCCCAGGGTGATGATGAACATGAGCAGGATGAGGCCGACAATGGTGACGAGCTTGAGGGCGCCAAAGACGAACTCGGCTTCGGCGTAGACACGCACGGGCAGACAATTCACCAGCACCATGGCGGCGAGGAGGGCCGTCATCAGGGCGGCCTTGGGCACGGCGTTGGGCCAGTAGTCGACGACGACGCCGCACACCGTCACCTCAACGGTCACGCCAATGGCAAACTGGTACCAGTAGTTCCAGCCGAGGGTGAAGCCGAGGGCGGCGTCGACGTAGCGCGCGGCGAAGATGGGCACGGCGCCGGGGACGGGAAGCCAGGCGGCCATTTCGCCGAGGCTGTTGATGACGCAGTAAAGGTTGAAGCCCGTCACGGCATAGCATATCAATGCCGACAGGGGACCAGCGAGCGACAGCACTTGGCCGGTGCCGACGAAGAGGCCGGTGCCGATGGCGCCCGAGAGCGCGAGAAACTGCACATGGCGGGACTCGAGCCGTCGGTCGAGCTTGCCGATGTGCTGTTGGCGCCGTCGGAGGGGAGGTTCAGCCTCGGGCAAGGTTTCTGAATGGCCCGGTACTGTCGGGGACGTCGGCTGTATTGGGTCGGCGGGAAGGGCCATGACGGGACCTCTTATTATACAATACTTGGACGGCTGGTGGATGAGGGTACTCGAAGCGTGGCCATGATGGAACCCCCCGCACTGGTGATCTGCAGCTTGTAGTTGCACGGGGCTCGAATTCGGACGAGCTGATGCATGGTTGGAAAGGGGACTGAGTTGGTCCGTGTTGCTGCTGCAGCGCTGCTTGCCTTGTTCCCCGGCGCATCAACACCTGGGCGTGTTTGGCCATGATGAAGCCGTCGACGATGGAAGCTGGTTTGACAGTCTTTGTGTCAGCGAGTCATGGGCCAACAACCGCCGGGTCGAATTTGGCTAAAACATCAACGACGGTCACGTTTGGGTCTCGTTGGTCCCTCCCGATGGCCGACCAAGCCAGCATGGTAGGGACTGTGGTGGTTGGATACATGAACAAGGAACGTCTACTAGTTTCGCACCTTCTGGGTAGGTGATGGATCAAGGGTGCCGATTCGGCCCTCTTTGAAGCCGTATCAGGCCACGGCAATTTTCTTGCCATTGCGTAGGGCTTGGCCTGCTCGAGCTCTCCTGGTGGAATTTCTCTGAATACCGATCCGCTGCATCGCTCCTTTGGTCGTGCATTCGTGCGCCCAGGAAGCAGTACGCAGCGGCTTAGTAATACAGACTGGTCGTGACCGTCAACGTGACTCGCGGCGCGGAGATGGGAATGCGTTGGCCGGAGATGTGCATACACATGTGGAGGTGCGAAAATCTCGCGAGTCAGGCAGGACTCGGGACTCAGCTTGGAATCAAGGCAAAAAAAATAGACAAGAAAACAACCCAATGCGCAAGAACACGTGTGTCCTCCGTGCGCGCGCTGCGCTTTGCAAAACGTGTCGAATTGAGTTTTGGTTTACAGAGTAGTCTACGCCACAACTAGGCTTGGCATTTCTTGTCCAAGTGGCTTTGCGAGTCTGTTCATTGGCTGCGTTCTGCTGACTCATGGGGACGTTCCGATTTATTCCCCTTGTATGGTTTCTGCTCCCGCAAGGCTTCCGCGTCGTCGCCATCAGCCCACTTTCGACATCATGCCAAATCGCCGTTGTGACTACCCTTTTTTTTTCTCCCGCGTGATTTGCAACCTGAGAAGGAATCAGCCGCAAATCTAGCATCTCCGCATCTCCGTTGCTTGCAAAGTTGATTCTATTGCAACAGTCTGCAGCATATATAAAGCCCCTGGGCTTGCTTGCGTTGCGCACTTACAAGATGGTGTCCTCAATGAAGGATTGGAATCGGCCCCCGGCAAGCCAATCACATACTCACTTTTACTAAACCATAGTCCTCTTCCCGTCTTTGTCTTCGTCTTCGTCTTCGTCTTCGTCTTCGTCTCCCTCGACAAAAAATCTGGCTGTATGCGCCCCTCGCTGGTCAGAATGGCCCTCACAGCCCAGCAGATAGCCACGGTCAAATCGACTGTCCCCATCGTCCGGCAGTATGGCAAGACCATCACCGACACCTTCTACAGGAACCTGCTTGGTGCACACCCCGAGCTGAAAAATTACTTTTCTCTCAAGAACCAACAGAGCGGTGCGCAGTCAGCAGCCCTTGCCAACGCCGTCTTTGCCTACGCCTCCCACATTGACGACTTGCCCAAGCTGAGCGACGCCGTCGAGCGCATCGCCCAAAAGCACGCCTCTCTTTTCGTCAAGCCCGACCAGTATCCCGTTGTAGGCAAATACCTGTTGGGCGCCTTTGCAGAGGTTCTGGGGAATGCCTTGACGCCAGAGATTGCCGAGGCTTGGGTCGCCGCCTACGGCCAGCTGGCCGATGTCTTCATCCAGCGGGAGAGGCAGCTCTACAGCGACGCCGGCGAGTGGCAGGGCTGGCGCGAGTTCAGGGTTGCCGCCAAACGAGCCGAGACGGAACACATCATCAGTGTTTATCTAGAGCCTGTTGACGGGAAGCCACTGCCGGCGTTTCGGCCGGGCCAGTACGTGTCGGTGCAGATCCCGCTGCCCGAGCTTGGTGGGCTGTTGCAAAATCGACAGTTTAGCTTGAGCGTTGCTCCCGAGGACAAGATGAAGCAGTATCGTGTGTCTGTCAAGAAGGAAGCCGTGGAGCCTTACACCAGACGGGACCTCTCCGAGGGCAAGGTTTCAGGCATCGTCTGCAACAGGCTACATGACCGGTACGACGTTGGCGACGTGGTCAACGTCAGCCCCCCTCGCGGCGAGTTCTTCTTTGACGACGCTGCCGTGGCGCCCGCTGCTCCTGTTGTCTTGTTGTCGGCCGGTGTGGGTGCCACGCCCTTGGTCTCCATTCTCGACTGGGTTCTAAAGTCGCCCAACGCCTCGAGACGTGTGACCTGGGCGCATGCCGCGAGAAATTCTCACTCTGTTTGCTTCAGCAAGCACATTCGCGATGTTTGCGAATCCAATCGCAACGTCAAGTCTGCCTTGTTCGTCAAGAACATCGCGGACGTTGACGAGCAGGGCCGACATTATGACTTTGCCGGCTCCATGGACATTGACAAGCTTGCAGAAGAGGGCGCCTTGTATTTGGACAACAAGACGACCGAGTATTACACCTGCGGCCCCGAGGAGTGGATGATCAAGATGAGAGAGGCGCTGACGAGCAAGGGGGTGGCTGTGGGCAAGGTGCACCTCGAGGTGTTCAGGACAGGAGACGTCTGAGTGAGTGCAACCGCGTGCATTTTTGGGCGTTTTGGCATTGCATGTAGAATGCACAAGTAGAATACAGGCAAATTATGCATTGTCCCAATGGGTTGACAAAAAAATTGTTTCATTGGCTCTTGTACAGTCACCGTGGCCTGGGTGCGCGTCAAAATACTCCGTACAAAAGTACGTTATGCACGTTATGCGCAAAGTTTATTTGTGACAAATCCTCGCTCGCCCAGTAAGCGCGTCCAGCTCCACCGCCCACCGTGCACCACGCATTCCGAAGCACGACTGGTGACGTCGTCCAAACTCCATGGGCTGGTTCTCCATCCACCTAGTAATCCTGCAAACCAAGTGCAGCATTCATTCGAACCCAAGCCCCTCCGCTACCATGCATTTGACTGCGTAATCGACCTCTCCTCCCAGCATGCCGACGCCATCTGCGGCTGCGCGTCATCCCAGTCACTAGTCCCCGCCAGGAAACATCAGAGAATTCGGCATCCAGCAACTTTCTCTCCCGCGCACATCATGACCAAAGATCCGAGTCGGCCCCAACTGGTCACCCTCCAGAAGCAAAATGTCGGCAGCCGGACGGCGTCCTCCGGCTCGTTCCACGCCGGTGCTCCCATTCCCACGTTGAGCTCGTTCCGCCGATCGTCGTCGACGCACAAATACCATACTTTCCCCGTTCAGTCGCCAAAAACGCCACGAGGGCTTCCTGTGCCCGTCCAGGATGCAATCTCCGAGTCCTCGGGCCAGTCGTCCTCCAGCGGCGAGGGTGACGAGACCCCTCTGCCCGTGCGACAGCTGCTGCTGCTGGCCTTCCTGTCCATGTCGGAGCAAACAGCCCTCAATTCCATCGGCCCCTATCTGCCAGAGATGGTCGCTTCTATGCCCGGTGTGCCCAGCTCCCAGAGCGGGTTATACGTCGGCCTGCTGGCAAGCGCCTTTGCACTCGCCCAACTGTCTACCAATTTCCTGTGGGGGTACGCTTCTGACATCGTGGGTCGCAAACCGGTCCTGATAGCGGGCACCTTCTCTCTCATGGGCTGCTTCTGTGTGTTTGGCCTCTGCAAGGAGTACTGGCAGATGGTGGTTGTACACGCGCTCATGGGCATGCTCAATGGCAACGCGGCCTGTGTTCCAGCCGTCCTGGGCGAAGTTACTGACCGGTCGAATCAGACCAGGGCATTCACCTATTTGCCTGTCATATACTCGCTGGGCAGCATTACCGGTCCCGCGCTGGGGGGTATTCTGGTCAACAAGATGGGGTCAGAATATCCCTATCTCGGGCCCAACCTTGTCGGTGCAGCGATGCTCGCTGCGAGCATCGTCGTCGTTGGCATCTGGTTCGAGGAGACGCTCGACGAGTCAGGCAGGAGCCCCTGGAGGCCGGCTTGGATCAGCCGTCTTGTTGCGTGCGTCGACGGCTCCAATAAGCCCTCTGACCGTAGAGAATCTTGGAGTTCGCGCTTGGCAGAGGCTTCAGCATCACAGCAGCCGCTTCTGTCGTCAAGCTCATCGACGTCATCGTCAATTGACCAAGAACGTACCGAAAATGATGGCAACGGCGTCAAGGACAATGGTTTCAATGGCCGTCCTGTCTGGAAAGACCTACTCAACCGTACCACCGTCATCCTTCTCGCCACATACCTCGTTTTCCAACTCTCCAACATTAGTTTCAACAGTCTTTATCCCATCTTTGCGTCCGCCCCCGCACCAGCCGGTCGCGATTTGAGTCCTCAAAAAATCGGCTTCAGCCTTAGCGCCGCTGGCCTCGCAACCATTGCGTTTCAAGCGTTCCTCTTCCAGCCAATCAAGTCCAAGATTGGAAACTTGGGCTCTTACCGCTATGCTTTGCTGGGGCTCGGCATCAGTATGATTCTGACGCCCTGGGTGGGCTACCTCGATGACGATCCGCCGTTGAACATTGGCAGTGGTCGACTGTGGTTGTTCTCTGAGTTGGCTTTGGTCCTGATCTTGAAGAACATTTGCGCAGTGGGCGGGCTGTCAAGCGTAATGCTGCTTGTAAGTTTTATTTGACCCATCCCCCCCCCCCTTTTTTTTTCACACCCCTTAAATCCTCAAATCTAAACAACAAGCAGATTACCAATTCTGCGCCGTCACACGCCAGCCTAGGCACGCTCAATGGCGTCGCGCAGACGTTGTCGGCTCTAGGGCGTAGTTTCGGCCCGTTTGCGTCTGGCGGTCTCTTCACCCTCTCAGTCAACATTAGACCCAAGGGGGAGGCTCTGGCGTGGAGCTTGTTTGGTGGTCTGGCATTAGTAGGCTGGGTCGTCTCAATGTTCATAGTGGGGGAAGGACTCGAGAGCGAAGACTGGTCGGATGATGAAGCCGAGGCGGCTTAGAGAGGGGTGGAAGAGCCAGGCAACAATTCTTTTTTCTCTGCACCATTACGGGCTACGGCAACCGTGACTGGTACATATTCAACGATGCGTGAGAAGCTCGCAAGGCGCTGGACAAGACAGTCCAAGGGATTGTTCGGTCAAGATGTACACAAGAAAATGTCAACGCCTAAAGGAATGACATGTTCAAACCCCGATTTCGACGTCATTGTTCCGTTCTTCTTGTGGGGGCCATGCAGGGTTTCTAAACACCAATTCTTCGCTGCGACCAAGGCTCAAACCACCGACACGATACACGCAAACAGTTGGCCAGCTGGGCAACATCGGCTGCAGAGGGCATCTCGTTCGCCCTCATCGGTTTGCTCACTCCGATTCCAGACGTGCGGCCCCGGTGGCGTGTTGCTATTGATGACGACGATGATGGTGGTGGTGGTGGTCTCGGCCTTGCTGAATATCAATTTCTCGCTAGGACCCGGTGCGCGACATTCGCTGGCTTTCTGTACTTTCTATCGTAAGCCACTTATTATGTAGAAATACAAGGCTCGTTGCATAGAAATCACGTCGTGCCAACTCGGATCTTTTCTTGTCCTCCAGACAAGGGCCAGACCAAGGGGAATCCGAGCTACATGAGTAAATGATGGGAGCAAAGAGGAAGGATCATGAACGCCCTTGGCTCCTTTTTCCAGGGAAATTGAACGGGTTTGGCCAAGATGGTTCGCCCGAGTGTATTGGATGCATCTCCCTATGGCCAGCAAGGAGAAAACATGCATGTAGTCCTATCCTAGTTCGTTGAACGTGCCGAGGTGCTGTATTCTATGCGGTAATGCCTGGGGGAGACTTGCTAGATACTTGGGCGTCCCTAAGCTTCCTCTCTGGATGCTTGCTTTTACCGGCCGGGCCACGCTTATGCGCGTCTCGGCGAGCCCATATACGTCATGAATCATGATGCTTGCATAGTAGGGGGCTGCGGCTCTCTTCTGCCAGACGAAGCGAGCTCGACTCAGAATCTTGAGCATCCGCGCCATTCTCTCACGACAAAGTGGATGTCTTCGGACAAGGAGAGCATCTGCCCGGCCGGCAGCAAAGAATAACGTCAACCCCTCGTCATCCCGGTCCCAGGCCTGGTCCAACCCAATACCCGGCGCTGCCTCGACTTGTTCTGACAATGGCCTTGGGGGAATGGGGTGGCGGGGTGCAAAGGGACGACTCCGCGAGCAAAGCAAGCAAAAGTCGAAAAGGATGCTCGTCCCACGGCTGTGGGATGGGTTGAAGGATTTATTGGTGCCTCCGCGCGAAGCGGATCTGCATCCTTGCCGCACATTTAAGCGCCCGGCGCCTGCGTGACCAATTGGAGACACCGATCAAGACGGGACGGCGTGGCGTTTGTGCTGGGGGCGGAAGAACCGCAAGCAATTTCGCGTCCCAACTTTATCGTCCTCGCAGCAAAATGCCCCCCCATGGGCGGGAAGACGCCACGCAAGCTATGTGTAACAAGGGCTGGTCTTGTAGATCAGAGCTTGGAGCAAAAAGACTCATATTGCATATAATATCGTATCGTCTCAACGGTCCTTGGTTATCCCAATTTGAAGGACCTGACTAACGAGGGCTTTATATATATGATGGTGCCTGTGTGTGTAACCTGACCAGGCAACAAAGGGGTGATGCCATTTGTGCCTTATTGCCTTGGTGCCCGAGCCCACTGGTGGTCAATGAGGCCATCGTGATAGCTGCAACCTTTGTGCATTGCAGCTAGTCATGTGGTTGAGGACCTTTTCCATGTAACAGGGAGGCAACAAGCCAAATAAAATCCTGCACTAGCTGCTCATCAGGGCGGGTGTCGGGTCTTGGGTCAGTCTTCTCGGCCGAAAGCGTACTTGAGTAGTGTGCTTAGACGACTCCGGGAGAAAGCCATGTGCCGGATTCAACGTCTCGGGTCGACCAAGGACGCCGAGGGCGCTGCTAGTTGCTCGCCTGGCGTTTTCCGTCTCGTGTCCCGGGCAGAGGAAGGCGGTGTCTCGTCGGGCCTCTTGGTGTCTTGAACAGGATTCGAGAAGACATGTCCCACGTAGGAGCCTAGCGAGCAACTAGCCCGCATGCCAACTTGTGTCCGGGCAAGGCTTGGACGTTCTTTCCCCTCTCGTCTCGTGCTGGTGTTGCACATTGCTTCTACGGAGGGTTAAGCCTAACCCTCTTGCCTTGTTTTCCACGCTCCACATTCCACGCCGTGCGTGATGGCCGCACGCGCATGCTCTGATGCATAATCAGAACATGGAGAAGTCACAACTAGTACTCCCAGCAGGGGGTACGGTCTATTTCGGGGCCATCTTTGTACATAGCGGGTGGCCAGTCAGACGTTGTAGTGCCACCTCTTTATCTGGAGGCGCACTGATGGCGCGGCTTTCTTTGCGGGCTACATGATAGTTTATTCCGTATATGAGAGCAATATCCGTGGCGGAGTAGTGTACGGATCCCTGGGCCGTGCTTGGGCAGGCCATGAGAGTGATTGAGAGGATAACCTGTTGCGTAGCTTATCAACCGCACTATTGTCAAGCGTTTAAGGGCAGAATCAGGGTGTAATTCCCGACTTGTCAAGTACAGATATAGAGTAGTCCCCCGTGCAAAGTCCTTGGGAACCACAACATTGGACTTGGACAAACGATGAGGTCAGTTGCGTTTCATCGTGGCCACGACAGTTTCCTGCACGGCAACTTTGAACGGCCACAGCGAGGCAGCCCCAGGCAGGACGCGCACTTGGCCAACGGATCAATCCGAATCTGTGTGCTCGGGGTATAGTTTGGAAGATGGCGATGAACGACGGGGCTTGACACTTGATGCGTGGCGTGCATACTGCTGCCGCGCTGGGCAGTGCACTGCAACACCAGGTTCAATGGATGATGGGTATGTATGGAATGGAAATACGAGATGGCTGTGATGAAAGCCATGTTCGTGCCTCGATCCACTCCAGCCTTTCACAAGCAATGCGCTGCATGAACCTCGGACAGGCGAAGGCGTTCAGCAATGTGATTACTATATGGCAGCGTCATGTAGAGACTGAGCCAGCAAGGTCAGAGACAAGCAGAGAGGTTGAGGGATCATCAGTCTGCTGGCGAGCATTCCAGCAAGCGCAACCCATGCATATAACAAACACACATACATGGCCAGGCCAGTCCGGTGGGACCCCTGCACTTGCAGCAGCGGATGCAATGGTGATTTTGAAAGGGAAAAAAAAAGAAAAAGGCAACTCTGGAGGATGCACGCCAAAGGGGCACTGGAGAGCCAGGCTGCAAATGCCCGTAAACCGAGACGAAGCACAGCAGTTAGTCGGTACGCCGTCGCCATTGCATAGCGCCCGTGGGTTGGATTGGATTGGATTGGATCGGATTGGGTTGGATTCTTTGGACCATGGTCTTATTTTATTAGCCTTACCAGTCCACCCCGAAGAAAAGTTTTCCAAGGGGAGGGGCCAGCCCACGTCTGGTCTCTGCTTCCATTACTCGGAATCACCCTATTTCGATGCAACTACCCCAATCAGGAGCACAGCGAATCCCTCAAACATGCCATCCACTACCTGACTGACCATGGGTCGGAGAGTGAAACTGGACGCCGTGTCGTGTGTGTCGTCAATTGCCCCGACGGCAACAAGTCGATGGCGGCATACGAGCTTCTACTGCGGTGTCGAGGAGGGCGGCGGCGGTGGCGGCGGCGGCACGGCAATTTCCAAGTTGCGTCATGAGGCAGCGAGCGCGAGCGGCAGCACAAATCGTCGGCGCCCTTGTTCATCTCGCTTCCAGATGGACTGCCTGCCAGCAGCCAGCAGGCCTGTGCAACGTTACATGCCTCGCACCTGCCATGTCTGATGTGCGCCAGGCATTGTCGTCACTTGTTGGGCACTTGAGTAGGTACTCTGTCTCTGTACGGCACCACGCCGTTCTTTCCTTGGCTGCGGCTCTGCCAACTTGTTTGTCCACGACTCAAGACAGTCAGGACTCGGGAATCTACGAGTAGCGAGTAGTTGGGGACCGGGCAGCACGCAGCACATCATCTACCTCGGAACAGCTCGGCATTTTTTCCAAGCACCTCGCGACGACTCAGGCGCCCAACACGTCAGTCATGGCCTGGTAGTTGTGCCTGCGAGCAAACACCATGATGACCCCCTCTGGCCGGTTGCAAAATCCTGGTATTACGTGCAGCGGTTTGATGGCGATCCTGGCCCACGATTGGCTGGTTCTGGGGCGAACCTGTGCCCAGGCGAACAGGCGTTTCCGAGGCCGAGGGGCCGCGCCTTCTGCATTCTCCCCGACATGGAAACCTGGACATGGAAGCGTGGACATGGAGACATGGAGACAACTCCCCCCCTCCCTTCCTCCCAACAAACCCAAACTCTGGCGGACCAGGCTAGTCGATTCGCGGAGACTGTGCCTGCTGCTCATCTTCAGTCAACTGGCAGGCGCGACTCGATGTTGTCCAGCCTCTCCTTCCTTGTCTGGGCAGGGTTAGGTTTCCATTTCCGTGGCGGTGGAGCGCCTGGCCCCGGCAGACCAAACCAAGGTTACCAAGGTTCAGTCAGACGACGGTCAGGTCACTGGAGAATGCGGGGGGAGGTTGAGCTGACGGGCCAACAGCGGAGATGACGGGGCAACCGGGGTGTCGGCCACGATGCGCTATGTTTTCCATGATGGATGATGGGCTCCTTCCTGAGGTGGCGCCCCTCGCAACTCCGCAATCCTCTCCTTCCTGCGCACGCCCGTCCAGGCTGGCTGGGATCTTTTCTGGGGCTCTGGCTCGGACAAGACGCCAGAAATGGACATGATGAGCCACAACATGCAAGCGCGATTTCGTCAACGAGATGAGACAAGGGTCAGGGCTCGCGGGCAGAGACGATCGACGGACAATCCAGTCCAGCATTGTGTCTCTGTCTCTCGTCTACTCCGAACTTGCACGGCGCGACACCTATTGCGACCAACCACCCGTCTGCGTGGCGCAGTCACTCCAGCAATTCGTGCAGCAGTTGTCGCATTGGCAAAGCGGCTGGCCACCGGGAGGCATCATGCATCATCACGTCCATGATGCATGCACCGCATGTCCAGTGATTTTCTGGTCACGGAAACACCAGCAGAAGGAAGAGAAGGCGGAAAAAACAACACCAAGGCTTGTCCTCGCCTCGCCTCCTGTTTTGCGGGCGGCTGCATCTTTTTAGCGGCCCGAGATGGAGCGCTCCAGAAACAGACGCCAAATGGCATTGTCCCTTTGCACGTGCCGGTGGCTCGTGTGCCACTGAAATCTTGTTTCTCCCATACGTATCTTATTCCACGATTAGCACTGAACCCGTGTGGCGCACTCCGCCTCTCCTTATTTTCATGTCTTGTTGACAAAGCCCGCAGGGGTCTCCGTCGCCACAACCAGAAGAAGAGGAAAAGGCAAAAATAGCCAAGACAGCATTGGACTGGACAACCAACCCAATCCGTAGGTTCGGCGGCTGGATTCCACGCACATGCAGCCGTCACTGAAAATATCCCAGGTTTCACAAATCACCAGACAGCCCCGACACCCGCCTTGGGTGTGTATTTGGAACCTGCATCGGCCGGCAGCCCCGGACCAAGAATCGGGGCCGCGAACCGTGGCAAGCTTCGACCTCCTGGACGGTTATGGCAACTCGATTGGGCCTGCCCCATAACGCCGCTTCGTACGCCGCTCTGGACTGGGAATAAACATGCAAGCCAACGCCGCTCAGGCGTCATGGGAAAGAGTCCTTCTTGCGGCGCCGCCTTCTGGATCCAAGCAGAGCAAACCCCACAAGATCGTCCGCAGCAATCTTGTCAGGAACCCCAAACTCAAACCCCGGCTGCAGAGTTTTATTAGTCGACACCGATTCGAAGACCGGTCTCGCGCCGCCCCTGAATTGGTCGTGTGGACGACTTCATTACCGCCCCCATCGGCCAGGAAACAGAATACGCCGGACATACGGAGCAACACGCCAAGGCACTTTACTTGTATGTCCAGGACGGCCGTTTTCGGCCTCTTCTGTCATCCAGTCGTCAGTCGTGGTGTCGTGAAAGACGACGACGACTACTACTGGTGCATACCGCATACTTGCTGCCACTCTTGCGTGGGTACATACGTACATGCGCCCATGCGTCCACACATCACACATACATACATGTACGGACCACGGAAACAGAGTAGTATCAACTAATCCTAATACTAATACTACACGGAGTAACCAACCTGGTGTCCACACACACCATTTCCACTCCACCTGCGGAACAACTGTGGGCCATTCATTATGTTTGTTTTTATACAACCTACCCGACTAGACCCCGTACTCCGTCTTGTCCACATCGCGGGATGCGGTGGCAAGCCCCTGGTGTGCGTGCTGGATGTGACCTAGCTTGGCTCCCCATGCCGTAAAGGCCTCCTGTCGAGCGCCGGCCTTGGTTTAGGTGCTTGTTGGACCGAGTATGGAGTAGTGCATGGGCTAGATCGTCCCCCCCGTTTCCCCATCCCCAAACTCACCCCAGACGAGTCCTTGTCATTACGGCTTCGACCAGTCCATTGTCCAGGTCATGGTTGCGGAGCAGCCTCGGCAGGCCCGCACATGAAGGAATTCAGCATCCACCTGGAGCCTGTGAAGGGTTTTTTTTTCCCTCCAAGGACCGCAACAGCCATGACGGCAAGCGAGCAAAAAGGTATAAACACCCTTCCCCCCCCCCTCCTGCTCCCTCTTATTCCCCTTCAACCCGCCATTCTGTTTTCAACCGCACAAAAACCACAATCGTTTCTGTCCCGGTCTAGCAGACTTACATTCGTTCTCACCCACAGCCACTTGTTCACTCAAGCTTCAACCGACAAGATGAAGTTCTCCAGCGCCGTTGTCGTGGCTGCCGCCACTGCCTCCTACGCCCAGATCGATGTCATCCAGGGTGTTCTCTCTTCCGTTTCGTCCGGAATTGACCAGCTTAACTCTGCTGCCAATGGGTTCAACGGCAACGTTGATGCCGTCAAGACCAAGGCTGACGCTCTCGTCTCTGCCATTAAGTCGGGCAAGACCAAGGTCGATGGCTCCAAGGAACTGTCCCTCAACGAAGCACTTCAGTTGACCGACCCCGTTCATTCCTTGACCAAGAAGGGCCAGTCTCTTGCGGACAACTTCAAGTCCAAGATTCCTCAAGTCGAGAAGGCCGGTGCTTGCGGCACCGTCCGTGCCGAACTCAAAGACATCAACGACAACTCCCAGACTCTCATCAAGTCTGTTGTCAGCAAGGTCCCCAAGGATGCCCAGAGCATTGCCCAGAACCTCGCCAGCGGCCTGACCAAGGTCCTCACCCAGGCTCAGGAGGACTTCTCCGAGGCCAACTGCAAGAACTCGGGCGGCTCCGGCAGCTCGAGCCAGAGCGGCGGCGCTTCTCAGACCTCTGCCCCCGCCTCCGCCTCCGCCTCCGCCTCCTCCGCTGCCCCCTCGTCTGCTGCTACCGAGAGCGGCGCCACGTCGGCCCCTACCGCCGTCACTCCCCCTTCCTCTGAGACTTCTGCCCCCGCCTCCGGCGGCAACTCCACCAGCTCTGTCCCTCCCCCTGCCGTCACCGCCGGCGCCTCCTTCCTGGCCCCCGCCGGTGCCCTCGTCATGGCTGTTGCCGCCGCTCTGTTGTAAATTCACCAAGTCGATCCGAAGAGAGGCGCGTGGCTCGGCGGCGCCTCCAAGGTGCGGATAATTACTTTGCCGGGACACCGGGCTGCTGTTGCTCTGACGGATGCTGATACTGTCCCAACGAGCGAAGCCAGCCATCCGTGTCAAGGGTTCTCGTGTAACATGATGGTATAAAAGATGGGAGATTTTTTCTTGCTTTTTGAAACACGTCTTTTCACTGTTATAATGGGATGTGGCGTGGTTTTTCGATGGAGGGCACTGTTCGAGGGTGCGGTTCACTACATGGTCGTTTCGATGTCGGACTTGCTAGATAGCGTCAGTTCGGTTACCTAATACACATGTCGTTTGACATTGGCAGTAAGAATTATCCAGGGTGCAAGTCAAGTTACTCGGTACCGCGTGAGTGACAAAATCTGAGCAAGAATAGTCGCCACGAGAATAGACGCGCAGAGTTGACACCGGCACAATCAATGCCCTCTCGCCGCATTGGAAGGCTCTTTTCGCACGCAGGGTGGCGTTGGCGTGGCTTGCCATTTCCGATTGGCTTCCAATGCCACTCTGAACGTCGTACTCTTGAAGCTGGCTGAATAGAACAGTTGGCGGGAAGGCGTGATTTTAGGACATGCCACAACGCCCGAGAAGCCATGGAAATCAACTCCCAAAACCTTCAATTTTCCGGCGAGGAATTCCCCCGGGACCATTATCGACGGCTCGAGATGCAACTCGACAACACCCGCGTCACAGATTGTACAAAGTTATCGGTATCGGTACGTCGCCACAAAAGCTCATTGCTCCGCCCCCCCCTTCCCGTTATATCCACCTACACCGCATAATACTGGTCATTGTATCCCCTTTCGACGGCGTCAATCTGCAAAGCGAGTACCTTCGAAAACTGCCTAGCCGAGCTGATGGCGCCAGACATGCACCAAATGCCCGAAACGCCACTGGGCCGCCACCACTACAGGGCAGCAAGTGTTAGCATGTCACAGCACGAGACGGGCTGGCGGCTGATGGCGGAAAAGCACTTACCCCTTTGCGCTCGGATTCTTCATCAAGATGTCCCCATTCCCGCGAGTTGACTTGGTTGGCCAAATCCTTGCCAAGGAGCCGTTCGACGACGTTGCCGTTGCGCTCCCAGCCTGTGGCCAGAACAATCACATCCGACTCGAGCTTTCTGCCGTCTGCAAGCTCAATGCCGCGGTCGTAAAACGATTCAAGTCCCTTGCTGGACCTGTGGACCTTGATTCTCCCGTCCACAACCATCTGGGCCGCGCCGTGGTCAATGTATAGGTGGCCGGACTTTAGGAGCAGATGATCCAGCAAGCTGATGCCATCTTCGCCCTTCCTGATGGCCATGCCCGCCTCTTCTAAACCCTTGATGAGATCTCTGTCGAATTGTGCGCAGAGAGGCGTCATTCCAGCGGCCAAGGTAAGCGCGAGCACGTTGGGCATGGAAGTATCGATGAGGTCCGCGTCCTCGGTGCTTACGTTTCGAGTAGTCCAGAGACGTAGGATGAACTTCTCCAAAGAATCCGGCGTGACGAAGACGTTGGGGCTGCGCTGGATCATGGACACGCTTCCAGCGCCGCTGGTGACAAAGTCGTGGGCTATGTCGTGGGCGCTAGGTCCTACGCCGACGATGGTGACGCTCTTGTTGGCGAGGTTGGACACCTCGGATGCCGATTTGTGCTGACATGTGTGGTATATCTGTCCCCGGAAGGCTTCCTGGCCCGGTATGTCTAGCCGAACCGGCTGGTCACTGTGTAGGCCTGTCGACAGGACGACATGCTTGGCCTTGATCGTGTACAGAGTGCCATTTGTCTCCAGCTCAATTCGATGGCACCTCGTCCCGTCCTCGCGCACCACTCTCCTGACTGTGGTGTTGGTGCGTATCTTGAGGTTCATGATTCTGCTGTAGCACTCCATCCATTCGCCATACTGGTGTTTAGTCATGTATCTAGGCCAGCTGGTAGGAAACCGCAAGAACGGGAAGCTGTTCATGGAGGAGGGCGTATGAATCTTGAGAGTCTCATATCGGTTTCGCCACGAGTCACCAACCCTAGGATTCTTGTCTACCAGCAAGTACGAAAGGCCCATGTGCTCAAGATGAGCAGCGAGAAACACGCCGCATTGCCCTGAAACGGTCTATAGCGTCACCAACACGCACTGACTGAGAGGGAGCAGTTGGGGGGCGGACGAACTCACCACCGCCGACGACCAGAACCTGCAGCTCGTCCAACATTGGCTCTTTCTGTCCATTTTCAAGGCAATTTACGCGCCGGGATCCGTCCTCATTCGCCTCTTGGGCCTCTTTTAGATGTTCCAGCTCCGTGGAAGCGGTCCACGCCTTCCACTCATTAGGTCCGACGTTGGCCAAGCGAACCATGCCTCGTCCAGAGCCAAACTTGGTCGTGAAGGCGAATGCCGCCTGGATGAATGTTGCAGACCCCAACTGCTGTAGACTTGGGGCTAAGGAGGGCGTTTTTATCACAGTGATGCCTCCAAACCCGGAAACTGACCCCAGCACGTAGGCGCTGATGGCCGACGGGCCGTTCTTGGAGGTTATGTTCCAGGTCAGAGCCACAAGGTCGCGCCACCACGATTCCTGCACAAACAGACCTTCAAAAACTGCGACGTCGTTCTTGTCTATAGCCCGGCTCAGAGCTGCAATCCATCGGCTCACCACCTCGCCTGCGTTGATGCTTTCACGGGAGATTGAGGCGTCGAGACAAAGAGGCGGGACAGCAGTCCGTGGGGGGTATTCGGGAAACCCCTCGGCGGTAAGAAGGATCGGAGAAGACATCTTTCTGGTGTCAAGAAGCAAGAAGTAAAGATTGAGCTACGTCTGGTTTCAATGCAAGTTGCGAAGAGTCGTGTAGATGTGTGTATCAGCAGCTGTTACATGGAAATTTACGGTCAACAAAGCCTCAACCACATGCACAAAGGTTGCTGCCGTCACGATACCCTCATTGGCCGCCCATACGATGTTATATGTGAGTTTGCGTCTTTTGCCTCAAGCCCTGATCCCTGTGACCAGCCCTTGTTACGACGACTACGAATTTGCTTGATACCGGGCGCGACGAACCAGCGACCGCTTCTGTCAGACGCACAGAAAGCCAAATTCGACGCCATACAAGGGGGTCTATTGATACCCGGCAGTTGATAGCTCTGTATAGGGCTGGCACCCAGGGGTGACGGTTGAGCGACGATTTCGGGCTTGCTTGCATAGTAATATGGAGAAGAGGCCGAGCTTGACGTGAATTGGCACTCCACTGGAGCTCTACTACATCGGAGATTTGGAGACGCCTGACCAGACGGAAACTCGCGAGTTCACAGTGATGACGACGGCTGATACGAGTTCCAGCTGTGTTGTACCCTGGTTCTTCAATAGTTTGTAAACTTACGTCTTTGGACGTACGACTGCGGACCTAAATAACGACAGTCAACAATAAGTCAAGATGCAAGGTCTGCGAGAAACATGGCATGTCGTGCAGGCGGTAGCAACGTGAACAGACTGCGGCGGAGAGCTGACATGTACTTTGTCTTGATACACAGACACCAAGATACCTGCCCGGTCTGTAGGCAAGGCCGTGGACTCGCATTGAAAGGTGCATGGAGGTCGGCGACGGCAATACTGCTGTGCTACGCTGGTTGCGACCTTATTTCAGGGCACTATTAGAGGGGGTTATGGTAAGTATCGAAGCATGTTTTCGGTAGCAGCAATATCATCTCATTTCCTAATGTGTTCCCCTACCTTGTGTCCCCCCTTTCGTCCAACCATGGAGAGACACGACGCAGATGCTAAGGGCGGGTGGCCCATCTCCAATGTCACGAAGAAGACGTACTCTGTCCCGAATCGGGAGGCAATTTTTTCCGCGTGTTATTAATCTGCTTTCTATTTTCTAGGTATCTACCTTATACAAAGGCCATGGTCAACATTTCCATGTTTGACTACCCCGTCTGATAACGTGCCAGGTTACCGAGCCCAGGCCAGTCAAACCATTGCCGATCAGGCCTTTTCGTCTCTAGACGTACAGTTATGATTTCTGATGAAGGAGAAGCCACTATCAACGAGCAGCAGCTTAGGACTTAGTAATGCCCACCAACGGGCTGCTCACAAACATATACTTAAAACCTTTGTTTCCCGTCCGCAATCTTGGAGTTATCTACCCAACCAAACACTGCCAAGGGTTAATTCACGCTTCAAATCCGAGGAGCCGACTTTCTCAGTCCCTGCAACAGCTTCGTCTTTGTGGCATAGAGGTCCATGACCTAGGCAGATTCTCTGCCACCCAACGCGCGGATGCACGACAAAGCGGTTACTGTTGGTGCTATTCTCGCGTCACACAGAGGCGAATAGGAAATTCGACGCAATGCTACCAAGATGACAAGCGGTTTGAAGCTGTCATGCATTCACCCACGCGTGAAAGGACGTACACCCTCCTTCCTTATCTCTGGGGACGGCACGAGTCCAAGACGGTAGCGAGACTGCGCCAGCCAGGTGCGGGATTTTACTGTGTCCACGATCAGTACGAACACTGCTTCGGATTTCTTTAGATTGACGGCTAGTGTCCCGGACGTTGCGTTCTCATGGAGGCGCCGGCTTTGGTAGGCCTTACCCAGGCGATATCGAAGACAGGATCAGGCAGATGGCAACGACAATGTCTTGCATCGCATTCCAAGACATTATGATAAGCGAGACCACTGGCTGCGCGTCTCGATTTATAAAATCATGAATGATGCAGAATGCCAAGACGTGGCTCGCCATGCCGTCATAATGCTGGCCATCGCACGACTGCGCGCAGCGATGAGTGATTTGCCATAAGTCACAGCCTCAGTAATGGAAGCTTCTTACTGCTGGTTACGTCGGCTTTTCTTGTCCGCGGAACGCAATGATGGAACTACGGCTGTCCCTCACCCTCATTTTGTCTGGGCCCAGCAACAACTCAACTCGATTGTGTCAGCTCTCCGGTAGAGTTGGTATATGATTTTTCTATTGACCGCAACACTACAGGGTGGCATTGTTTCAACATTCAATCAGACTTGCTGACGACCTTCGAATACAGCATCAAACTGCTGCAAAATATCTTTCCAAGACGACACGACAGTCACAACTCCCAAGGCGGCACCACTAGAGATGGTTCACATATTTCACGAAGACTCTGCGGGCCGCCTTCAAGCAGCTTACGGCTCTTTTTGGGGCTGGGAAGTCAAATTGTATGTACACAAGTAACGTCCCCCAAACTAGATATTGGGCTAAGAAGCCCCCCTTGTGATATAAGGTTGACAAGTAGTCAAGGTGTTCAGTAACCAACAAAAGGGCCTCTTAGGGTTGTCTCTCTTTCCCCGGGTTTCGTAAAAGGTGACGGCGTTGTGGACTGCTCCTTTTCCTAGAAACATGTTGTACCTACCGCGGTGTTGGAACAGTCGACTACATCTATACCAAGAGGGATATTATCAGAACGGATCAGTTACCCCTGCCCGGTAGCTAAGCCGCCACGGCCGGGATTGTCGCTGCTCCTGATGCTTGCCATGAAAATCAGCTTGCTACGCTTGCGTATAGGTTTTACCCACCCAAGATGCTCGCGGACATGGCTGCTATCTAACCCGGATTTTCGAACCTCAACGTGGCTTTGACACACTTGGCATTAATCTTTCCACTTCTAGACATGTCTCTTCCGGGGGGGTAATTGTCTTACCCTGGCGGCTGGGACGAGATGTCCTCTGTCGCGGCCGTTTGAAATACAGCAGACGACAAGAACGACAATCAAGGGTCGTGAGAGCACTGATATATACCTGACATGAGGCTGACTGCCTATCTTGAGTAGTTGCATACAGTCAACGGTGGGGGCCCAGCTGTGAGACTTGATCTTCATCGGCGGCATCAGCTAGACATCGAATACTCCATTCGTGACTTGGATGGCTTTTGGATGTTTTGAAAAGCAGCAAAACGTACTGCAGAATTTGCTCATCTGCTTTCGGCCCAGCACCGACTTCACTACAAGCTTGTGACTGGGGCTGCGTAACGGGACATGGCGCAATAACGCAATTCAACATGACGCGCTTTCGTGTTCAAGGTTCTTGATTTCCCTTGTTCAAGTCTGCTAGTGCCCAAAGTCTTTTTTTTCGTGCAGTGGCCTTCTCTCGCCATCATAGCACTTCTCTGCCGAAGGAGGCACGAGGTAAAAATATGCGTAGATACCTTCTTGAGTAGACTCTTAAGTGAGTGGGCAAGTACCTAGGTAGTTTGTCACACCAAAAAACGGGCGTGGCCACGCCACATTAGTTGGTGTACTTAATGCCCCCTATATACATACTGCGACATAGTTAAGTACCTAGGTACCTAGGTAGGTACTTAGGTACTGTGGCTTGTGGCTGTGGCCGTGGCTGTGGCTATGCATGGAAATGTGGCGACGACTCCTCCCTTTTCATCGCGTACCTCCTTAAGTCCCATGTATGGCCAAATCCAAATTCCTGCCTTGCAAGGTTTTGCACTCTTCACTCGTTTTCGCTTGATGCGCATCTCCCCGTCTTTCGCTTCGACTTCGCTCCCTCCACTCGTTTCATCTGCATTGACGTACTCGTGACGCTTCCTGTGCTCGAGTCGGCGCCTTGCTTGTCCCATCGGCCACATCCTCAATTCCATTCAACTCGGCCCACCATGTCGGACAAGAAATCCGACGACACGGTCCTCATGTCCAATGGCCATGGAGACGGCATCGCCAACGGCCGCGACGGCGACGCCCGCAAGCAGCCCTTTGCGAGCTTCTCGCCCGCCCAGGCAAAGACGGATGCGCTCAAGGAGTTGGGACCGTCCATGGCATCGCTGGACAATAGCCGCGGCGCGTCCGTCTTGGCCTACTGTCTGAGTTCCATGAGCATGACCATTGTGAACAAGTACGTTGTCTCGGGCTCTGACTGGAACATGAATCTGTTGTATCTCGCCGTTCAGGTATGTATGCTCGTATTCATTTGAGAGAGTGAAAGTTGCTGCTAACCCGTACCGGCCAGTCCATTGTCGGAACCGTGGCGATTCTCATGTGCAAGCAGGCTGGCATGGTCAAAGACCTAGGTGCATTCGACGCGCAAAAGGCAAAGACTTGTGAGCCTTCTCTTGTCCACTTTTGCCCCTTCTCCGTTCTCGCGCGCCACTGACAAATGGTAGGGTTTCCTATTGCTCTGCTACTCGTCGCCATGATTTACACGGGCAACAAGGCCCTCCAGTACCTCTCTGTTCCCGTGTACACCATCTTCAAGAACTTGACCATTATTGCCATTGCCTACGGAGAGGTCCTCTTGTTCGGGAGTAGCCTCACTCCGTTGACACTCGTCTCGTTCATCATGATGGTGTTTAGTTCGGTTGTGGCCGCGTGGGCGGATGCCAAGAGTGCCGCCACGGCTGCCGCCATGGCCACCTTGAACCTGGGCTACGGATGGATGGGCATCAATGTTTGCTGTGCCGCCATGTATGCCCTCAGCGTGCGCAAGGTTATCAAGAAGACGGGCTTCAACAACTGGGAAGGTTGGTCGCACGCCCTGCACTCGGCCTAAATACGCAGCCTGCTGAGATGACAATTGCAGTCATGTATTACAACAACCTACTTACCATTCCTGTCCTCCTCATCTCATCTCTCCTTGTCGAGGACTGGTCCTCTGCCAACCTCAGCATCAACTTCCCCGCCAGTTCTCGCTACAGCATGTGCACCGGCATGGTCTACTCGGGTCTCGGTGCCATCTTCATCTCCTACTCAACCGCCTGGTGTATCCGCGCCACTTCTTCCACCACATATGCCATGGTCGGTGCGCTGAATAAGTTGCCCGTCGCAATTTTGGGCATCGTTTTCTTCGCCGCACCAGTCACCTTTGGCAGCGTCGCCGCCATCATCTTGGGCTTTGTAAGCGGTATCGTGTATACTGTTGCCAAGCTTCAGAAGGGCAAGGAAAAGCCTCAGCCTGCACTGCCGCTGACCAACAAGCGATAGACAGTCGTTATGCTGCGCTGTTGGTTCGATCGACGTTGGGAGCTTTGGCGCCCAGCATTGCAGGCTGCTGAAGCCTGGCTTCACGCAGAGGTTCACGTTTCTGGTGTCTCGTCCAAGATTTGTGCATTTTAAGGGGCAGCATCTAGTCGACTGGCGTTTTTCGGTCACGGAAGGGAACAGAAAAGAAAACGTCTCCCTCGCGATTACTCGGCAACACCTAATTGTTGAAACATGCATTATTTAATGGTTCTCTGATATGCAAATTTGAGTTGTTTTAGAATAGACCACTTCAAGTCAAGGCAACGACTTACGATTGCATCAATATACATACTAGCGCTGGGACTAGTTTTCAAGGTCGGAAGCCAAGCTGCCTCGGAAGCAATGAAGATGTCCAACGTTGCACTACCCAGCAAAATGACCAAAATGCATTTCCAGAGGCTCCTCGGTATCGTCATGTACTCTAATAAACCCAGCTTTGGCTGCTTGTGTTCCCTGACCATTCACCGTGGCGCGACGAGTGGAGGCGGGTCGCGGGTCGCGGGTCGCGGGCACGGCAAAATATCGGCATCTCGAAAACCATGCTTGCTCCCGACGCTCGTCAGAGACTTGCGACGAGCCTTTTGCAGCACACACCAGCAACTTGACCGCCCGCCATGTCCATGTTCCGAGCGAAGAAGCTCGACCTGGGCTGCTTCGTCAAGGCCCGGACGATCAGGGACCACACCAAGCGCAAGGTCTTTGAGCAGTTCGAGACGGAGAGGTACGCAGCATCCCTCTCATCCGTACGCTGCGACAGCGACGCATCGAAACATCGAAAAAATTCTCCACGCGACGCAACTGATCTATGCGACAGCCGGTTATAACCGGCACTGACTCATAAACAGGCAAGCCCTGCGATACATTATCCGCAACACGACCCTCTCGCCTCGTATCCGCGCCGAGGCGCAGCTGCAACTCACCCAGATGCACGCGTATACCCGCCCCACGCAGATTCGCAATAGGTGTATCATGGGAGGCCAGGGTCGTGGCGTACTGCGCGACTTTAAAATGACGAGAGTAAGTAGAGTCGTGACGGTGCCACGTCGACGTTGAGAGGTCTGTACGGGGCGCTAATCTCGTGCAGTTCAACTTTAGAATGGAGGCAATGGCTGGAAACTTGCCGGGCGTGAAGCGAGCAAGCTGGTAAAGGACGCTCTGTGGGTTCCTTTGGGCTGAGATTAATACTGTACGATATGAATGGCACGACGGCCGGGTACCATGGATTTGGTATTTGGAGTGTTCAGGTTAGACTAGGCGTATTTTTGTACGACCAATCATCTCCTCCGACAGTGTTTGATAGACTCATGGCCTGATTTTGAGCTGGTTCCAGCAGTTTATTTCGCAGGGTTTGTGTGTTCCATCGGCCGGATTCGCCGCATTGCTCCAACTTCTGGACACGCTTCGCCGCTTGGCCCGAGTACGTAGTGAGTCTGACGAACTTTCGGAGAAACAGCAAGGCCGAAGGGCGAATAGCAAGTTGCACCGGCCAAAGAAAAGCGGGCCCGGAGCTTCGACATGCTGCCAGCCTCGCCACTTGAGGGACCTTCTCCAGCGCCATCACTCATCCAACACCTGCGCGTCTAGGACTCCTCAGAGGATATCAAGAAGACACATCATCATGGGCGGCGGCGATCTCAACCTCAAGAAATCTTTCCACCCGACACTACGGCGAAACCAGCAGGCCGTCTACGAGGAGGAACAAAAGGCGCTCGCAGAGCGCAAACGGACCCAGCAACGCATCAATGAAATTAAGGAAGAGCGCGCAAAGGAGGAGCTGCAGCGGCAGCTCGAAGCTGCCGGCGGCAAGAAGAGAGAAGACCGAGTCGACTGGATGTATCAAGGCCCTACCGATGGCCAGGTTGGTACAAGCGAAGAGACCGAGGCGTATCTTCTGGGCAAGCGGCGAATCGACAACCTTATCAAGGGCACGGAGCACAAGAAGCTGGAGAGGAGCGCAGGAGAAGAAAGCTTCATGGCGCTTCAGAATGCGAACAATGCACGAGACACAGCATCCAAGATTCGAGACGATCCTCTGCTCGCCATCAAGCGACAGGAGCAGGCGGCGTACGAAGCCATGATGAACGATCCCATCAGACGGCGGCAATTACTGGCCTCGATGGGGATGGGGGATGAAAAGAAGAAGGAGAGGTCGCGGGACAAGGAGCACAGGCACAGGCACAGGCATCGGCGACACCGCAGCAGGAGCAGGGACGCAGAGGGTGAGAGGCGACATAAACGACCAAGATCATATTCACGGTCTCGGAGTCCTGTGCGCCGGCACGACGATGGCGACGGCGAAAGGCGAAGACAAAGACACGAGAGACCAAGGAAGCTTGGCGAGGATGGAAGCCCGCGGCGGGCACGATATGATTCAGCGGACAGAAGATATGGGAGTAGCCACAAAGGGGGTGCTTATCGGGTAAGTCACGGCCGACCAAGGTCCAGCAGTCCGAACTCGGGTGATGATGGACGGTGGCGTCGCAGCCCGTCCGCCGAGCGACATGGAAGACGGCGCAGCGGTGATTTTACCCGACGCGATGAGCATGATAATCGGCGTCGGGAATTTAGTAGAGACGAGGATCGGGGCCCATGGAACGGAAATGGGTCTCGTCATAACGGCAACAGACACGCTTACGGCAACGGGCGAGCAAGGATGCAGCCCCGAGGCAATGACGATGATGGAGAGGCAGAAAAGGCTCGCAAACTGGCTGCCATGCAGTCGGCAGCATCTGACATGGACGTGGACCGCGAGAAACGGCTTGCTTTCCTAGAAAAGCAAGACCGGGCGGCACAGGAGGCAGACGACAGAGCGAGAGAGCGAGGAGGTGAACGCGGCTTTGTCAATGGGCTACACCAGCAGGCCGGCAAGCTTGATCTGGGAGAGAGAATGGGACGAAACCGGCAAGGATATCAACGGGATGACGACTAGACTAGGGTTGAGAGAATTCAAAAAATGCGTACATATAGTATTTGTGGCGGGTCAAGCGATTTTGGGGACCTGGGAGGATAGACTGAACATGAGCATTGCAGGATTCATTACTGTCAAAACGGACTGATGTATCATTTTTGAGATTCTAGGGACCCAAGCACGAGGAGCACGAGGACCTGGTTTGGAGTGTCAAAAGGGATGCTGTCCTGCTGTCGGGATGTGGATTGGATGCCGACTTGTTGGTGCCAGGCTGCGTGTTTCAGGAACTGACTTTTGGCTGGATTGTAGATAAATTAGAGCGACGCCTGTGGCGAGGCTAGCACGATCCTCTATGCCAGTACTTAGTATTTGCGCCGGCGACAAGTGGTTGATTTGGTTTATTGGCTACGTGCGATGAAGCGCAGTGGCGCAAGCGATGAATTGATCAATCTGGCACTCGCGGGGGGCAAGGAACCAAAGAATCTTGGCTTGTACGCAATCCGAGCTCGAGTACTTCAGTGCTCAGTACTTGAGTGCCTACTTACTACCTACCCGGTACGTAAGGTCAGTAAGTAACTACTAAGTAGATGCCTGGCTGCTACTTGGGTAAGCAGGTACCCTAAAGCAAAGGGCTGGTACGGAGCACTTCCAATTTGAATATGTTGCTAGGGGAGTAGCTGGGTACCTACCTGTTACTCAAGTACTTAGTAAGTAGGTAAGTTCTTAAGTACTCAAGTAAGTACTGTCTAGGTACTTGTTCTAGATACCAGACCAGTCCGCTGGAAGAGCAGCACGTGTGCGCGGGCTGGTCCACAGTCAAGTCGTATCCATCAAGCCAATGTACACCGGCTTGTGGCTAATTTTGTTCACGTCGACTCGAGGCGCGGATGCGGATTGTCGTCGTTCGCCAGGCGCATTCGCACCAGCCATCTTTCGTCCCTCCCGACATCCGGAGCCTCGACTCGCTCCTTTTCCCATTCCCATTCCACTCCGAGTCCATTTCCATTCCCGCCCGCCTTGGAGAGCCTGCTGCCGACATTGAACCAGTTGACCCCGTCGCCCTCATCGTCGCCCTCATCCTCACCCCCAGCCCCAGCTCTCAGGCTCCGCCGACCAGCTTCAGGGCCGCCGACGCACCGCCGACGCACCGCCGACGACTCCTCGAGCTTCCCGCATGCATAAGCGTGCGGTCTGGCCCTCGTAATACCGCTCCTCCTCCGTATCCACCTCAAATGCCGACACCTTTCGAGTCGGCCACCAGACCAGACGTCTCTTGAATCCCACGTCGCCAGAACCATCCTGCCGACGACGAGACGCGCGCTGCCTCGCCCGCCAATTCCTCCCTCATCTCCGACTCTCGACATTGCCAATTGAACGATCTGGTCGCTTCACAATGCCTCTCTGCGGTGGGTCCAAGACGGTTCAGCGCAAGCTGGTGCTGCTGTACGTGCTTGCCCGTCACCAACGTCACGAGAAGAACCGAGTCGACACGTGTCGGCCAATGCTAACACGGCTTCATGGCAGAGGCGACGGTGCCTGTGGTAAGACGTCACTGCTCAATGTCTTTACGAGAGGGTACGTCTTGACACTCGAGTCGCCATTCTCCTCGCCAGCTCTGACACGCTCCGAGGGCGGATTCGACGTCGACTAACGTACATGGCTAGCTACTTTCCGACGGTGTACGAGCCTACAGTCTTTGAAAACTACGTCCACGGTATGGTACCTCCAAGCCTCCTCTGTGCACACGCCACACCGCGACTGGCCCGGTTGTTTGGAGTCACGAGTTTGCGCGCTGACGATTGCCAATAGACATATTTGTAGACAATGTGCACATCGAGCTTTCGCTCTGGGATACCGCCGGCCAAGAAGAATTCGACCGGTTGCGCTCGCTATCGTATGGTACGACTCTTCTCCCTAGCATGAGTGAAAGTCTCCGAGGTCGCAAACGTCCCTCCCTGTAACTAATATCCTCCTCCCTCTAGATGACACCGACCTGATTATGCTCTGCTACTCCGTTGACAGCAAGGACTCCCTCGAAAATGTGGAATCAAAATGGGTCGGCGAAATCGCCGACAATTGCCCTGGTGTCAAGCTGGTCCTGGTTGCGCTCAAGTGCGATCTCCGCGAAGCCAGCGCCGAGGACGAACAAGGCGATGAAGCAGCCACATCCGCTGCGAGACACGCCGACGGAACTGTCAACACGGAGCGACCCAAAGGGCCCCTAATCGAATACGACAAAGGCCTAGACGTGGCCAAGCGAATAGGAGCCTCACGGTACCTCGAGTGCTCAGCTATGAAGAACCGTGGTGTCAACGAGGCCTTTACCGAAGCAGCACGGGTTGCTTTGAGTGTCAAGAAGGAGAGGGAGGAGAACAAGTGCACAGTAATGTGATGAGGCGAAATCAAGCATGCGAAAACAAGAAGAGAAAAAAAAACAAAAAGAACACCGTCACAACCGCATACAAAACAAGACGCCTCCCATGATTCAGATACCCCTACCTTTGACGATTTCGTCTTTTTTTTTTTTTTTCAAATTTCCTCAACACTTTATTCTCGTGCTGCATGTCAAATTTCAGCTTCACAAGGTCAGTCTCGTGCCGACCTTGGTTCGACTTTAATTTCCCTGCCGCTGTCAGATCGCTCCCTATTTTTATTTTATTTTATTCTTTTTTGCTTTTTTCCCCGTCACAGCATGACGCTATCTGGAGTCGCTCGTTCATCCCGTGTTTGTACATACAGCTGCAGTGGGAATGTATCACGGACGACACAGTACGCGAGATGGAAACGATCGCCGGTATCTTCTTCTCATATGTTTCTTTTTTTCAACTCATTCCTTTTGTGTCCTTTGATTTATCATTTATATACATATATATCTTATTTGTCTGGGTGAGGGTCACATTAGCCCTGGCGTACCTTGTGGGCTGTTAGCACGGAGGATGATGGTGCGTTTGCACGGGCCACGGGTTAGAAATGCTGAATTTGTGTCACTACCGCTCTTTGCATTTGCTTGACTGAGTCTGTTTCTTCATTGCTCTCGCGTTGGGGGGTTTCCTCTTCCCCTGCTGTGATTTGTGATGCCGTGCGCCAGACGAGCGGGTGCTTGACACCTTTCGATGAGGAATGACAGCTCTTTGATGTATTCCCGATTCTGCCGCCATCTTGTCCGGCTCTCGACATGGCCTCGCCCCCCGGGTATTGTCTGTGGAAAGCTCGCCGGGTTCTCAAGACTCGAGATGGGATGACCCTTGGTGTCACCTTCTTGTTAGAGGGGAAATGGTCAGGTCATGGCAACCGACTACCCTACAGCAGCAATTTCTTTGGTGGGCGTCGCCCGGTTTGTGAGGACGCGAATCAGGTTTCCAGCGACAGCATCATGAATCATGATACGACCCATTTCTCGGATGGGGTTGCGAGAATTCAAACAGCCATGCAGAAACGTGGGTTGATCCCATCCCTCTTGACGTTGGACCTGTAGCAATGTAGTTCAAGGTCTACCACAAATCGTGCCTGGCACACTTGCCGACTGCACCATCCATCAGTCTCATTGTCCTCGCTGGTGCATTGTCCTTTTTCGTGTCCTCCTTCTCTCGCTCTCTCGTTACAATGCCTCAGCCAAGGTTCCCGCCACAACTCCTCGCCAGCTTACGGTCTGCAGTCACGTCGGCCGATAGCGCTCCCGCTGTGAGCTCTCGACACGACACGGAATAGAGAGGGGCGGCGGTGCTTTCTGCTGCCGCCTTCATCCACGCGCTTTAATGGCTGATTTTGCCAATACCATACATACCTGACGCCCACGGACAGGCGTCGCTGGAAGACAATGAGAAGCTACATTCCAGCGTCTGGCACCGAGCATGCATTGCATGTGCGTAGTACTAGTGGTTCACTAAAGCCAAGACCAGACGACGACGACGTCCATTTTGGCTAGGAACGAGTCCGCCTTGCCATGTCTCACTTTGGTGCTTTCACACACACGCGCACGTACCAAGTACTCGTTACTAGTTCCGCAACATGCAGCTCGTCAGTAGAGGCTGTGAGAGAGACGCAATGCTTTTTCTGTTGGTGCGGAATGCGGTGGGAGGCGACCAAAGGGTCCGGTCTGGCTCCAATCAAGCGCGGGAGGCCATCACTTTGCTGTTAATTAATCACGACTGGCGGGCCACAGTTCGCCTGCCTGATAAGGCGAGATAAACGGCAACGAACCCTGGAGAAACGGGTGCTTGAGGGCGGACAAGGAGGTGTCTGGTCTAGTTGGTGGGCGGTGTCTCGGGCTGTCGATCTGGTATTCTCACTGACCTAAAAGTGTCTGGTAGTAGGTACTTAAGAACTTAGTTACTTGAGTACTTGAGAACTTTAACCTTGCGCACTTGGGCTCTTAAGTCCTCTATACTCTGTCTGCTTACTTGGTAGTACGTGATCGTCGGTAACCGGTACGTACTGCCACGACGATCTCTCCACTTCGACTCGAGGCTTCCTGTTCGTCAGTCAGGCTTCAAACCCCTGACAATAATGCACCCGGGCCGGGCCAAGAAGCCACAACTAATGCAGTATTCGGTGGGTGCGTGTGTTTTTTCTTTCCTTTCCTTTCCTTTCCTTTCCTTTCCTTTCCTTTCCCTTCCTCTCCTTTCCTTTCACGTTTTTCCTTCGATTATATACCTACCGAGTGCCTAGGCGTGTACAACCTCTGCCTCGGAGGGAAAAGGAAAAAGGGGATAGATAGGAGATAGGATACTCCGGAGGGGCAGGAGGGTGGGTCGCTCAGCAGGGTGGGGGCGTCCTTGCGGCGGCCGATTGGCTGCTGTGTCGCTCCTTCCCTGCTTTTCACTGCCGCTAGCAGTACCGCTTGCCGCTGCCCCTGAGTCAAGGAGTCCCGGCGATAGTTGTTTCTCCTCCCACCGTCGTCAACGACACTCACGACCAGGGAAACTTAACATGGATGGCAAATTGGTCCAGCTTTGCCCGACTCCAGCGTGGGCCCCTGAATTGGTTTGCGACCACGTCCATGCTACGCAAGCATGCAGAGCGTTTCTTGGCCGAACCACACCGCCACCCGGCTTCCAATTGCCGAACGCCAATCCGTTGTCTGTTCTCAATGCTCACCACCAAGCCGTGACGACCTGAATCTGCTTTTGCCCTCGCCGTTCCTTTGCCGTCTTTTCGTCTGCCAACGACGTTCGCTCCTTGCCTCGCCTGCCTCAGCCCGACACTCCTTCACCAACCGACACTCGAGTTGCTTCACTTCACCCTAGCTTCGCACCCTCGACGGCATTGTTGTCACGATTGCCCTTTTCGCCCCTTCTCCTGCGCGTTCGTCTGCGCGTCTACGATTCCAATTGACCCGAGTTGTTGGAGCATCAGAGGTCCTCAGTCCTCGTTCCTTGAGATACTAGCACAAGACCACAGGCCTCTGCCGGATCAGAGGAGGAGGAGGAGGACGACGACCACCTTGCAGTCTCATCCAAGAATTGCCCCAGACCGTTTTGGCCTGTGATCAATCGCACCCTCCTCGCGGCGTCCCCATATACGCACAAAGTCACATGAGTCGAATCTAGACGACAACATGCTCTGCAAGTCAATTTTTGCCGCAGCGGCCCTTCTTGGCCTGGTGGCGGCTCAGGTGCATACCGACTGCAATCCCATGGAACGCGATTGTCCAGCAGATCCAGCATTCGGAACTGATCACAACTTCAATTTCAACGTCACCCCGAGCGGCGACCTCTGGGAGACCACTGCCGGCACCGTCACCTACGATGCTCAAACTGGCGCCGCCTTCACCATCAACAAACAAGGCGACTCCCCAACGATACGCACCAAATTCTACTTCTTTTTTGGCCGCACTGAAATCCACCTCAAGGTCGCCCCTGGCCGAGGCATTGTCAGTTCCATGATGTGGCTTAGTGACGACCTTGACGAGGTCGATTGGGAGTTCCTGGGCTCCAACAAGACCTTCGCCACGACCAATTACTTTGGCAAGGGCCGCCAGGATTTCAAGAACGGCGGTTCTCACCCCATGACCGGTATGCAGGACGACTATCACAACTACACCACCGTGTGGACCAAGGAATCCATCGAATGGTTCATCGACGGAAACCGTGTCCGCACCCTGAATGCCAAGGATGCCAACAACACGCTCAACTATCCTCAGACTCCCATGCGTATGAGCGTCGGCATCTGGGCTGGTGGTGACCCGTCTCTTCCCGAAGGGACCCGTCAGTGGGCCGGCGGCGATACAGACTATGCCAATGGGCCCTACACCATGTACCTCAAGAGTGCTCAGGTCGCCGACTACAGCAGCGGCAAGGAGTATACCTATGGTGATCGTTCCGGCAGCTGGGAAAGCATCAAGATTGCGAGCGGAAACTCTACCGCCCTCGCCGCCCTGAACAAACAGCCCGACAAGTCACTCGGCGAGAAATGGAACGACCTTCCCTCTGGAGCCAAGGCTGCTGTTTACGCCGGAGGCGCTGTGGTTGCTGCTTTGGCCGTGGGGACTCTGCTTTGGTACTACATCCGACAGCGTCGAATTGGAGCCGCAGAGGCCAAGGCCGCGGCCCAGCGCGAGGATGAGGAGCGACGCGAGAATGCAAGGTTCCTCAAGGACGGCGTCAATCCCGACGGCTTCACTGCCCATGGCCAAGAGTACAACGCTAGCGAGCTCCGGGCTGGTGGCGTGGCCGATAAAAACACTTACCACGTACTTGAATCGAGTCCGTTTGACGGGCCCTTTGACGAAAAGTCTCGCCTTGGAAGCAGCGCTAGCAACGTTAGCAGCCTTGGTGGTGCTGCCGGTGCTGGCGTCGTGGCCGCCGGAGCCATGCGAGGCCAACCCGGCCGAACGGCCAGTCCCGCGCCTTCAAGCCATCGTGGTTTTGATTTTGGTGTTCCTCCCAGTCCCGGCCACCCACCGCGCTCTCAGAGCCCCGGGATGCCTCAAAGCGCTCGTCAGCACCAGATGCGTGGCGACTCGTCTCCCGACCCATACTCACGAACGGGGTCCCCTGGACCTCGTCAGCAAGGCTATGGACTGCAGAGAATGCAAAGCCCAGGAGCCATGGGTCCCCAAAGAAGCTTCACCGACGACCAACAGCCAGGCTACGGATACCGGGGACCTGTGTCTCCCAGACGAAAAAACAATGGCTGGTAAGAGGGTTGCTGCGTCGAGATGGGTGCTTATAGGGATAATGAAACAAGCTGAAGAAATAGTTGCTCTCAGGGGTCAGTTTGGTGTCCTTTGGGTACAAAGGGCGATTTTGTTTTTTCGTGTTTATGTCTTTGTTGTAATCTCCCACGCTTTCTTTCACCACGCCATTTTCTTCTTTGTCTTTGCAGGCGGGGTTGGCCATATCTTTCTCTTCTCTTTCCTTTTATACAGGCGTCAACGGCGGCGTTTCACGTCGACTGGTGGCCGAGGCCGTCTCGTCGACGAGGTAGATAGACATTGGATCAACAGATCAAAAGTACACTCACCTGTTCAGTTTGGGCGCAGTTCATGGCTCCTCTTGGCGATGGTGCGTGTCTTTGGATTTCCTTTTGCGAGACTCGGTCCGTTGTCGCTTGTTCCAGTCTGGCCATATCCATGGTTCGTTTGTCACGTCAAAGACGGCCCTTCGCTCGAGCAGAAGACGGAGTGAAGAGGGACAAGAAACGACGCCCCTCGACGACAATCAAGTCCAAACGTATACAAGTGCGTCCTTGGCCGGCGAGAGGGTTTTCTGTCCCACTTGTCGTCAACTCACCTACGATTCGTCTTGCGGCCGATAGCTACTGCTTCGTCCACGCAGCAAGTTGCCTCGCCTGTCGCGCTCCAAGTAAACCCACTACCCCGTCTCACGGAAAGACCACGAGCACGAGCACGAGCACGACCGAGACCATCGTTCGTCATGGACGGCCGGCTCGCAAACACGGGCCAACGAGTGACCCTGCAGGAAGCGGGCAATAAAGTCATAGAAATGAACAGGCAAAGGATCAGGGAAACGAAGAAGTGGCAGGATCTGGTGCGGCAAGTTTTGCACGAGAACAAGAAGAAGATACCCGAGGCGCTGCGGGTGCCTGATCCGGAAGAGAGGCCGCCGACTTCATCGCCGCTGCAGGCGACTCACCCCTCGCACTTGTCCATCTCGGACATGTTCTAATGGCCCTTTGTCGAGCTTCTGCGTCAAGCCCAGCGGTGCTTGTGCTTGCGCCGTGCGATTGGCGTCCCGAGGGTCGGAGGACCTTGGTTTCTCTTTCTTCTTCTTCCTCTTTTTTTTTGGTGTTTGTCTAGAGGGTCCTTTCTCTGGGGGGGTTGCAACACCGTCTGATGACGCCGAGGGCGTTTCTTCGCTTGTCTATATTGCTTTTTTGCCCTTTCGCAGGGTGCTGGTCTGGCGGTACGCACGACGACACACTCCCTCACGCTTCACGTATGGCTAGTCTACAATGTTGAATACATTTCGCAGTACGACGGGCTTCATGTTCCGGCGTGCGTGCAGACCGACACACTACGTGTTCCTCGTGTCCATCCCGTGCTGTATCATGCAGCAAAACCCGAGTAACCACTTCGCGCCGAAACCGTCCGCCAGGTGCCTTCCAGCCAACGATACAACAAACACTCACATCTTTTGCAGCACACATCTTCTACGTCGGTCGTCTGATGATTCGTGACACACTACCCATGGAGTCCTGGCTCACGCGGCCATAGTTGTACTCAATCTCAATTCTGTCCTGGCGGCCTCTCACACCCCCACGGGCCCTACCTCTGTGGAAATATTACACTACTACACCATCTTCATCACTGACGCTCTGCCGACAATGTAGTCACAAATTCATGTACCCTTGACACTGAAATCAGAATAACCAATACAAATCTTCGCTGAGCACGTGCCAGTTTCATCGTCTGGACATGCGGGGTCTTCATGTGGTTTCCTCAACAGACTGCAGTATACTGTCTTTGTATCGTCTAAAAATATCCATCATTAATAATGCCCTCCGTGTTGCGCATACGTAATATGTAAAAGTCGCTTGGCTTTTCGCCGCTTCCCCCCCGGGGCGACAACGGCCTCCTGTGTCGACTGTGTCTTCCATCTTGATATCTGCATCCCTCAGGTCAGTGTACTTTTGGCTGATTCGTCCATTTCCCGCGCCTCCGACACGGGGTTTAGACTCGTACAAAGGAGAGCGCAAAAATCAGACCCGTATAAATGGTGGACGTGGTCAGCTCAAACTCGAACCAAGCAGCCTGGCCGCCAAAGGCAATCTTCTTGCTCTTGGCGGTAGGATGGGCAACCATGGTCTTAGGGTCGCGGACGAGGAGGTGCTCGCGCTCTTCTATCTGCGGCGGGTCGATGGCATAGGCGACTGGTGTCCACGCAGAGCTGCACAAAAACATAAAGGTCAATGGCGGCCAAAAGGCATGCGTCACCAGGCAGAGCAAAAGCGAACGTGTGCTGTCTGTGCGAACGAAGCATCGGTACGAGGTCAGCACCACGCCAACAAGAGTCGTGTAAACAAATGCCAGGTGGAAGAATCCCATGTAGTTGACGAGAATGGTCCAGAGGCGGCGGACCATGTTCTTCTTGAGTGCGGGGTGACGCTCGTTCAAAGCCGAGGCCAAGGAACCCGTAGGTTTGAAGGCTTGCACCTGGCCTCCCAGCCACTTGGGTAGCAGAAAGGAACGGATGAGACACAGAGCGATGTAGGGCGACATCCAAAGCTGGTATCGGGATTCACGCTGGCCGGTGTGGTAGCCGGCAGGCGCGAAGAGGACAAAATCCCATAGACGGTTGCTGATGGTGGAAACAAAGCACGCGCGAATGAGCCAACGGAGCTGCTCCTCCGTGGCGTAGGCAACCAAAGCTTTGCCCATGATCAGAATGACGGGAATGCCAAACATCGAGATGGAGACGAGTATCGTGTGTAAGCTGAGCGTGGCGTAGAGGAATCCCGAGAATCGCTGGGCAGCCGTCATTTTGCGAACCTTTTCACCCCACAAACAAAAATTGAGCTTGAATGATGTGTCTACGGTCCCAATGGCCCAACGAGTGCGCTGCTTCAAGTGACTTCCGAAATCTCCGGGGACGGTACCGAATTGAAGCGGTTCGTGAACGTAGGCAGTCTTCCAGCCCTTGCCCAGCATGAGAGAGGAAGTGGCGACATCTTCGGCCAACGATCCGAGAGGAAAATTGCCAATTTCGTCGAGGGCTTCACGTCGCACGACATAGCCGGAGCCGGTGCACCAGGCAACACCAAGCGAGTCCTTGATGGGCTCGATGACGTGAACAAAGAAATTGAGACTTTGCGAGAGAGGGTCGGACGGCGGCGTGTTATAGAACAGCTGGGGAGGGCACGCGAGAGCCATCTTGCTATCAATGAGGAGGTGAGGAAGAGTTGCTCGGAGCCATTCACGCTCGGGAATCTTTGGACGCTTGTCAGTCTTGCTGCGCGCACGACAAAATGTCGCCACGTTGTTGGGAAACTAAACAACATACCATGTCGGCGTCCAGGGCGGCCATAAACTGCCCAGCACCGCCGGGAAGCAGCCGGCTTTGCTCGAGGCCGTAGTTGAGATTACCAGCTTTGAAGTGGTGAGGCCTTCCGGGAATCTTCTCACGAGCCATGTAGTAGAGGTTACAATGAGACGTGGCCAGGCGGGAGATGGCAGCCTCGAGGGTCTCTGACTTGCCGTCATCCAGGACAATGACACGGAACTTGTCGTAAGGGTAGTCGACGTCGCACGCGCCTCGGACAGTGTCCATGACAAGATCATCGTCCTCGCCACAGCAAGTGACAAAGACATCGACGGTAGGGACGTCCTCACCTCTCAGGCGAAGCTTGGGTCTATATCGCTTCTTTACTGACATGACAGTCCAGCTGTTGTGCAGTAGTGAAGGAAGAGCGACAGCTATTTCCACGGCGATGAAAAGCCAAGCGGCGTGGTAAGTCGTCTGAAACGTCTTTTGCGCCGAGACAACGCATGCAATACGCAGACCCAAATAAATGAAGTAGAAAGCAGTGTTGACCACGGTCAGGAAGGGAACCAGCCTGAAAAGACGCCGTCTCCAGCCTTTCCAAATGTTGCTGTCATCCCGCTTGTGCACGATTTCAACGCCGCCATGCTCAGTCCAGTCCTTGCCGCCAGCTGGTGGTTGAGCTTGCTTGAGGAGCCCGGTGAGGCTGATGTGGCTTTGATTCTGATGATCCATTATCATTAGCAACGAAAGAAAAACAGGGACAGAACGAGCACATGAGGATGTGAAACTTTCCATACCATGGGCGTTGAAGGGCCAGAGTCAGTGGGGAATGAAACACCATGGCGAGTTGACAGGGTAGAATCGACCGGCGTCTGCCGTTCGGTTTGCCATGAGCGAACGCTGGACCGGGATCCAGCAGCACTGTCGACTAGTGTGAAAGATTCCGAACGGCCTGCAATCGAGGGCGGCCAGCCTGGTGAAGGTGATCGATATCCGGCGGGATAAAACGAATTCGGTTGTGCGAAGGAGTTTGCTCCTGGAACTCTCGGGGCACCCTTGGCAACGGGAGGGTGAAAATCTTCCATCGAGGCTTGCTGTTGCTCGTGGGGACAAGTTCGGTCATGGTGGTGGGAAGTGCCGATCTCCGATCTTTCTTCCGCGTCGGGGTAGCCCTTCATTGTTGCCGGGGCCAAGAGGAGGCAAGGGGGTAGAGCGAGAGGTCCGAAATGTATTCAACTGAAGCAAAAAAATCGGCGCACTGGAGTTTGATGGAGATGCTCAAAATGTTCCAACGGCCGTTTTCAAGGTCGAGGAGCCAGAAGGGGGCTAGCTTCAGGTTGGGATTGGGATTGGAGCAGGTCAATCCGATAAAGGTGGGTGACTTGCTGTTGATGGGCGTCGAGCTGATGATGGGAACGTTGAATGCGGCGAGGCAAGACAGGCAAGGATTTTCGTCTCTCCTTCTTCAGTGCTCCTGTTATTTTATGTGACGGATTCAATACAGTCTACTGAATACTGGGAATCCTCGGGCCAAGTTGAAGTGGCAGTGAACCGTTAGGGCCGTGGTCGGGTCGGGTTGGAAGCCCAAACGTTTGCTCGGCCGAATTGGCGTACATGCGAACAAGAGAGCCGGCACGACTTGCTGTGGTCATGGACCATAAAACGAGTGTAGAAGCAAGGTCGCGATGGAGGCGATGGTTCGCCTGGAGGTGATGTTTGGAAGAAACGAAAGGCGCGAGCTGGCGATACGAGGAGGATGACAGCCAGCTGCTGGGTGTTTTGAGGCGGCGTACTCCAACGGGCTGTGGACGAGGAGCCGCGGGAAGGAACGACGCAACAGTTTGGCTTTAAAGTCTACTGCTACGGAATACGGAGCAGCCTGCTTCTAAACTGGGCTCTGATGTGCACGGTACGCGCTACACGGACGGCCTGCAGGGCGGCGGATGGCGAATCAGCCCAGGTGCGTACTTGGAAGTAAGAAGTACTTGGTATTGAGTAGTTACGAAGTATGCAAGCCCTGAGCCAGTTGCTGCCAGTGCGCTCATGTCTCTGCACTGGCGCCCCCCCCATCCCCAGTACTCTGTAGGCTCGGCCGGGCTGCGGGCACGAGTCCTGTGGACTCTGGACTGGACGGACAAACAAAAAGACAAGCTAAAATGGTTCGGGTAGACTGGAGGGGGCGTGCTCCGGGGCGTGAGGGAGGGGCGTGTGTCAGATGAGTTCGTGGGGGGCAACTTGCCCTCTTCCGGTCCCACCAAAGCTGACGGCGTCGGGCGCCTTGTTTTAGCATCTCTGACCCTGCATGGTCAGAAAAGCACAACATGACGGCGAATCACAGACATCAACAGTGCCGGGCTGCCACGCGATTCATGTTGAGCGTCGGCCTGGGGAAACATGACACTGCAAAAAGACCTAGTGCTGCAGGTTTCAAGCATTTCTTTGTTGGATGTAGATCTATTAGTGCTGTTTCTTAGTGATTAAAATGCAGGAGTATTAGGTAGCAAGCACTATCCCGCCCCTTTTTCCTCTTCTCCTTTTTTTTTGACGTGTCATTAAAGCCTCTTGTCAACAGCATGGATCACAACAATACATTACTTAATACAGGCTTTAATATGATTGGCTAAGTATGCCGTCTAGAGCACTGACAGGGCAGGGCAGAATGGGGGCAGGCGCTTCAGTAGTGGCCACTAGCAACAATTGACATCTGCAGCCCTCTATGCCTTGCATGTCTAGACACAGGTAGGCGAGTGCACATTATAGCACGTACTCTGTACTCTGTAGTACTAGTTGAATGTTGTAATCTATTAGCTACCTGCGCTGCCGCAAGCATTACGATAAGTAGAGCTGCACTTGAACAATAATAATAGAGTTTGCCCTTTTTTTTTGCAAGACCCTATCTGCAAGCATAATAAACGCGCCTGATTATTATTAGTATGATACTGTATGCATGCACTCCTTACTGTATGTGAAGGAAAAAAATAAAAACAAAACCAGATAGTAAGTAGACTTATAGAGCGAGAGAGCAGAGCAGAGTAGAGTGAGTGCACGCCTTATGCTTAACTTAATACTAGTACTGCTTCACACAAACAATAATACGTAGCAGCAAGTCGCAACAGTCTAGTACATAAACGCCACGGTTTCTTAAAGTACAGTAGCTGACTGACCCTTGCACATGCTCCGTACTTTTTGTGTGTGTGCTGAGGAAGGAGGGATGCTGTGACCACACGCGACAAGTTAAAGACAAGGTCCAAGCACGCCACGTTCAACCACAGTGGACTAGGTGCTACTATTACGGGGCAGCCGACCCATCGAAACGTATTGTGCAATTCCGAGCAGACGGTGGAAATCGCCAGCATGCAATGTGGAGTCTAGACATTGTACATTGTGTTGGCTGTATCTCTCTCTTACTCTTTTGCTCTCTCTCCCTCTCTCTCTCTTTTTTTTCCTTGTGGGGGGAAAAGTCCGTCAAATCAATCCTAAACTAGTCTTGTTGGCATATCTTAGTGGTCCAAGACTAGCATCTTGGGGGAATTGCTTGGCAGGCTTTATTGCCCTATGGCGCTTAATTTTAGGACCATAGCAGCAAGGACCCCTAAACTTATCTATAGATCTTTCTTGGCAGTAGTGCAGCAAAAGTTGTCAGCGTCACTGCTCGTGGTGCAGGCGCAGTGTCACCACTAACCGCTGCCAACTTTATGGTCTGCGGCAGCCTGTTGCGAGGGCGGCACCCGACGGGCAAACTACCGCTGGTCTGACACGCCAACGTCAACAAGATGCGCATCCAAGTACGTAGTTGGGGTGGCAGTACGGAGTACGGATAGACGTTTGGGTGAATTTGGCCACGCCGGCTGAGTCGTTGGGGTCAGATATTGGAATCCGCCCGTGGAGTCCTCTCTGTTGGCGTCCCGTTGTTGGTGCCAGAGTCGACACTCGGTATTGTATTGCACAATACACAAACAGGCTCATGTCGAGGATGCCGACGTTCGTGTTGAAGAGAGTTGGCGCTTTGTGCGCCACGCTCCAAGCCCACGCACGCAGCACAAGTAGGAGATGACTCGCGTCGCTGCGCAGCCGAAGGTCGGCGTGTCGACCGGTTAAACTTTGAACTGGCAAGGGCACCACCGGCAAGCTTGCTTGGCAGCGGGCAAGCATGCGTCGCAGCCCAAGCGCCGTGGCCCCGTCTCGATACGATCCCGCCCCGCTTCTTTCCCCTTTGGCTGCTTTAGCCTCCCCGACCCTGGCCCGCCCCTCCGTTCGCACCGCCAAGTCCACCCTTGCCGGGCGTCGTTCATCCGCGTGCGTCCGGGCGCATTTGATTGGCCCAGGGCTGTCAGGATCTGGCCTGGTGGCGCGCGCCCCTGTTCCGCAGCTTTTCTTGTTTCTTTTCTCATGTCGCATTCGTAACTGAGTAGCGTACTCCGTGGGGCGTCCGGAATACGTTACTGCGGTGCTACGTGACGACCTTTACAACGGCTGCTTGCTTGCATGCTTGCTGCATATGCCGCGACGGTTTGTTTGGCGTCTGGTGCGAGGCTACTCAGATGGATAAGCACACGCGCCATCAGATAACTAGTCCCTCCAAGTACGTATTGTCCGTCCACCGCAAGTAGTCGATGGCGGAGAATGATGAGAAAAGGACGGGAATGCGGGCGTGGCTTCCATAACACCGCCGCCACAAGGCAGACGAGTACGGATTGCGGAGTTGGTTGCTCGCACGTACGAGCTGGTTGGCGGGCAAGGCGGTGCCGGTGCCGGTGCCGGTGCCGGTGCTGGTGCTGGTGCTGGTGCTGTCGCCGTCTGTGCTGCGTTTGTTGGTTGACGAATTACTTATTGCCAGCCTCTCTCTCCGTACCCAGGAATGTACCGGATACAGTATTGCATGCCGAGTACTCGGTAGTCCTCTGCTCGTGATGAATGCACGCCCCCCATGGCCCGCCCAGGCTTTCCGACTGGTCTGATGCTCGTTTCCCACCAGTGCTCGTGGATTGTCTTTGTTGTACTCGGAACGCAATGGAGGACTATGGTTGCGCCCTTTTGCTGTCCGAGCATTGTTGTGCAAGCAAGCATGCGGCTGCATCAGGATTCAGGGCCCAGGGCATAGGGAGCCGCATCCGCCAGACCATTGACTCGGTGCTGGTTTGCCCTGGGGCCTGTCTGGCTGTAGCCTGTAGCTGAGCCTGTATGCTGTACTCAGTATTTCAAGTACTCAAGTACTTACTTCGTACTTCTAAGTACCTACTTACTATACTCAATGCTGCATGTAGCTTGTACCTGCGCTGCAGACCAATGCCACCGCCGTTGTGCCCAGCAAAACAACTCGCAGGTGCCAGCACCGCCAGCACTGGCGACGGCAGGGGCGACTCCTTTTCCCTCGCACGCTCGCACGCTCGCTCACTCGAGTCACCTCGCTCACTCGTCCTCGCTCATCGCCGCCGAGGAGACCGTGCTTTTTGCGGCCGCTCTCGCTTCTTTTTGTATTTCAGACTCTCGCTCGCTCCTGGTACGTAGCGTGCGCCGTTCGCTTCGCCCGCCGCCGTTGGAGCCGTTGCGACCTGCACCGGTTCCTCTCCCCAAACCAGCTCAGTCAGCATACAAACTCGACGACTCTCAAATACTCGAGCCCGTCGCTCTCCTTCGCTCTCCCGGCGACGCAGCTCGCCGTCCGTCCTCTCGCCTCCAGTCGCCTCTCCTGCCCGTCCTACACCACCGCCATGTTTAGATGGCTTGTTAATGCCATCCTCCTGGCAATACCGGTCGGTACCACCATCGCCATCTTGTTGGGCTTGCAGGTACACAACAATGCAAACGGCCGCCCGCCTCCATTCTCTGGCGGTGACAACGCCGGCGACCTGCCTGGAGTAGGAATTCCTAGGGGCAAAGATGGCGTCTTCATGAAGTGCGATGAATCATTCGGTTTCGACCCCAAATCCAAGGGCCAGAACTTCATCCGTGAGTCTTTTGTTTCTGAGCACACAATCTGTGCCGTCGCCTGCCACCTGATCTACCTTGACTTGCCTTTCTTTCTTTCTTTTTTCTTTTTTGCCGCGCCTTGCCAACCTCCAAAACTCCACGCATGGCTCGAGAACTTGGCTGCTAACAATTCTCTCTCTTGCACAAAAGTAAATCCGAATCCTTGGGGTTGGAAAGACGGCGAGCCAGGTGCTCTTTGCATGCTCGTCAACGTCAACGGAAATCGAACATACGCCACGGATTTCTCAGCGCCCGTCTTCAATGTCACCTGGCAGTATCCCCGGCTTACCAATGGGCGGAACAACGTGCACGCCTTCCCCAACGCAGAAGTCGACAACAAAAAATTTCCCGTCCAGGTCGGATCTGTTTCCAAGTTTGAGCTTGACGTTGAATGGTCCCTGTCGCTCAAGAATGACACACGTCAACAGGTTACCGAGGACGACATCACAGCAAACCAGATCAACGCCAACGTGGCCGTTGACATGTTTATGGACAAGGACAGCACCAAGGCCGGCGAAAGTACCAAGGCCGGCTTTGAGGTGATGGTGTGGTTGGCCGATTTTGGTACCGATGCTTGGCCCATTGGCAAGACGACTGCAGCCGACAAGGGCCTGGTCAAGACTACCACCCTGAACGGCGTCGAATTGTAAGTTGGGGTTTTTTTTTCCCCATTTCCATAGGGAGAGACACACACACACAGAAAGACGCACACACAGATGGAGAGACACATAGAGTACAAAAGATGGCAGCTGACTGTTTGTAGTGAGCTGTACGCCGGGACTAATGCCCAGCAACAAAGGGTGCTGTCCTGGGTAGCAACCAAGCCCACTGCCAACTTCCAGGGAAACCTGAAGCCGCTTCTCGACGGCATCTTTGACTTGAACAACGCCAACTATCCCCAAAAGACGGACTATCTCGGCTATGTTGCCTTTGGACAAGAAGCCTACAGCTCGACCAGCAACGTCACCTTTTCCGTGACGAATCTGGCAATAGACATCGAGACGTCTGCATAACTCTGGATTGCAACACCACATCAACGGAAACGCCATTGGCAGGTATCTGATTCGGGCCATTCGAGACTGGCTGAATTGCCAGAAGGTGCAAAATTCAGACGCGACATGCATTCACTAATACGAATGGTGGCTTACCAGCGACGCCACTAATTGGCACGTGCGACTGGCATTATGTATATTCTTGGGTCGAACGACCAACATGGCGTGCAGCCACCATGAAGCGATACACGAAGTGCTATTTTATTGGCGTTTATTTGGACATGGTAGGTCCGGGCCGTGGCTCGCATGACACACTGATTGTTTTTATTTTGATATAACTTGTCACTATGCATAGGCAATACGGGATGACGTTGTATTTGTATATTACGGTACGCGCTTACTGTGGGCGAAAGCAGACACTCTGCAACTAGGACGGAGCCGGCCGGTGCGACATTGCACAGCATCACGATTCATAGACAGAATTTAGACACGTGTTTCTCAGGTGAAGGCATGACTGTCTGGGGCGTGGAGTATTGCCCCAAGGGGGGGGAATAGCCGAGCTGGGAAAGTTTGTTGGCGCATTGCTTGCTTTCCGGGGTTCTTGTCGTGGAGGGCCTGGAGCCACTTGTATCGTCTTCTGGCCGTGTTTATCCCCGAGCCAACCCCACGGTCTTTTTCGTGGAAATGGGCTTATGAAGCGTTACGAAACGCCCGCCTCGCCGTGCCTTGGTGCATGACTACACTGCCCATGTTGAATGACCCCCAAGACTCGTGAGCCGTTTATGAATCAATTTGGACAGACTGCTGTGCTGGTCCACCTCGCCCCCCTTGGGTGGGCCGGAGTCCCGATTAACCAAGCGTTGCCGGCCGTGGTGCTTCACAACGCTTCTAGATCGAGTGAATGAAACGTGTTCCAAATCGACCCATGCGGGTTGGCCCGCAGTTTACACGCCTCAAGCACAGCACCCATGTCCAGGGAATGAAGATGCGCCCAACTCATCGATAGATCCTCACGTTGAGCGCAGATGCGGCCCGCCTGAACACCACGCATGTATGTACATGCCGGCGCAAGCCCCGGCAGGGCAGGGCAGGGCAGGGCAGGGCAGACAGACAGACTATTCGCAATGCTCCCATTTATTCACTGTTGGACAAGTCCATGCCCGCAAGACAGCCAGGCTGCACAATATTTAACTGTAAATTGACGCGACTAGACTGATACCTTGGAAGAGAAGAAAAAGCAAGGGACAAAAGGGCGCCAGAGACCAGTCCGAGAGTTCTACCCGAGCCTCATTGACGTGCAGGGAAATTACCGCTCCGAAGGGGAGGGCATTTGCGGTTGGACAAGACGACTGCCTGGCGCGAGTCGGAAAGCAACCCCAGAACTGCCATGTTTGCCGGAACCCTATGGTTCAGGAGCCTTCAGTGCAGGTGTCGTACGCTTTCAAGACGGAAATTAAGCAGCCTTCGGCGGGTTCGTCGCCATGAAAGCAGCCCGGTGGTACCTCGACTTCGTTGCGGCAGCGGTCATGGTCGTCGTTGTCCACGGTATAATGCCTTTTCGAGTCGATCAATTGGAGCACGGCATATCGGCCGCGTTCGCTCTCGAGCTCGACGTGCTCTTTTTTGCCGCAGTCTGTAATTTTGTCGTTGGCCCACATTTTGGCCCCTTTCACCAAGCTGAGGTCGAGCTGGGAAACGTTGGGCTCATCGCTGCGGCGAGCAGGCGGAGCCGCGAGGGTTGATCCGGCCAGAGACAGGGCGGCGACGAGCGTAGCTTTCATGGTGGACTATCTTGAAACTGAAGGAAAGAAGGGGTGACAGGACGACGTAGTTGTTGGGAGACAGGAAAGCGAGAGTTGGGTTGAAACAGCGGCGCACGTATGAAGACCGTGCAGCATAATGGGTGTGGCCAGTCGATGGATCCTTATAGTCGTGTGCCCTGTCTGCGCTTCACGTAATCCTCTCCCTCCAGCGGCTTGGTTTTGCCGAGAGGCCACGAGTCTTGTAGGTTGTGCGCATCACGTCCTGGTTCATCCTTGACGCCGGTCCACAGTGCTGAATCGGTCGGCACCAGTCGGCGCGTGCCTCGTAGGTCGTAGGAGGCGCGTCGTGTAACACTTATATTGCAATTGGCGCGTGCCCAGGGCTTCTTCACTCGGTAAACGGAATCAGTACCGGCACGCGCGCCATGTCGTGCGCATGGAAGCGTATATTGACATCAAGCCATGAAACCCTTGGTATGCCTCGGCCTCCACTCTGCTGCAACGGCCGACCCTGTTGGCCCTGTCTGCTTTTCACCTTTACCGCTGTCCGAACCAAGGGAAGCTGGATGTCCAGGAAGTTTCGAGCACACCAGGGCCAGCCAGGTTGGCGACTGAGTCGCCACTTTGGACATTCGGCAAATCCGACGGACAGCGGTACCCTGAACAACACGCCTGGGCCTAAGGCACCAGGCCAGGCTTCCTGCTGGCTTGCGCGCCTCGCTTTGGAAATTACGTGACCCCATGCAGCAAGGCCACAGAAGCCGCGCAACACCTTGAAGGAAACGACTCCATCTCTCGCCTTGGATGGATGTTGCGGCGAGCCAGGGTCGGAAGTGCCCGGACGAGCATCACCTGGGCCGGAAACACGGCTACCGAGTATATGTAGGATATAGTTATACGCCCAGGCAGGCCCCGCGGGCGGCCTTGTTCACCACGGCATGGAGGCGCGGTAGCATGCGGTTGCCGTCTGCCAAGGGGCTCGCGGGCCGAGTCGACTCCATCCGGGGATGCGAATCGTGTTCACGCCGACGTCGTGCACCGACAGACGGCACGTTATCGGCATTGATGCAGTCTCGCCGGCGATTCTCGAGCTTTTTGTTGCCGGCATCCTGGTGCCCGAGCAAGTTTGGCGTCGCTGGGCTTGTTTTGTGAAAGATGTAAGCGGAGAAGACGAGGCCGGACGAGAAGGGACTATTATTATTCCCCCCAACCAGAACTGCTGGGTCCACTTTTGGGCCCACAGGAGACACTGGAGTTTTAGCTCGCGCTTCCCGCGGCTACTTGGTCTGGGACTTTTTGGGAAAAAAAAAAAAAGAAAAGAAAAAAAACACAAAAAGAGCATCTCGTCTGCTTCAATCCCAACAGCCAGGCCTCTGGGCAAACGTCGACGTCGACGCCACCCCGTCAGAATGCGCCACTGCTCCCGCAAAAGACGACTTTGGAATACAGCATACACCTCTCGATGCACCTCTTCTTGAGCGTTCAGCTCATGTATGCTTTGCCGTCTTGGATAGTAGGCGGCGGCCAAGCAAAACCCCGCAGGTGGCGTTCATAGGGCGTCGTGGCGCCTCCCAAACCGCCAATAAGGCCATTGCAACGCACCCGAAACAGGTAAAGGGGCACAAAGGAGCCGGCTGAGGAGGTCATCAAGGTATATTTATGCGACTGTTACGAGGGATATGATGTTACGAGGAATATGATACACTGTAAACGCTGAACCCTCCCGCCTTTGCCGCCCAGGAGATCCCCGACATGCTTCCATCGGCCGAGCGCCGTCTGCTGGTCGGACTGAGCTTGACGAATGCGTCCGATCTGTTGCCGAGACTCAGGCTGTACTTGGAGCCCCTCGGGTGGTACGTGATGTGAAACGCCTGCGCCTTGTTGGCATCCGACGTCAGCAGGCCGACAACAGGCCACGCCGAGACGTACTTCTTGTCCACGGCCGACTGCAGGTAGAAGTGGTTGCCGGCGCCGGGTCCGCCAACCGTGTGGACGATCCATCTCTGTCTGGCGTCACCGTGACTGCTCGTCGCGGGCGTAACGCTGACCACGGTTCCGTTGAAGTTGGTAAGGGCGAGCCCGAACATTTCGAAGGTGAGGTAGCGACCCTCGGTGAGCCGGCCGCGCACTCTCTTGAAGCCCTGCTCGACGAGCTGGGCCATGTCCTGGTCGGCGTTTTGCTTCCCATACGGAACCGGCGGCTTGTTGGTCTTGTGATCTTGGAGGCACTTGGCGGCGCCGACCCACGGCCCGGTCAAGGACCCGAGACTAAGGTTTCCTGTCCAGCGCGAGCCGTCGTCGGGAAGGGAAGGAGGCGTGTCAACCGGCGTGATCAGGGGCCTGGAGTAGTCGGGCTTTTTGCGTTCCGACGTGCGCGTGCCTGGATTAGCGCTGTGAACATGTCATGTAGGCGCGACGCGACGCTCACTCACATTGTCAAAGTCAAATGCATTCAGCAGGTTGGACATGTGGTCGCGCCGCCATTGCGTCAGGGCCTTGGTTCGCACGCCTCGATAGCCGTGGGCCGCCGCCCACTCCTCGACGAACTGAATATCCGACGTGTGATCGGCAAACTCGGTGAAGACGTTGCCGCCTCGTGACCATGGCGAGATGATAAACCGAGGCGTTCTCCAACCTGCTCGCGGAAACGTGCCCTGGGTCAGTACTCGGTATGCTGTAGGCGCGACGACGGCCTTGCCACCGGGCTTGTTTTGCAACGACGCAGCTTACCTGGACCGAGAGGCACGTCCCCGAATTTGTTGTAGGGATCCTTGAGCCACTCTCCGGCAGTGCCCTTGGGCGCAACAACTGGAACCACATGGTCGGCCCAGCCTCCTTGCTCTGGAATGTGCAATTTGACATGAGTTAGCCGACGCACGACGAAAGCGAGGTCCCCCCCAAAAAAAGAAACAAGAAAAAAAAGGCAAGTTTTGCGCGTACCGTCGTAGCTTATGATGAGCACCGTCTCATTGTAAGCCGGGCTGTTGGTGATGGCGTCAACAACCTTCTTTTGCAGCCAGGCACCGTCCTTGGGCAGGTTGGGAGGATGTTCACTCTGCTCCTGCGGGCCGACGATCCAGCTCACTTGAGGCAGGGCACCCCTGGCCGCGGCTTGGAAGAAGGCGTTCAGGCCCGGATACGAGTTACCCTTGTCCCGGAGGGCCGAGCCGGTCTTTGCCGTCTGGTACTGCGCAAAGTACGCAAGCATATTGTCCTCGAAGTTGTCAAAGTCCTGCCACACCTGCCACGAGATGCCCGCATCCTCCAGGTACTCGGGGAAAGTCTTCCACACGAACGGGAAGCAGTTAAGTCCCGGTGCCTCGCAGCCTGCACGCAGTCAGCCACCGCCGGACCAGTTCATCATACATCCGGCGCTGCAGGTCGGCGCAGCTCTCGTCTCGTCGCTCTCCCTCTGACGGTGAGAAACAAAAAGGGAGAGAGAGAAGGGGGGGCTGGTCTCGGGGGGTCTCACCCGGAGTTGCACTGTTGTCAATGATCATGCCGCCCTTGCCATCCGGATTGGTTGGCGACCCGGGGATATTCACAGAGCCACTCATCCATGTTATACGGTTCGGGTCCGTGGCGGCTAGAATGCTTTGGCTGGCCATGTCCGCGACGGTCCAGCCCTCGGCAATGTCAAAGTGCGTCGGAATATCAGCTCTTTTGAAGTATCCCAGGCTGTAGGGGCTGTCTGCGTTGGCCCAATTGTTGCCGAGCCCGCCGCTGTAGGCCGAGTGCATCGCGACCCAGCCATTGTCGCCGGCGCCCATGCATTGTGTTGCGTCGAGCCATTCACCACCGAGGTAGTTGATGTGCCAAGGCTTCAAGATGTCGACGTCGTTCTGACGAGAGATTGGCCTGGAGAGGACGTGTCAGCGGGGGACCGCGCTGAGCAGGCTTGAGGCTGGACTTGCTGTTCAAATGTAGAGCGACCGTCTGGGTTTACCTGCACGTTGGGGTCGCCAAAGCCACGAACACCGGCCATGGTGCCAAAGTACTATCCATCGACAGGCTGCTGTTAGGACGATGAACGGCCTGGGCCCTGGAGGAAGGGGCTTGTTGGCCGGCTGGGACTTACATGATCAAACGCGCGGTTCTCCTGCATGAACAGCACAATGTGTTTGACGTCTTTGAGCGACCCGGCCTGAACTGCCGTTGCCGCAGCCAAGGCGGCGGCCGGGAGGCAGAGTTTGCGGTGCATCTTGAATGGTCTGCAGAGTTTCTGGGGGCGGCCGAGCTTGGCTCTTGGGCTCACGCCGAGCAGACTGAGTGAGAGAGTCTCGAGACACTGGGCCCGCAGCGTCGTTTATTAATGTCGTCGGGAAAGCTCGTCGTTTCCGAGTATACACGGGAGGCTTGCAAGCTGCCGCCAGTCACGGCAGGTGGCTTTCTCTGCCTCTCCACCAGGTCCGAGATGCTGGTCCCAACTTCCTGGCCTCACAATGCCCGGGGATGTGAAGGCGTGTGCGGGGAGACCACGGTTGAAGGAACTGAGCACGTGGGTTAAGTCATGGGGAAGGCAATGATTGCTGTTGGGTGTGTGATGTATCGAGCCAATATTTCCATGCATGGATGAGAAGTTTCCCCCCAAGTGGTGTCCAGACGAACCATGTTGTGAGCTCCGACTCGGAAGCAAGACGGACTAGACTGATACGCGGTAGAGGCCGTCTGATAAGTACTCTAGCCACGGGATAATGAACGACTGCGCTCTTTTGGTCGAGGCGGCACCGTTGGCTCTGGGCATGGCGATCAACGACGGCGACGCAGGAGGGACCACGTAGTAGGGAGGAGGAGTACGTAGTAATCATTCTCGCCCCTAACCCTGACAAAAGCGTGCTCGCGGTCTGGTCCGTCCCCTCCCCTTGGCCCACGGATCCGTGGAGTCTCAGTCGGTAGTGCTTCAGGCACACGGACAAGGCCAGGCCGAATCCGGTCGAGCAAGCAATCACGCACAGGCGTTGACGGCCGGCCTGGTCGTGGGGTCATGAGGAGTATCTGGACAAGACAAGAGGCAAATGCAGACGTCCACAGCTGCCAATTTCAACCTAGTGCCGGCGTGGACGTGGGGTGGACGTTTGTTTATTTAGGCTGGTGGCGACGCAGCATGTCGTGGAAGCAGGCGGAGGGAGCAGCAGATGGAGCGCTGCCCTGCTGCTGCCCTGCACGCCGCCAGGCACGAGGGGCCAGCCGATTTGCCGATTGGCTCTTGGCAGCCCTGGTGGCACCTGGGTCCCGTCCCGTTGTCCTTGTCTCGTGAGACGAATTGCATCACGCATACATGCGAGGCGGAAGGAGTGCCGCAAGCGCAACCACGCATCACCTTGGTCGGGCCTCTTTTCCCCTCTTGCTCCCCGTCTTTCCCAATTATCCATTTTTCCATTTTCCGAGTTTCCTCCTCTCCCGTTTTCCCTTGCCTTTTCTTTTTCTTTTTCTTTTTTCTTTCTCCCCCAAAATCGCATCGCCCATCCTGCCCGGTGCAGACGGTGACCCACCAGTTCTCCGCGGAGCAACCGGCTGCTACTAGTTCGTAGTCTGGCTAGTGCGGCAGTCATTACTGTCCCTACTTGCCAAGTTAGTACTCGCCCCTCGTTTTAGCTCACAAGAAAGACATGGACGACCAAGGCAAGGAAGGGGCTTTCCCCTCCTTCTCGGACATGCTCGTGTCGTGCATGCAGCTCCCGGTTTGTCCTAGGTCTTGTGCTCGTGTGCAACCAATCCCACATCCCAACTCGGGCGAGACTGCCAAGAAGGACGCCGTGTTTGTCACCAGACGTCAACCGGTCCGTGTCTGTTTCCACGAGGCTCACGAGTCACAGACGCCGTCTAGCCATCCGCCAATGCGGCTCGCAGCCTCCAGCTTTCGAGAATCGCCGCTTCCAAGCATCAGGTGAATCCCTTCCATTCCTGAAATGAGTCCTGCCGTCGTGTACAGAGCACACATTTGCTTTGATGCGGCCGCGTCGTCATGTCTTGCCATGTCGAGCATCGGAAGGCGCCGTCTCGCCCATCGCGCCGCCGCCCGGCGCGGCTGATAGCGGTCGTTGCTTTTGGAGGCTTGGTTATCGCGGGTGTCTGCCTCTGCATGCTCTACTTGATCGACGCCCAGTCATTCGTCGACTCTAATCAGGCATTGTTTGCACCTGTGACGCCTTCGCCAACCGCCATCGGTGCCGAGGCTGGTGGTGCGGCAAACCAACATGAACAGGGCCAGCGCCCGGCTCAGTCAGAGCATCAAGACGTCTCCAATGACAGCAACGTCCTGCACCCCGAGCATCATGTACATCGCGCTCCGACAACAATCCACCTGAGTTGGAACATCACTCGAGAAACTCGCTCGCCCGACGGCGTATCGAAGCCCGTCTACCTGATCAACGGTGAGTTGCGATGCCTTCTTCTGCGACGCTTGGCAACGCGCCGGCCATGAATCATGGCGGCCAACTCTGTCTCCTAGGTCAATTCCCCGGGCCCGTCATCGAGGCCAGGTCTGGGGACGAGCTGGTGATCCAGGTGCATAATGCCGTGAACCAACATGACCACCCAGGCATTTCCATCCACTGGCACGGCCTGTCGATGGAAGGTGTGTGCTCCATCTCGTTCCTGAGTTGACTGGCATTTTGATCCATTGAGTAGGCAGCAACGAGTTGGACGGCGTGCCGGGCTTGACGCAGTGCGCCACTGAAGCATCCCAGACTTTGACATACCAATTTCGCATCGCCCATCATCAGCACGGCACATTCTGGTAAGCGAACCTCGACAACGTGCTTCCCTACAAATGCCTGATGCGGCCCTGCAGGTACCACGCTCACTCGGCTCTGCAGCGTGCAGATGGCCTCTACGGGGGACTAGTTGTCCACCGGCCTGTCCAGGACGGGAGTAAAGGGGATGAAGCCCTGTATGACTACCAGAACGAGCAACTTTTACTTATCGGGGACTGGTATCACCGGACGGCACAAGACGTCCTGGAATGGTACCTCGATCCGGACCATTACGGCATGGAGGTATGTCGTTTACCTATCCATCAAGTAACACGAAGAGCTAAGGATAGCAACTCGAGCCCGCCCCCGACTCTCTTCTCTTGAACGGAAGGGGCCGCTTCAATTGCTCCATGGCCGTCAAGGCGCGCCCAGTCGAGTGCCACGATGTTGAGAAGCCCCTTGTTCGACTGCTCAACGCCCAACGCATCCGACTTCGTGTCATCAACACCGGGTATTTCACGACTTGTACCCCGACCTGGTGTGAGCATGCTAACTGTATGGATAGAGTCTCAGCAGCTTTCAGCATGGCGGTATCCAACGCCACCATGGAGCTCATCACGGTAGATGGCGGATATCCCGTCGACAACGAAACGTCCAGCACCAGAGCCATTGGCCTTCTCTACCCCGGAGAACGCATTGATGTCGTCCTGCATCGTACCCCGGAGTACTCTCCATCTTCTACACATGCCATCTCAACGAATCTAACATTGGCACTCGACAGAGAGTAAGTTCTCGTTCCAGCCACGTGCCACCCCTGCATCGCGGCAGGCACCCGCCATTGACCACCAGTTCTAGGAACATGCCACTGTGGAACTTTGCCTTGACTCGCACGCAGTCTTTCCAGATGCAATCCGTCGGCGGTGTGAGAGACGGGGCGCAGAGGCAGCATCCTCGCCAGAGACCCCCGGTGGATGTCCTGGATTTGGCCCACGTACTCGGACAGCCCCTTCAAGAAGCACAGCCCGGGATTGCAAAGCAGCCGAGCCAACGGGCAGTTTTGTATTCTACCATGAAGATCCGAGCTGCCAACCACAACCGTCCAGTGGGCTCGATAAACCACACATCCTGGGTTGCCCCGGATGCCAGAGCCCGGCCCCTGCTGACCTTGGAACGGGAAGAGTGGGAGACGATTGTTCCACAGCCCACCAGAGTGCACAAGTTCCAAGTCCCATGGTTCCAAGAGTCTGGAGCAGACACGTGGGCCGATGTTGTGGTGAACAACTTTGACGACAAAGGCCATCCATTCCACCTAGTAAGCGCCCGCTCCCTCTTGTCTCCCTTGTCCTCACCCCGCACGATTCGTCAACCAACGCTCCAACAGCACGGCTACGAGTTCTTTGTTGTGGCCCGAGCCCAGGGGGCCGGCGTGTACAGAGGCTACAACCCCTTCGACGCGCAAAGCGTGGCCGACGCAGGGCCCCTGAACACGCGCAACCCGCTGCGTAAAGACACGGTCTACATTCCCGCCATGGGATACGTCGTCATGCGTTTTCCGCTGCGCAACGACGGCCTGTGGCTTCTGCACTGCCACGTTCTATGGCACCAGGCCGTCGGAATGGGCACGGTGATTCAAGTCGGCCGAATCGCGGAGTCTGTTAAGCAAAGGTCCAGAGAGACGTGCTTTTCCCCGTCTGGTCGGTAGAGGAGGATGGCGTGAAAGGAGGGGTGGGATGTCGACCTTTAAGCAACTGGCTCGCATGGCGACGGCGTTTTGGGTGCTATTCCCAAGCCCTTGGGAAAGAAGTGGCTCGTCGGACCTGATGTATCATCGCGCGGTCATGAGCCGCGAGTCCCGCGGCGACTCATGTAGGCTCGTCGCGTAGCTACTCCGCATTACCTAGGTACAACTTTTGTCTTGCATCGGACGCGTCCGTGTCCAATCTTTGGCGGCTAGTAGACCAATCTGGGCGGGCTCCGAGGTCCGCGTGTGTAACGCCACTTGATGAGTCTCGCCATTTCCTCTTCGCCACCACGCCAGCGGCCCATGTGCCGCCCGCCAAACAAGGGGGGGTTTCGTGCCCGCTGCGAGCTGTCCAAAGCAGCACCTCGGCCAGCCTCGTCGTGGATCCACGGCTCGAGAGCCACTGGGCTCGGGTCAATCCGCGGCAGCCGCCCCATGCACTCACTAGCTTGCTTGGACTGGCGCCGGGGGAGGGGCGGGGCTCGGCCGGCCGGCCCGGATCGGCGCCTGCCTGCCAGCCATGCAGGGGGCCGGGGGCCAGGGGCCGGGGGAGTCGGCGACCAAGGAGGCCACGCACGGCAGCACAGGCACGGCCACGGGCACGGTGATAGTGGCCGCCGGCCCCGACAAGCACACTACGCTTCGCTCCTCGACGACCACAAAGCCGGGGCGGCAAGCGAGTGGGCCGGCCGACAGTCACTGGCGCGGCGGACATGCACAGAGATGAAGAGATAGATGCCCGCGGTTCCTGCGCACGGCGACGGTCATTGTGAAAAGGAATGCATAGGACGGTGATGATGTGGTCGAGCTACGGAGCTACAGACGCCGTGAAAATGCACACAAGTCTAGTGAAACTGAAACTGAAGCTGCGTCGAGCAGCCTACAGGATGAGCGGGCGGACAAAAAACTCAACGGCCTCGGCGACGACGTCTGCCTTTGCCCTCTCCCCAAATACAGCGCAGCACGGCTCGGCAGGGCGCGGCAGTGCGTGCATGCCGACGGGGACTGGGCGCGCCCAAAAGCCAAGCAAGGCACCACGCTCCTGCCACCGTGTACCTGGCAGGCTCTGCACGGCAAAACAGGCCCAGGGGCGCCTTGGAAACCTGAACAGTCGGAGTCGGGCGCCGGCGACGGCGGAGAGAGGAGTTCAAGCAAATTCAATCGGTATCGACCTGCGCCTCGCCGCGTCTCCTGGTTTCCTGGCGGTACTTTTCGGCGCTCCACTGGCCGGCGGCGGTGTGGCCGGACGTGATGGGATTGACTTTGTGGACGTACATGGCGTCAATCTCCTCCAGGCTGCGATCTTTCGACTCAATCACGAAGAAGAAGACAACGAGGACCAGGGCGCCGCAGCAGCCCGCAAAGACTAGACCGTACAGGTAGTCAATCTCGTCGGTGATGAATCGTGTGCTGTGTGCAAACGGTCAGGATTGCTCGCTACGTGGCACCGCGGTGGCACCCACGGGGCAGGGTGGACGGCGCCGACTCACAAGAATGATATCAAACTACAGCCTGTCAGCGCCAAAGGTCGTACACGCATAGCACGGGGGAGGAGCGGCAATGGTCCTGTCTGTACTCACAAGTTCCACAGCCAGTTGGAGGCAGTGGCCAGGCCCATGCAAGTGCTGCGATAGCGGAGAGGGTACAGCTCTGCGTTGACGGCCCAGACCAAAGGCCCCCAGCTGACGGCAAAAGCCGCGATGGCCAGACACGAGAATGTGACGAGGGCCGAACCTGCCCCGGGCGTGTTCATGGGGTTGTCGTGGTCAAGGGCAAAGTGGCCGACAAAGGCATAAACACTACTCTGCGGTCAGCGTCGGCCCTTGGGACCCGCGTCTGGGAGGGAGGAAAGGGGAGAGAAAGAGAGAGAGAGGAGGCCGAGCCAGGCTGGACCGTCGTACAGGAAGCACATCATCATCCAGGCAGCCCCAATCATGAGGGTGTTGCGACGACCGAAGCGCTTCGCGACCCACAGCGCAATGATGGTGCAAAAGACGTTGACGGAGCCGAGGATGATCTGGGTCACGTAGCTGTTGCTGATGCCCGTGGCGGAGAAGACGGTGGTGCCAAAGTAAAAGAAGAAGTTGGCGCCGGTGAGTTGCTGGCCGGCCTGGAGCACGATGCCCAGGACGGTGCGGTGGAGCATGCGCGGCGCCGTCAAGATCTCGCTCATGCGGAACTCGTCGGCGCTCTTGCTCTCCTCGTCGAGGTTGCGTTGGATATCGGCGAGCTGGAGACGGACGGCTTCGGAGTCGGGGGCGAGGCCCGAGAGCTTGGCGATGGCCAGGCGAGCGCGGTCGACTCGGCCGCGGCTGCAGTCGAACCGGGGGCTTTCGGGCATGAACAAGATGGTGGTGCCGAGGAGGAGGGCCCAGGCAAAGGACAAGCCGTTGGGGACGCGCCACGAGGCGCTGCCCGTCGTGGCCTCGGTCCCCCAGTTGACCATCTCGGCCGTCCAGATGCCGAGGGTGATGAGGAGCTGGTACGAGGCGACGATGACGCCGCGGACGATGGCTGGCGCGCACTCGGACTGGTACATGGGCACGACGACGGACAGGGCGCCGATGCTGACGCCGCTGACCAGCCTTCCGACTGCGAACTGCGCCCAGGAGTAGGTGGAGGATATCTCCACGACGGTGCCGACGCACGTGAAGAAGGCGGCGGCCGATATCGTCCACCGGCGGCCCATCAGGTCGGCCATCTTGCCTGCCGCGAGCGAGCCCATCAAGGCGCCGACGCTCACCAGGCCGACGATCGTGCCCTGCCTGGCGGCGCTGAAGGCGTACTTTCCATCGGGCTGCAGCTCGCCAAACCGCCGGGAGTAGTCGTCCATGAGGAAAAAGCCGGATATCTGCCCGCTGCGGCGTCTTGGTCAGCACCACGCGCACACGCTCTGGGCAAATACACACGGTCGGGTCGGGTCGGATCCGGCCTACAGCCCGCTCGCTCAAGAGGCGACGAGGCCAGCGGAAGAGAGAACCGACCTGATGTAGCCAAAGATGAAGCCGCCCAGGCTGGCGACGCCGCCCTGAAAGCACGCCAAAAAGGTAACCCTTTGCTCGGCCAGCAAGGCTTGTCTGCGATCCTCTGGCTCCCCATTGTGCGCGTCGCCGCCTGCAACCTCTCCGTGTACTGAATGTCGCTTGGACGACGCCATGGTGGTGTCAGGGCGCAACCGAGGTGAGGGGGGCGCAGCAGCCGCGTCGTGAGGCGAAGCCAGCAGTCGACGATAGGAAGACGGACCCGAGAGCGGGATGGAATCAGGCCTGGACGCGTCGACAGGTTCAACGTGGAATGGGAACCGCTGGCGGCGAAGACACTTTGCAACGGCAAGAAGCAAGGAAAGAAGAAGAAGGCGGAAGGTGAAGAGGAGATGGCAAATGTGCCGCCCGTGTAGGATATATGGAGCGGCCCTTGCGCGCCCATGCATGCTACTTAGTAACTACATGGCATACAGGCACGTGGGCTGTACAGAGTCGCCATGGAACCGTTGTCGAGACATCGGGCCGATGCAGACAATCAATCCACTCCCGCCTAGCCCGAGTCTACTCGTCGTTGTTGTTGTATTCTGCACCGTCGTCGATGGTGGCCCACTTGGCACCTTGCCGTTGCCATGCGATTGCCGTTTCGCAAAAAAAACCTTTGATAATAACGGGACATGCCAACCCACCAAAGGATGACCAAGCACCAAGCAGGTAAACCACTCGAGTGGCGACTGAGTCGGGCCAGGGACGCGGGCAGACGGAGTCATGCCACGATCCACAGCTGCGGCTCGGTGTATACGAGGTCGACGGGCATGACTGCGGCGCGACCATCCATCTGGGGTCTGCTTCCCGTTCCTGGAAACGCCGGCGGAGGTTATTGGCGAGGCTTGTCTTGTCGTGCCGCCTGCCCGCCCGGATATCCAGTCCTCCTGAACCCATGTCGGCGCCGATAACCCTAACCCTATCCGCCAACCCTGAATCTCACGTGCATGTCCACTTCGGAAGTTGCAGGCGTGAGTGCATGCACGATGCGCTGCGTAGGAGAAAAAGCTTCCTGGGAGAATAGCTCAGCCTGATAAATGCAAAAAACCTCTGAGCTGCTGGTCGCCGTCCCCACGCACAAGTGGCTGACGGGTAGCAGTGACGTCACGGAGCCCTCGGACGAGGACGATGACGATGACGATGATGTGGCTGACCGGCAGCCTCGGGACGCACTTGACTCGACTCGTGTGGGGCTGGCAGGGGTGGGCGACCGACTCGGGCGCATTCCACACAGCCAGCCACTGCGGCGCTCCTTTGGGTTGTGGCTGGAGGGGAGGCAGGCTGCAGCTGCAGCGGTGGAAGCTGCACATCGCCGGCAGCGGGTGCGGGTTGCCCGATTTCCAATTTCTCCTTGTGATGTTTCTTTTGGCCCGGCCCGCATCAAGTGGCTGCTGGCTCGACAGCACCGCTCCCGTCCGTCAGCCAAGCCGAGCCGAGCCCAGCCAAGCCCCAGCCGAGCCGTCGCCAAAGTTTGTCGGCGCCCCGTGTCGTGTCGAAGCTGTTTGAGCAGCTCCGCTCGACATGCTTCAGCCAGGAAGCCGAATCAGTGCTCCTACTAGGCATGGCCTCGCGCCGTTGCCAATGACGCACTGCAAAGTGATTACCATTCCGTTGCTCCGATCACATCCAACGGCCCTGCCTGCCAGACTGCGTTTGAATTCACGCCCAGGCAAACCTCGAGCCGCCAAGCGGCAACGACTTGACGCCCCTGGCCAATGTACTTGGATCGAGTCGTCGTCATTCTCGACACCGGACCGCTAGAGTTGACAAGACCTTGTTGAAACCTACGCAGGCCGCGGGTTTTCGCATCACGACGCCTGCCATGGCGCAGCTCCATCAGCCTTGTGGCCGCGATCCCGACGCCGTGGCTTATTTCGCAGTAGCTGAAAGCGACGTGCCCGCTTCATTCGAGTGAATGGGGAGCTGTACATTTCACTCTTGGTCGCGCCCAGAGTCCGCGCAGAGCAGCCACCGAGACCTGCGAGACAAGCTACGCCCGCGGTGAGCATTGTTTTAAAGACGGGGACATCCGAGTCTTGCTCGCTTCTGGCCAGACTCGTGCCTTTTGTCACATCACCTCCATCTCAACACCAAGAATCTCGTGCTTCTTTTGACGACGGCTACCATGCTGAATCTTCGTACACCTGCTGGGCCCCGGCGAGTTGCGGCCTGTGTCCTCATCTCCGCATCCATCCTCTTGACAATCCAGACGCTGTTCGGGCCGACATGGCTGTTCAGCAAGGACACCAGTGGCGCTGCCAGTGGTCGGGACACTTGGGCACCAGGGTGGTCGTCTACACCTCAATGGTACAGACAGAATTCAAAGCAGCACAAACTCGTCGACTTCCCGAAAAAAGTGTGGCACATCGACGTCGGGGACCAGGTTGACCAAGAGGATTTGAGTCGCACAGCCACTTGGCTGGAGGTGAACCCGTCTTTCCGACAAGAATACCTCACTGGTGACAATGCAGAAGCTTTCCTCCGAGACCATTTCCCGGACCGCCCCGACTTGGTTGACCCCTACCTCGAGGTGAAAAGCCCCATCCTTCGTGCTGATATCCTGAGGCATCTCGTTCTATTAGCGAAGGGGGGTGTCTATTCCGATCTCGATGTCGAGTGCAGGCGCCCAGTGACGGACTGGATTCCTGAAAAATACAAGGATAAAGTCAATATCGTCGTGGGCGTTGAAGACGACATAGCGGGGCACGACCTCAATCGCTTGGCCAGTTGGACCATCTATGCCCGTCGTGGCAACCCCAAGTTCGAACGCGTCGTGCTCTCCATGTACTCCCGCTTAAGGGAGTATGCTGCGGCCCGCGGCGCAACGCTCGCTACAATAGGCACCGATGAGGCACGCATGACGTGGCGCGAGGTTATATCCATAACTGGCCCCCACAAGTTCACGTGCTCTCTGTTCGAAGGCATTGGCGCCGAGACCAACACCCATTGCGACATGACAAACGCAACTGATCTCAAGGAACCAGTGCTCCTGGGTGACGTGCTAGTACTGCCGGTCACCGGCTTCGGGACTGGCAAAAATGACCAACGAGATAGAATCGACATTTTCGTGCACCACAACTACAAGAGTAGCTGGCTGCATAACCTGAGACCCGAAGGGAGTGACCCGTCACCGAGGGAATGAAGGACAACATTGGCTTTTATGGAGACACCCGTCTATTAATCTGGCCGAGGAGAGGAGAGGAGAGGAGAGGACAATGCCCTCGCGCACGGCGTTGCGCAGACCAAAGTCGTCACTGGCTTACTTCACCTCGGCAAATGTCTCCAGTGCATCGTGCAGCCGCCCGAAAACACCGCCATGCCACTGCCTCACCTCTTCCCACTCTGGCTTGGGCAAGGTAATTTGTGCCATGCGCAGCCAGGCGCCGACAATCAGGTCTGCATAGCTAGCTTGCTGCCCGAGCAGGAACGGTCCGTCAGTGTTCCTCAGGAACAGCCTGGCGAGGTCGCCCAGCGTGCGGCGAAAGGATCCCGTGAGCTCCTCTCGCGCCTCGCCGGTCAAGGAGAAGTCATCCCAGGAGCTGACGCCGGCGCGGCGGACAAACTCGGCCCTTGTCTCGTCAGCGGTGGCGGGATCAAGCGGCAGACCGTCAACCATGAGCGGAACGTGGGTGGTGAAGGCGGCATCGACGTTTGTGTTGAAACGGGCGTAGTCGGGAAAGCCGCCGTCCGGGCGCTCCGACAGCGGCACCGGAAAGGCGGCGCTCTGGACAAAGGCGTAGTCGAGGGTTTGTTTGGGGAACAGATGGCCAGCGCCCGAGTCGGGATACGTGCGCTGCAGGTAGACGGCGATGTCGAAGGAATCTCCGACGGTGGCGCCTGTGGCAGCGTCTTGGATGATGGGCAGCGTGTAGAAATCGGTGCCGTCGGCGAACTGGCGACCGGCCGGCTCGCCGAGGCTACGACGAACTTTGGAGATGTCGGGCATGCCCACCCACGACGTCGAGTACGGGAGGCCCTTGAAGTTGAGCGCAAGCCGACTCTTCCACGGGTTTGGCGAACAGCACGTCTCGGTGACGGGGGGCCTGTGGGCAATGTCGTAGAGGATGATGGCGCCCGTCGAAGGTGAAGTGGAAGCCATGGCGAAAGACGGGCACGCGACTGATTGTGCTGCCAAGTGCGCGTTTGTGTATTGTGTTGTGCCGTGGGTGTAGATTGGGTTGGGATGGTTGCAAGTCTGGGTGACTCGAAGTGTGGCAACGGATAGGTAGCCGAGTCGGAATAAGTTTAGCCCGCGAGTTGGACTATTCCGAACATGTGACATGTGCAATACAACACCGTCTTGGTCTGAGGGAAGTCCCGGGCTCCCACTTCGTACTTGTGCAATCGTTCTGTGCCAAGTAGTGCAATCGAAACCGCATGGACACGCAGCAACGTCTTTGTCCTGGTTCTTTGCGGCATCGCGCACCTGACCAGCTGCTTTGTGGACGCGAGCATAGATTCACAGGCCGTGGGACTCGTGGAATAATGCAAGACTGTGAACACTTGCCAAAGAACGCCAGCACAGTCCAGGGCGTCAATCACGACTAATGAAACGGGAAAAAAAAAGAAAGGAAAGGAAAAGAAAAAAAGCGAATCCGCCCAAGCAGCACATGTATGTTCTTTAGAAAAGGGCCTGTTTGATAAATCCGCACACAGGCACCTCTGTGGTTCCGAACCCCTTTCGTGTTTTCTTAGAGACCATATTGTTTGCTTCCATCTCCTTGGACATCTTTGTAAGTAGCAAATGTAATGACCCTGAGCGTATTCGCAGCGCCCATGGGCGGCTATAAAAGGCGCAGCCATGCCCTGGGTCGCGCCTGGTAGTTTTGAACCACGACAAGTTGAAATCTTATCTGTTACGCATCTCGTAAAACTCCCACCGTTGAAAATCTCCAGATTCCCAGAATGGGCGGCAATTGTAGCAGAGACCGCCATAGTGACGATCACCAGCCAAGCTACCCGGCCACGTCAGCATATTCAGAAACGGCACGGGGTTTCCAGCCTGCCTACCCGGCCATGACGGCATATTCAGAAACGGCACGGGGTGTCCAGCCAGCCTACCCGGCCACGACGGCATATTCAGAAACGGCACGGGGTTTCCAGCCAGCCTACCAGGCCCCGGCAGCACATTCACAAACGGCACGGGGTCCCCAACCACCGCAGCGGCAGCAGCCAGACACGTCCCAGAGACAAAACACGTCATCCAATTCGGCCACGGCTCAAGCCCAAACGCTCCGGACAGACAGTGGAGACGACCCAAGTCGACTAAGCGCGCCATTTTCTCAGGACATGCTTCACTGCCAGCCTGAAGAAATGCGACGGACTCTTACAGTCAGACCAGACCGCCGCAGGAGAGCCGCCGGTCCCGTCTCACCAGTCTCTTCTCTCGGTCCGGACGAATGGGAGACGGGTGCGTACGGAGACGTGAGTCCGATCTCGAATGACGGTGAACAATCCTTCCCACGTATGGGGTAGACGCAAGTGAAAGAATGTCATGTTTACGAGAGCAGCAGGGAGTTGGGGAAGGGGGAAGGGGGGAGGGAAGGAGCTGATTGTGTATTGAGGCGAAATTATTCAGTCGCCGCTCTATGGCTTGTCCAACGCACGACCACACCCACGGTTGTTATCGTGAGACCCAAGGCAGAAGGGTGCTGCAGAAAAATAGAGGACTCTGGGGCCACAGAGGGATCGTAATGGTTGACTGTTGAATAGAGTTGATGCCGCAAGCGCTGTTGCCACATAGCCCCGGTCAGTCACAAGTCGCCTGTTTTGATTGATTTAAGCATAGTCCCTCGGACTGCTAGCGTGTGTGAGACTTGAAGAGTATGCAATCGTGTATGCCTTTGTTCGAAAGTGAACGAGCTGGTCACTACATTGTCTATTCTCAAGGTTGCCAAGGCCATTGTTCAGAGCCCAGACGTAGTAGCACCGTCCTGTGCTGTTAAAACCAACAACACGGCAGGCCGGCCATGGAAACAGCGGATAACTGCCAAGGTGGGTGATGATGGCATAAAGTATACTTGGTGGCCACGCATCTTTTGTATGAATTATACCAAGCACAATCTATAAGCGAGAACAGGCTCGCCTTGTCGATCAAGGCAGGCATGTCTTGTTTAGAACCATCCTTGACCCAGACTGCATATCAATACTCGAGGGGTGAAAATTACCGGATGCCACTGCACACCGCCCAACGTCAGCCAACAGCCGTGCCATGTACAAGCTTTCAAGGCGGCGAGTGTACTCCGTAGTGTAGATACTAGAGCCAGTATACGGTTGTCGTGTTGCAGTGCCAAGGAAATACTATATAATATTGCCCCTGTATTACCGTGTACATGCCGTATTAGGCCAAGCGGGGTTCTTATTTATGCATGCACACGGCCTTGGCTGCGACAACGCGGTTGTGATTGGCTGTGCACACGAGTCGAGGGCACAGGTCCGGAGTATAAAGGCGTCGAGTTGGTAACCTGAATCCGGTATTGCCTGGGGACCGGTTCGCTTCGGACGTGTATTTGCTATTGACTGTGACTCCGAAATGGAGCATCCACCTGCCTTTCGGAGCTTGGACGACCGCGCAGGAGTGAGAAATGCAATTTACAAGGCTTGCCGTTGTCAACTTGTACGGGGGAAAAGTCGTCTCGGGCGAGGAATGTGCTCCCAATAAAAGCTGCGCTTCGGTTGCTATGCCAAGAAGCAGTGGGTATGTTCTGCGAAGTACCAAGTAATGTTGGTAGCTTTGCAAGGCTCGTATCAAACATGTATAATATATCAACACATGTATGCATGCACATATGTATATATATATATATATATATATATATATATATACGCAGCTCACTGCCACGCCATGCCGAGTTCACGTTTTGACAGTCATACAATCCGTCCGGGGCGTATATGTGGAAACTGATCTGTTGATATCGTGCCTAGGGGAGCCATGACAACCACACTCCGGAGCGTTGGGCTGGTGGCGATGACGGCGTGGGCCTCGGCTCAGGCGCTTGTCATCGACGAAGCCACCTTTCAGAGGCACGACGGCAACATGACAAGCATTGCGTCCAGTCTCGAGACGCGGAACGAAGAGCTGCGCGCGGCTAGCTACCAAGCGCCCTGGCTTGTTGTCGGCAAAGTCGGCGGCTGCACCGCTACATGGCTCGGCGACAAGGAGGGCTGGAGTTATGTGCTCACTGCCGCCCACTGCGTCAAGTACAAAGGTGTCGCGACGGCGACGGCCGCGACCTTCACCGCGCCCGGAGGTCGCGTCATCGCGTCAGGCCGAGGAATCGCGCATGTGCCGCCGCAACGGGTCAAAATCCCCAAAGGCATGGGCGGCGCGTCCACCGACGTCGCCATTCTCAAGTTGCCGACTCACAGTGCCATGGTCGACAAGAACGGCAAGCCGTTGGAACCGCCGGTGCTCAACGACCAACTAGACGAGCTGGGCAGAGACGTCATCTTTGTGGGCTACGGGAGCTGGGGCGTCGGCCTGGACGGCAGCGGCGCGTACAAGCCGGCGCAGGGGGAGCGGCGGCTGTACGGGCGCAGTCGCATCGACAGCATCTTCGAGCTCGAGCACGGAATCGCCGCGAGCTATAAGCCCGTTGGGCCCTCGCCGTTCTGGGCGCGGTTGGCCCCGGGCGACAGCGGCTCGGCCTGGTGGCAGCTGCGCGACGACAAGGCGGTCATCATCGCGACAACCAACGGCGGCCGCTCGGTGGAATCGACCGGGGCACGCATATCAAAGCATATTGGCTGGATCAGGTCCGTCTACCCCGAGGCCAGGCTGTCGTCGGCCGAGAAGCCCCGGGGCTGCATTGTGAGCCTGCGGACGAGCGCGAGATATTGCTTGTCCGCCGACCAGGAGGCCGAGTACTCGCTCCCTCCGTGGATATACGAGCACGACGTCTACGTCGACGCTGCGCCGGGCACCGCGGTGCAGCTGTCCGACTTTGACAATCTCTCGTACCACCGCATCGCGACGTTTGTTGGCACAGTCGACAACGGCAGGCTCAAGTCGGTCCGGGCGGCCAACGGCGTGTTGCTCGACTTCTCGAGGCCGCATTCGATGCGCGTCGTCAGCAACACCACCGCCGTGGGCTGCATCACCAGCCTGCTGTCCGGTGCGAGATATTGTTTGCCTCCAGGCCAGCGGTCGGGCTACTCGCTGCCTGCCTGGATATACGCCCACGATGTGCAGGTTCACGCCGCGCCCGGAACGGCAGTCATGCTGTCAGATGTTGAAAACCTCGCGTACCACCGGTTCGCATCCTTTACCGGATTCGTCCAGAACTGGGAACTAACCAAGGTGAGAGCCCGCAATGGGAAACATGTCGACTTCTCGCGGCCAAGGTCCATGCGGGTCATCCAGCAATAATGCCAGCATACGGCTCAAGGCCACAAGGTCAGGTGAGCCTATTCCAATGGGCGAGAGCGGGCAAACACCAAGGCGCAGTGCCATTTGACAGACTGTGTTTTGGCGGACAGAAGAGTATTTTCAACGAGAGCAACTGCCAAGACCGTAATTGTGCAGAACACATGGGCTCAGTGTGACATGATAGACTGTGTTTTAGAGGACCAAAGAGTATTTTCAATGGGAGCAACTGCCCAGACTGCAATCACGCAAAGACTTCTTTTTGCCACAAAACGTATCCTACACTCGGCATTCTCAAACGTGCTCTTGACCCCGGCGCTTCATACCCCATACGCTCGTGGGCAACTCAAGGCTGGCGCCAAACGTTCAGCCAGACAATTGCATCATGTGCGCAAGAGCCTCTGCGACATGCGTGGCAAACTGCGCATCGTTGATATGCCCCGGCTCTTCCACGACCCGGATTCCCGTCCGGGCCAGGCCGGACCTGAGGGTGTCGAAGAGGGCGGCATCGGCAGCCTCGTCGTAGAACGGGCCCCCGGGGACAGACAGCATGCTCACGCCGCCTCTAGGAATCCAAAGCTGAATCAAGGAAGAGTTTTTTGCCCGCTTCAACTTGTCGCAGATGAACTCGGCAATGGCCTTGCACTCGTCCTCGGACGACCGGACCAGCGTGACGAGGGGATTATGCCGCACCCGGGCCCGATGCTTGTACCTGTCGGGGACGGAGGCCTCGGGGCCGAAGTTGGCCATGTCCAGAGCGCCAAGCGAGAGGATGTTGGGGATGCCGGCCTCGATCGCGGCGTCGAGCCTCGCGCTGCCGGCGGACATGTGTCCTCCCATGATGAGGTCGCAAATCTCGGTGGTTGTCAGATCGACGACGGCGTCTATTTGGCCGTTGCGGATCAGGCGCTCCATGGCCATGCCGCCGTGGCCCGTGGCGTGAAAGACGTACGTCTCGACGGGGAAGCGGGATTCCAACAGGCTTCGTAACGCGTCCACGCCGGGCGTCGTCACCCCGAACATGGTCATGGCAACGCGCTTCCTGGCCGGCCCTTCTCCCGGCTGGTCTTGTCGTCGTCGCCGGCTGGAGTAGGAGCACGCGGCGGCAGCGATGGCGGCTGCGGCATTGGCCAAGATGCCCCGGAGGAGATGGTTCAGACCGGCAATGTCGACAACCGAGTACATGAGGGTGATGTCTGTCTCGCCGACAATGGAGGCGGTGTCGCCGCTGGCAACGGTGGACACGATGAGCTTGGGGAATCCGATGGGGACGGCGCGGCGCATGACGGCCGAGGCCACGGCCGTGCCGCCAGACCCTCCGGCCGAGACGATGCCGTGGATAGAGCCGGCGGCGAACATGTCTCGAACCAGGTCGGTGGTGCACTCGGACATGTCTTGGATGAATTGTCCGCGGGTCAGGTGCGCGGCGTCGACGGCCGGGCTGCGACGAAGCAGCACGTCTGATACCGAAACATGGACATGACGGTTGGCGGCAGTCTTGCGACCGACGTCGATGAGAAGCGTCTTGACGTCGGGGTGTTTGCCGATTTCGTCGCGAAGAAATAGCAACTCGGTCAACTTTGTGTCGCAAGTCCCGATGATGGCAACCGTCGCCGCCATCCCGTCAGCTGAGCCATTGGCACAACGTTGGATGGGCTGTGATTGCTGTTCCCGCAGACGCGACTTGCTCTGCTTTGCTTTGATGGATGGTGGCGAGGACTTTTAAAAAAAATAATAATAAAAAACACGGGGGCTTTTTGATATTTCCCTCTTCTTGTTGGCCTTGATCGCCTTGACGAACTGCCCCACAATACGCGGGGGCGGGCGTCGGCGGCAAATGCAGGAACGCCATTCATCGTCCATCGTCACTTCCTCGTCTCTTTCCAACCCTCAAGTTCCACACCACGATCCTCGCGGCCATTGTCTCCCGCGAAAGCCAGCGAGACGCCGCGCGCTCTCTGCACCATGCCGCCGCCCACCAGCAGAAGAGACATCTTGGCCGGTCTCCGGTCACAGATACAACAGGGCAAGCCCATTGTCGGCGCCGGAGCAGGCATCGGCCTCTCGGCAAAGTGCATCGAGCAAGGCGGCGGCGACCTGATCGTAATCTACAACAGCGGCCGTTTCAGAATGGCAGGGCGCGGATCCTTTGCTGGCCTCATGCCCTACGGGAACGCCAACGACGTCGTGCTCGACATGGTAAGACGCAAGCAAGCCGCAAGTCGCAAGTCTCGGCGCTCCAAGGCACCGGCGTTCTAACCGGCATGGACCGAAACCTAGGCCGCCGAAGTGCTCCCGGTCGTCAAGTCGACCCCCGTCATCGCCGGCGTTTGTGGTACAGACCCGCTGAGGAACATGGCGTCCTTTTTGAGGCAGTTGCACGACATGGGCTTCTCGGGCGTCCAGAACTTTCCCACCGTCGGACTCGTCGACGGTCAGTTCCGCGCCAACTTGGAGGAGACCGGCATGTCGTACGACCTTGAGGTGGACATGATTGCTGCGGCGCACAACATGGGCCTGCTCACGACTCCCTACGTCTTCGACGTGCAACAGGCCGAGAAGATGACTCGGGCGGGCGCTGACGTGTTGGTCGCGCACATGGGCCTCACGACCGGCGGTTCCATCGGCGCCGCCACGGGCAAGACCATGGAGGAGTGCACGTCGCTTATCCAAGAGATTCGCGACGCAGCAGTTGCCGTAAACCCCGACGTCATAGTGCTGTGTCACGGCGGACCCATTGCCGCGCCGGACGATGCGCAGCACGTCTTGAGACGCACGACTGGAGTCCATGGCTTCTTTGGCGCAAGCTCCATGGAGAGACTGCCGGTCGAGACGGCCATTGCAGACGTGACGAGGAGCTTCAAGAACATCCGAGCTTAGGGCGGCGTCATCTGTGCTTCCTCATCCTTGAGTCGAGCAGAAATTCGTCACCGAGAAAACACCATGTCTCCGCATCGAGCCATTGCTTGCTGTCGCATAGCATACAAGGTGGTCCTGGTCTAACACACACGAAAAGTGTGGCGTGGGCCACGCCCAATTTTTGGTGTGACACTTGCTGGACAGGCCCATTTTGATCGTCTCGTCTGGTTGAAAGTCATGCAAGCAGATCTGTGCGTGGTCGATGATTTACGCCTACGGAACTCTTGGATACCGCCAGGCCCCAAGGGAGCCCGACCTCGCCTTCACATGGCGGCTCCCGCGCCAACAGAGACCCCGAAGGGTGAAGCTGTCTCGTGTGACTGTTTGAACGGTCGCTAGGTTAGGCCGAGGATGCCGGGCTAAGCAGCGTCGAGGCTCCAGAGCTCGTCCTACTACATGCCGCCGACATACATATAGATTAAGCACCCCCTCTGTACCTACTGCCGTCCTTGTTCCTAGAAGCGGATATTGAGACCTGCTTGCCTGTCGTCCATTCTTCCCAACACAGACCTTCTCATCGTCCACACGAGCATGTAGCACTACCACACCGTAGTCCTGGCCAAGCATGCCCCGAGCCACCACCGTCCTGCGACTGCTCAGCCTCGCCAGCTACGCCAGTGTCTGCCTCTGCCACCATCGTGACCGGCCTCCTCGGCTGCTTCTTGCACCAAACGTCCCACCAAATCAGCCGCGTGGTGTTTCAGGAAGCCGTGGTAAGCACCCGATCCCCCGGCGCTCCCAGAGATTATCACCATCGCCAACGAAGCAAAAGCAGGCACGCAGCGACAGGGGCCATTCGCAGCAATGCTGACCCCCAGTGACAAGTGTACAGCGCCACGCCGGCGAGTTGTGGATTTTGCACAGGAAAAAAACATACTCGGGCAGGGCTGCTCATCTTTTTGGCCACGGCTTCGTGGCTGCTGTGACGTCGCAGCTGCCAAGTAGATGCTCTTACGGCACGGATAGTCGAGGACCCTGGATGGGTACGTTCTTTGTATTGTCATGTCTGCCAAAGATGTCGCCGACTCGCTGCTACCCGAGCGCGAGACAGCATATACCACGTTCTTGAGATATATACAAAGAAAGATATCAATTCACACCGTGGTGCCGCGATGGGGCATACTCGAGACCGCTGGGCTGCGTTGGCCCGCTGCTGCCTCTTGTCTCAAACGGACTGTCGACACGACGACCAACCGCGGCCCGCCCTTGACAAACGTATGCGGATGCTGGCATTGATTACAGCCCACGTGTCCCTCGGCGCCGCGCTGACCCCCCGCGGGGACAAGAAGTTGCTTCACGGGGAGGAGCGGAAGATGTGGTTGTCGTGGTCGTGACGGTGGTGCCGGTGGTGCCGGTGTTGCCGCCGCACGGGCGCACGGTAGACGTCAGGGTGGCCGATGTCGACGTTGAAGACGTTGAAGACGTTGAAGACGTTGACGTTGAAGACGTTGACGTTGAAGACGTTGAAGACGTTGAAGTGGTGCTGTTGGTGGGGGAGCCTGATAGAATCGACTTGACTTCGCCAAGAAGGCCAATGTTGGAGTAGAGCTGAGACATGTCCCACATCATGATGCCGCCGAAGTTGGTGAACTTTTGAGAGAACTTGATGGCGGCCGCTAGCTTGGGGCCGCTCGTGTAGCCGCCTCCTGCGCCGGAGGCAGCCGGGATGCCGACGAGGAGCTTGACATTCTTGTTGGGGCTGGTCTTCTTGGCCCAGCCGTCCCAGACGTCGAAGTTGAAGGCGTCTTGCGTCGTCGAGTCTACCCTGAAGTTAGACACGCCGCACCAGTTGTTGTAGAACTGGATCATGAGAATGTCAAACGGCACGGCGTCGAGGGCGGCGCCATTAGCGGCGTCCGGGAAGACGCATTGAGGAGCGGCAGAGAGAAGGCGTTTCTTGTCGCCTGCGCCGTCCATTAGACTGCGAAGCTTTTGGGCAAACGCGGGCAGGTCATTCGTCGTGGCCTCAAAGTCCAGGTCGAAGCCGTCCACGACGGCGGTTCCGAACGGCCTCTTGACCGCGTTGCCGGGGGGAGGGCCAAACATGTCCCAGACGAGCTGAGCGGCTTCTTGAGCATCGCCCTCGTTGCGCCACCCGCCTTGGGAGTAGGTCGCGCCGCCGAGGGAAAGGAGAATTGTTTTGCCGTCGGCCTGGCAAGACTTGATGTCCTCCCTTGCGCATGTGTAAGCTTGCGGGGCGGCAGGGTGAGGGTGAAGGAAGGGCGCGGGTGCTTGCATGACTTACTCAATCTGCGGGCAGCTCAGGAGATTGGTGTCCTTGAAGACGGTACAGTTATCACCGGCGTTGGCAAAGTTGGTGATGGGAGGGTCGATGCCATTCATAAAGGCGATGAGGATTATCTGAGCAAGTTAGCCTGGGTTTGCAGCGAGGCTCGCTGTCGCCTGCGGTAGTCTCACGTCAATGTCGGGGTCTGGTGGAACGAGGATTAGCATTCCGACTCTGTGCAAACAGTCTTGGGCTGGCGTCTCTTACTGGAGCAGTATTTGCTCAGACGCTGTTGGGCAAGCGGGCCACTGCCTTGATTGTACGAATTCTGACCTGTTTCGAGGTTAGGCATGGCGAGATGCAAAAGGCTCGTCGGCGGTCGAGGCGCTCACCCCAATACACGGCGACATTCTTGGAAGATGCAGGATCGAAGCCAGCGAGGGCTTTCGGAAGCATGGCCAGCATGCCGGCGACAGGCCACAGGGCCACGGAGGACAACATGATTGTAGAGACAGGTGGGTGTCTTTTGATTTGTACAACAGTTGATAGGGGCTGCAAAGCACGGCGCGAGTAAAAGAGACAAGAATGTACTGAAGAAAGGATAAGACTTCTACTAGCTAAGAGAACAAAGAAGAGCAGTAGGGACCGGCTGTTTGAATCATGTCGTCCCCCTTTCCAATGTCGTGGATAGGGGCAAGATTGGCGCGTCTATATACCTTTTGCAAGAGGAATGCAGGAGCGAAAAGGGCGGCCCAGGTGACGCGTCTCCTTGATGGCCGCCAAGCCACTTGACAATATAATTATTAATTATCACCAGGTCACAGGGATGTGTGACGTTGGACACAGCCATGGTATCGACTCGGCCGTCTAAGCCATGCGACAGGCACGCGTCAGAACTCAGGAGTGTAGGCTGGCCCATTTGGACAGCGTCAGCTACGACCTGGAATGTAGGTAGGACTGGTTCTTGGGGATTTGAGGATACCACGTTCTGGATGGAACGTAGTCTTGGTCAATCTGAGTTGCCTTTCCGTCCACGCGGCGTCTCGCAGCAGACTCGTTGGTCGTCAGTTGATGTCTCGCAGGCCGGTCAGGGGGGGGGGGAGACGGGGGAGGTTGAGCCTCTGCAGTCGGAGCCGCCAGATGCAAAATCGGCGCCGTCGGTGGACCGGAACTAACGAGGTACGCGGGCGAGATGAGTGGTTGGTGTTGACGTTGTGGCAGGCAGGCAGCACGGCCCAACGCCGTCCCATGTGCGGCCTTGGGTCTTGCTCCCGCAGCTTGGCCATTCCGGCCAGTGCGGCAAGAATACTCGAGTCAGATCGTTTGATTGTGATGGAATCCATTGCGGAGGGATTCCCAGTCGGTCGGTGGCGAAGCCAAGCCATGTTGCCTTGGGTAGATGAACATGGCCACCACCATCAGCATGGTTCCTGGGACGTGGCTTCGACTTCACTTTCCATGCCGGCAAAGAGGCTGTCGCGACACACGACAGCAGGTGGCGCGCGCAGCAACGGAGCACGGACTCGGCCAGTGCATTGCTGGCCGCTGACCAGCGCAGCCAGCACCTCATGAAGTCTGCATGTCGATGTGGTGGTGATGCCGAACCAAGACTCGGGATCGAAGTCGTCGGGAATCGCGACACAGACCGACCAGCCCCGTCACCACCCGCCGCCTTTCCACTTTGAGCAAGCACACCAGCAATCGACTTGCATGTTATTCGCTGTTCCGCGCAACGTCCCCACATCACGCCACCCGATGCCCCCGTTGGCAATGTAGCTGCTGCTGCGCTAGCCTACTCAAGTAAAGTACCTGGCCAGGCCTAGAGCCAGGGCCGAGGCCGCCGCATCGGTTCCCAGTGCCTGCAAATGGCTGGTTTGCCGCGGGCTCCGTTTTTCGTACCTGCCTGCCAGACAGCATCAATTGACGTGCGGGGCAAATTCCCCACACCAATCAGCCGGTGCAAGGTCTGCCTGACATTGCCGGCTCGTCGGCTCTCCGGCTTCTCATCCGCCACCTCTCATCTCTCATCTCTCGTGGCATTAGTTAGTTAACTACATGCTCTCGCACGCGAAACCCACCGACGTGAAACAGCCTGCCCCGCCGCCCCGTTTCGCCCGCCTGGGAATCTCGACGACAAAAGTCACGCAGGTTATTAGACGGGGTGTCTTGTGAGGGAATCAGAATCGAGTCCTGGCGGACCTGGACGACGCCTCCCCCGCGTATTTGCCGGAGGGCGCAAATGGACGCAATGGAATGGACAGCTTGCTAGCTCGCTTGGGCGGCCTGAAACCCGGCTCGAACGTGACCGCAAACTTTGAAGGCACGGGGGAGAGATGTTCTCGCTGCCCGCCCGGGAGCCCCAAGTGCTGCTACATGGCAATGGCAGTCTTGGTAACGTTACTTGTGCCTTTGGACCTGGACCTTGGGCAATTTCCACACTTGCTCCAGTCCTTGCATTGATTTCGACCCTGTTGATTTGAGCCGAGACGTGACGTGCTGTCTCAGCCCAGGCTCTACTTTGCTAATCTGCAGTCTCCAGTCCGTCGTGCTCGTCACCGAGATATTTCTCTCTTGTACGTTTGTTGCTGCCGGATCTAATCTCGACCTTGTTGACGCTCTGCTGCCACGAGGCAGCATTTGCCAGCGAGACGCCCCCGTTGCCAAAACTATCAAGGCCTCGTAAACGTCAGCAACGCACTCGTTACGACCAGTCTGCCGTTTCGCCCGTCCGCCTCACTACTCAAGCCGGACTCTCGATGCGGGCATGTAGACACTGCCCTCTCGTATCCCCGGGTGTTTGCCGTCCAAAAAGTCCTCGGCGTAGAAGTGGGCTCTGTCAATCTTGGCCTGCTCGGAGCGCACAAGGCCCAGACTGCCGCGCACTAATCGAGGCGCCATCCCGTCAATGGTGTCGAGCGTGAAGCTGTCCATCTCGAAGGGGTCCTCGCGAACCATGCGCCGGCTCCGCAGCGTCTCCAGCACCTGCAGCTCATCTGCCGTGAGGTGCTTCTGCATGTCGTCGTGGTCGAGCGTCTCGGCTGCCGCCGTCGCGTGCGCGTCTTTCCGAGCAGACGCCGAGTCGAGCCGCCTGAGCTTGTCGAACAGGGCGTCCTTCTTCTCCGGCGGGACGTACGTGAACGCCTTGAAGCAGAAGGCGAGAATCTTGGATATCTCGGCCCGGGACACTTTGCCCGCCGTGTCGGCATCGGCAGTCCCCTGGATGACTGGGATTCAACAGGCGCCGGTTAACGCAGGCACTGGGGATGACGGGGGAGGGGGGGTCTTGTGCAGTTCCATACTAGGTTTGAAGAGGTCAAATGCCCTTTGGAAGCCGTCCTCGTCCATGTCCTGGATGACGGGCTCGTGCCGCGCGCGGATCTGCTTGGTGGCACTGCTCACCGCCAGGAAGAAGCGGGTGTAGCTCTCGACCGTCTTCTTGGAGTGCCACGCGCCGGCCGCCTCCTCGCCGCAGTCGCCCCTGATGGAGGCCGCGATGGTAGCCGCCGCCGAGAGGCCCCCGGTGACGGCGAGATGGACGCCCGACGAGAACAGCGGGTCGATGAAGCTCCCGGCGTCTCCGCAGATGCGCGCGCAGGGCAGGTGGTAGGTGGACGCCGTGTAGGACCAGTCGGCCGCCGATCTGACGTCGGGGACGAGCTCGGCCCCCGAGAGAAGCTGGCTCGTCCGGGGGGCCATCTCGAGGCAGTGCCGGTAGAAGTCGACGGTCGAGGGGCGCCCCAGCTCGCGCTTCCTGTCGGCCGCCATTTTCTGGTCTTGCACGATGCCGACGGAGCGCGTGCCGTCGTGCAGCGGCATGAACCACGCCCAGCCGCTGGCGTCTGTCTTGCGTCTTGTGTCAGCCAACGGCACGCACGTCGCCTCCCGTCCAAGTCGTCGGGAGCGGAGCCTCACCGTCCAGCGCCTCGAAATACGGCGACCCGTGCATGTGCGTGCCTCGGCCGTAGACGTTGTCGCTCCTCCAGTACGCCCAGAGGGCGGCGTTTTTGAAGTTTTCGTTGAACCTGCGGTTCTTCAGGTACTTGGTGCTCAGGATGCCGTGCCTCCCGCTCGCATCCACGAGGTACTCGAAGCGGATGGATCCCGAGGTGCCGTCTTTGCGGACCCACGTGGCCGACACGGGCCGCCCGGGGTCCGAAGTCCCGTTTCGGTTCTCGGTCGAGTCCGGCCTTTGCGTGCCGTCCGTCTCCGACGCAAAGCGGATCGCGTCCACCTTGGTCTCGGAGAAGACCCGAGCACCACAGGTGCCAGCGTGCCTGAACAGCAGGTCGTCGAACTCGGACCGGATCAGGTTCCAGGCGTATCCGCCGGGGCCGCCGGCCTCGAGAAAGTCGGTGTCTTGGCACATGTTAGCTCGGCTAGCGGAATCGGAATCGACACACGGCCGGGGCTGGTAGAGACTTGCAGGCGTCGGGCTGATCTTGAGCGAGCCGGAAAACAGCACCGTTCTATGATGGGGCATTGACTTGTTAACTCGAGACCCCGGGCGAGGCGCGGGCGATGCGGAGCAGGCCCAGGGGAGTACCTTGCGGTAGAAGCCGTGAGCGTCGACCGTGTCGTAAAAGTCGATGAACTTGAAGAAGTGACGCAGAGAAGGAAGCGTGCTCTCGCCAATGTGGTACCTGTCCCGGGGAGAGTGAGCCCGAGGGGAAGGGATCAAGGCAGCCCGGCTCGCCCGACACCAGGCCTGCGTGAGGCCGTGCCGTTGCTGTCACTGACCTGGGGAACTTGTCTGCCTCGAGCACCACCGTGTCGATGCCCTCGCGAGCCAGGGCCGCAGCGGCGTATGAACCGGCGGGGCCTCCTCCGACGACCAGGACGGAGCAACTTTGCGGAACAGCCATGACGGGCAGCACAGGAAGAGTCGGATGCGAGGTGGCCACGGTCTGCGGCGAAGCGTGTCAGCCCACGGGCCTTTAAATGCCAAACCGTGTTGGTGTCATCTATCTGCCGAGCCCCGTGCTGGCCATGCCCAGCTGAACAGCCGTGACCGGCAGTTGACCTCGAGATGGTGCAGTGGATCGCAGGCTGAGCCATCTAGACTGGCCGAGTTACATGGCGCACCTGTCCCCCAGACGGCCGTTGTAGACGGGGCATGAATCCTAGCTTCACGGATGCAGACCAGATACCGGTGTCGCACACGATGCAAGGTGGCATACTCCGTACACGCAACGTACTGTGGCGTGGCCACGCATCTCCTTTTAGTGAGACAGTTTGGACCCCCGCCTCGAGGGCGAGGAGGTTACACGACCCCATGTCACTCAGTTTGCTCGGCGTCGTGTGGGTGGCTGACGGCTCTGGCGTCGTCTCTCTCCAGGTTGCAGCAGCATCCAGCTTAAGTCACGCGCTATCCATCTGCCGCCGAGCCTCCGGCAATGCCTGCCGAGCGATTTGTACGGAGTTTGTGTCATGATTCTTACCTACTCTAGCATGAAACGGGCGTGCCCGCGCCGCACTGTCTTGTGTGTTATGCCACCTTGTGTCCCGTGACAGTATGTGCCTCTTCTCACCCAGGACCCATCGACTGCGCAGGCCAAGCACTGACTGGCGTGTGCGTATGGGGAAAAGGGACTTGCTTACATGGCAGGATTCATGCGCCTGCATTCCTGGTCGCATCTGTGCCGTGCCTGCATGCCCTATTACGTTTCTGGCATTGCGCTCATTTCTACATCCAACGAGGTGGCGGGCAGGTGGCGTCTCTCTGGTCACCGTGAATATATCCGTATACATATACATGTATAATACTACATGTACTTGCGGCACCTCATGCTGCACAGATCATGCCCGCCACGTCACCCTGCGTCCGCGGGAGTCCCTACAGACGGAGCAATGCCCCAGGGCCACGGGGTATCGAGGGTGGGTTTTCTCAAGCCCATGCGATGTTACATGCTGGTACGAGTCTTTGCTCCGAGCCGTGCCTGATCTCAGTGACCAGCCCTCATGGCAGTAGGCGCTGAGGCTTTTGCGCCGCGCAGACTCCAATGCCTCCGGGGACAGCAGCCAAAGATAGGCATCGCGCTGCCTACGTCCTGGTGTCTTGTTTGCGGTCCTCTTCCTCTTCCCGAGTGCTGTAGTCTCGTTCTCGTTGCGTCTCCGTACTTCTCGAGAGATTCCAGTATGCCTCCTGCCCTGGCAACGGTAGCCCGCCAGGCGACGGCTGATTCAACAGTCCGAGCGGGAACACCCGCGTGCGGACAGGGGCCCTCGTCATCGCTCAACATCTAGAATCAGCTCACACAATGGCAACGGCCTCGAGACAATGGCATGTTCTGCATAAACGTGGGACTTGAATCTCATGCGTACGGAGCCAAACAGCAGACTGGGCGTACAGGGCTCGGCACGACATTCTCACACATTGAGAGCCGGCCCGAAGGGGCCTCCCGGGGCTTCCCCCTGGTATGTGAGCGCAATCGATTTACGTAAACGGCACTGCGTTCAACGAAGCCCAGCGGAGCGGACCGCGGGGCACGGCATGGGTCAGAGGGCAGAAAAAAGAGCGAACAAACGTGCCAAGACGCCCGTCGGACACGGCAATCCCCGAGACGAGCGGACGAGCTTGGCGGGCTCCTGGTTCTGAAGCGTCGGCGAGTTTGAAAGTCATATATAGACGTGCTTTTGGCCCGCAAGCTTGGAACGCGTCGAGTGACAAAGGCCGTCTACTCTGCTTTCACGTTCTTACCCCTACTCGCACTCTTCCGACTCAGGCCCGGGACGGGACGGAACCACTCCACGCTCAGTATGCATTTCACCAGGGCGGCGGCCGTGGCGGCCATGGCGGCCCTGTGCTTCCAGGAAACGGCTTCCGCACCCGCGAGCTTTGACGACGCGGCGTCGACATGCGGCGCCCTTGGGGTCATGAAGGTTGACAAAGACTCGCTCCCGCCCAGTGTCAAACCCGACAATGTCCGCAAGTGCCTGAACCACCCGGAGAGCCTCTCGCGAGGAAACGAGGGCGGCGAGATATTCCGACGCCAATGCTGGCCGGGCGGAGAATACGGCTGCAGCAACGGCGGCTACTGCTGGACACAATGCGCCGGCCCGAGCGGAGAGTGGTGCTGGGCGGCCGAGGAAGAGGGCTTCGGCCCGTGGATTCGTTGTTCGAAATGGCAAGATTGCGACGCGAGCATGGCTTGCGGCCAGGGCAAGGTGTGCGATAGCTGCGGGTGCAGTTGCTAGTGGTGAACATGGCCGTCTCTTGTATCATGCGGGTGCCTTTTTCATGGGAACCAAACTTGCCTTGAATATGCTGTACTTTGGAAACCGCCAGGGCCACCGCGTGTCTCTGCAACTTCGGCTCATGTTGACTCTCACATGAGATGAACACACATGGCTGCCACAACAGCAAGTCAGGCGATTTAGTTGCACACGCATTGCCTCGCACAAGCTCAGTGTCACCTCAAGTCGTGCCAACCGAACCAGCTCCGTCCCCAACACAGTGATTTTCTCCAATGGCTACCGGCGCCAGTAAAGACACGGCTACTGATGACGCCGGGAAGAAAGCCGCCGGTGCGGGTGGGAAGACGGCTGCCACCGCCACGCCTGCATGTTGACGTTGACGTGATGAATTCGTCGAGGAGCTCCGACACCTTGCGGTGACTGCAGCGCCTCCACAGGTTTCTTTGCCGTCCCGAAGCGCCTCTAGGGAGGCCTGCGAGCTGAGGCTGCGCCTTCGGTGATGCGTCTTGGTGAGCCACGCCGAGATTTGAATTCAACTTGTCAACAATGCAGGTAAGCTGATGAAGCCACTACAGCTTGATGACATGAGGCTCATTTTCCTCGGGTTTACTGCCGGGTATGTCTTCCGATGGAAAGCCGGCAAAGCACCCCGCCTCAAGCTTGTCAACAACTACATTGTTGAAGGACTACATTGTTGAAGGGACTACATTGTTGAAGGGGACAATTGTTGGATGCTTGAGGCGACGTCCAAGACCCATGTCATGCCAATCGAAGCCTAGCAGCTGAAGAAGGGAGAAGTATTTGCAAAAAATCTAAATAAACGTCAGAGACCAGTTGGGTTACGCGAGTTATTTGCGTCTTTTTCGCTATACCTGGTGTTTTGGGCCCCATGGACTTGGAGCATACGACTGGATCAACGTGCGGACCAAGACTCGCAACCTCTAGGAGTTTGGCGCCATAAATGGTCGCAACGCCTTCCGATAGCTGTGCCGTGTCGAGCAGTGGCCGGAAGACACATGGAGTCTCGTCATGGTTTGAGATCTGGCGGAGGGAGTTTGGTTGGAAGAGACGATCAAGGACGATGGACGTTGTTTTTAGTGGGCAGCTCAGGTTGGCCTGGGCGCTGCTAAAGAATGTAGGCCTCCGACGTCGGCCCTGCACGGCGCCAGGTGCCACTCGACGGTTGGGCCAAGTCACCAGGGCACCACCAAAGCCCGAAGGAGTGACTTGTCGCAGGAGTAGTCAAGCGGGATAAAATAGTGTGGGCTGATAGGGGCGCCTGTCTCGTCCGCGCAGTGTTGTGCCACGCCCGTTTTTGGGTGTGACATGACGGACTGCGGAAGCTTAAAAATAGCCCGCCCTACTAGGTATCTTCCCCAGGCTTTTACATCAGGCCGGGTCCGAAAACGGCGCTGTTGAGGATGGGCCTACCGGAGCGAGATGGACCAATTGCGATTTCCGCTCCGTCTACCTGACGAACGTGTGCCGACATTTCCAACGACGGCAAGAGAAGGGGAATAAACACCGAGAGCATAATCAAGACTATAACGCTACCAAATATCACAACATTGCCTGCAGATAAATTTCATCTTCCTCTCCCAACAATACAAGAGTATGTCTTACGAAAGGGTATATTAATATTTTACCAAATTCTTTCTTTACATCTAACAAGGTAAACTACTTCCCGTCTTCCTATTACCGTAACACACCGCACATCTACTGTCATCTACTGTCATCTCCAGATGACAGCCCCGCATGTGACGTTTAAGTAGTGTGTCACACACAATGGGCTTGATGCGCACAGGGCCACAGCGTCGGTGCAATGCGTACGGAGTACGGAGTAACAAGCGAGTAACTACTCCCCACTTACCCGCGCGCCAAAATACGTACCTACAAAGGTACTCCGTACCTGCAGCTTACCGCCCGTCTCGGCAGAAATATTCACCGCTCGGCAGAAAAGTTGCGACGCCGAAATCCAAGTCGACAGCCTCGATCTGGAAGCCCTCTCCCTCCCGAGACCGCTACAGAGGCCCGCCCACTCGCAGCTCCGGTTGGCCATGAAGAAGGAAAAAAAGGGCGGCGGCCCCTCGGAACGCATCGCCGATGCGCGATTCTCCAGCTTCGAAACCGACCCCCGGTTTCGCCTTCCGTCCAAGAAGCGCACCAAGACCACGTTGGACGAGCGGTTTGCCGGCATGCTCCACGACCAGGATTTCACGGCCACCGCTAGAGTAGATCGCTACGGGCGCAAGATAAAGTCTGACGCGAAGAAGAAGGCGCTCCAGCGACTGTACTTGCAAGAAGAGGAGGAAGGAGGACAGTCTCGAGACGCCGCGGCCGACCGTGATGTCCGAGTCGACGACGACGAGCTCGTCCAGCGCGAACTCCGGGCCGCAGACGAGAAGGAAAAGTCGGCCGCCTACGACCCGGCCCGGCATGGGGGCTTCTCTTCTTCGTCAGAGTCTGATTCCGACTCAGACTCGGAAGAGGACTCGGAAGAGGACCAAGACGAAAGCGATGTCGGTCTCGTCTCCGAGGGCGACGTGCAAAGGTTGCAAGACGAGCAATCCCGTGTTGAGACTGGCCATGTCACGAATCGAATCGCCGTTGTCAACTTGGACTGGGACCACGTGAGAGCCGCCGATCTCATGGCACTCTTCGCCAGTTTCCTGCCCACCGGCGATGAGAGGAGCCGCGTTCTCAAGATTTCCATCTACCCCAGTGAATTTGGCAAACAACGGATGCGACAGGAAGAGCTGGAGGGTCCTCCCAGGGCTTTGTTCAAAAGCCAAGGCAAAGACTCCGACGACGAGAGCGACGGCGCGAGCGACAGCGAAGACGAGAGGATCAAGAAGGAGCTCATGCAGGAGGGCGACGACCAGGATTTCGACAGTGACGCGCTTCGAGCGTATCAGTTAGACCGGCTGAGATACTACTACGCCGTCATGGTGTGCTCAAGCCCCGAGGCGGCTCAAAAGATTTACGAAGCTACGGATGGCACGGAATACCAGTCCTCGTCAAACGTCATCGACTTGCGCTTTGTCCCCGACGACGTCACGTTTGATGACGAGCCTCGTGACGAGTGCGACAAGGTCCCCGACTCGTACAAGCCCGTCGAGTTCGTGACCAATGCTCTGCAGAGCTCCAAGGTCAAATTGACCTGGGACATGAACCCCGACGAGGCTTCACGCAAAGAATCCATCAACAGGGCATTCACCGGCAGCCGGGCCAATATCGAGGAGAACGACCTTCGGGCTTACCTTGCCAGCGACAGCGACAGCGACAGCGAAGACGACGAGCAGAGCTCTGGTCAGGCCAATGACGAGGACAGGCGAGACGCAACGGACGGGCCCAAGTTGTCCAAAAAAGAGCTGGCCCGCAAGAGAATGCGCGAGGCTCTGGGGCTGGGAGATGAGGCGGCTCCTAAAAAGTCAAACGACGGCCCCCTGGGCGATATGCAAATCACATTCACCTCGGCCCTATCCGAAAGTAAACCGAAAGACGCCGACCAAGAGGAGACGACAATCCAGAAATACAAGCGCAAAGAAAAGGCGCGCAAAGACCAGAAGCGACAAGCACACAAAGCCAGGCGTGAAGCTGCCTCGGGCCCAGCCCCGGGCAATGAGGAGGAACACGCCATCACCACCGCTGCGGCCGACAAAGACCTCGGTTTCGACGACCCTTTCTTTACAGCAGAAGACACGTCCGCGCCGTCCAAAAGCTCCATCCGCAAGGAGGAGCGTCTCAGAAAGCGCCAGGCCCGCGAGGCAGCCGAAGCAGAATCAGCTGCTGCAAAGAGCCACCTCGTAAAGGTCATGGCTCAAGACGCCCGCGACACACAAGCGGACCGCCTGGATCACTTTGACATGAGCGAAATTGTACGTGCAGAGAAGAAGAAGAACAAGAAGGGCAACAGAGATTCTGGTGACGGCACGGACAGAGGCGGATTACAACAAGACTTCACCATGGACGTGGAGGATGATCGGTTCAAGGCTGTGTTTGAAAGCCACGAGTTTGCGATTGATCCATCCAACCCCAAGTTCAAGGCGACGGGTGGCATGAAGAAACTGCTGGAAGAGGGTAGGAAGAAGAGGCGCGTGGGCGACGGAGAGGACGAGGCGAGCAGGAAAAAGGCGAAAAAGGGGCGGCGGGAATGCTGAAGAAGGAATGTATACAACCTCGTTCGGGGGACAGCCTCCTGGTGTCGGCGTCGTTATCGCTGCAGTTGTTGTTACCATAGCACACGTACTTTGAGTTTGCAAGTCCAGTCCATGCATGCATGCACGCAACAGACTGTCTGGATTATACTGTGGGACGACACCAGATTGCCAGTTGCCCAGGCCAGGCCGGAGCGGCACATGGAGATTCACCTCACACGGTCTCGCAGCCGGAGAGAGCTCGCGACCACAACCACACCCACACCACCACACCACTCCCGCACCCACCGTCGCACCACATGGCGGCCGGTTGCACAATCGACGGTGACTGGCAGAGCCGGACGGATCTGCAGCTCCGGTCAGCACACCGAAGAAGCTCTGGGTGGCTGCACCGTTGCACGGTACGGCCAGCGCGCGGGGGTAGCATACTCCGTAGCAACGATGCAAAAATGGTGTTTCGGAGCGTCACCCCTCACCAGACGTTTCGAAAGGTCGTTTGCATTGCCGGAGACGGCATCTACGCGTGCCGGATGACCGCTCGGGCGGGGAAGTGTCGTGTCTCGAAGCCTGGGTCAGCAGCGGTTTGCTGCTTGCTGCTCGTGCGGGCGAGAAGGGGAAAGGGCTATTATTCTATTTGAACGCTCAGTGGGTGGAGATAAGCATCTCTCACCCACGCGCCTGTGTGATCTGATCTTTTGCCATGGTCGACTTGTGATGGCAACCACGAAGACAAGCGCCGCATCCAATCGACGCCGCACCCGCAAACCGGCCAAGTTCCATCCTGGCCCGCCCGCCCACGGGGCTTGGGGCACTTGACGCCGTTGACCATCGTCGCGAGGCTGATGCTGGCGCACACCCACCCTATTCCGAGCTTCGCCACCGAGGCGACTTCTCTTGACAGCACAAGGTGGTTTGCATTTTGTGGTTCGTCTTGTGCACTTCAGACCGCCATTTCGTCTCATGACGGCATGAAAAAAATAAAGGGTAGCACGTTGCACCTTTATGAGTCCCCGGCCGGAAAACATGTCTCGTCTTTCTTCTTCGGGTCGGCGGGGGCCATCTCACGCCCTCCTTTTTTTTTTTTTTTAAACATCTCGCCCGCTCATCAGTGCTTTGCGAGATGCCGGCTCAAATCTAGCCCGCATCGCACCATGATGTACGGCCTCTCTTGCACCAGATGCTCTCTGTTCCTCCATCGCCCCAACATTCACCCGTGGCTGTTGTTCCGTCGTTGAATCAACAAGTCCTACCGACTGGCAAGAAACTCACCATGGCGGACGCATCGCCGACAACTCCCCTCATCCGACGGCAAGACCCGCCCCAGGTTCTGCCTCAAGTAACGAGGCTTCAGCACATCTCAGTCGCCGCTGTTGCGGTACTGCACATGCTCCGGGGCGCTGCGCTTCTTGCCTGTCCAGCCATCGCATTATCAAGTTTTGCCGTGTCGAGATCCAGCACAGCCATCTTCTTTACGAGCCTGCTTGGGGTGCGAGACATTGTCCTGGGAGGCTTGTTGGTCTTGGCCGATCATCGACGAGGCTATGAAATGCACAGGGCGCTGGGCATTGCGCTCTTCAGCGATTCCGTCGACACTTTCGTCCTGATATTTGCCGTGGCTTGCTCGGCCCGTCTCAAAATCCCTGTCCCCGAGATGCTGTCCGTCGTGTTGCTGGCTATTCTAGAACATCTGACCTTGTGGAGCTTTGACGACGAGAATGACGATGTGCCGGGTCCTTTCCACGAAGCAACCGTTCATGTCTCGAGACTCGATGATAAGAGGTTGAGATTGGGCATGTGGCTTGACGACTTGAAAAGGGCAGAGTCGCTGCAAGAGGATGCATTTTCGTCCTCCAAATCGCCACTCTCGTAAATGCGAGCCCCAGAGCTTTTGGGGACCAGCGATTCATCATTCAACTCAAGTCGAACAATACTTTTTTGCTCGGACGCCTAGACATGCATCGCACCAACAGCGTTGTCTCCGCCACATTGCTCCGTATTCAAGACACAAGGTGAAGGCAGAGCCGCTGGTGCATGCATGCATTCGGACTCGCAGAGTAGAGCAGCAAAAGAAGCGCTACGTCTGGTCGAAGCAAAGCATGCGCCTTGAAACACGGAGAATCCAGACGACGTTGCCGAGTACGGAGCCGGAGCACTCAGTAGTTGTGTCACAAAAATGTGAGACTCATCATCAACCTGCAGTTTTGTGCAGTGGAGCCAACCCCTTCGTCGCAAATCACTTTCATGAATTGCTTCTTTCAGTGACGTGTCAGAGGCTGGATGCCGCATCGTCCAACAAACGGGTTGCAGATGGCGGCCCCGCGGCCGCGGGCTCGCCATCTGCGCCTCCACAACGAGTCTCATTCTGAGCATCATTACTTTGCCCAATTTTTTTGGGTGTCTGTTCTGTAATGACTTTCAGCACCAGCGGAACCAGCGGACTCATGCCAATCATACTGCTTATAGGAGGCGAAATAACTTCAAGCGTGGTGCAGAAATCACGAGGAATCCTGCCAGGGCCAACCGGGAAAGCACGCCGATAAATATATGACAGGTGACATGGTTATCCTTGAAATATGATGATATTGAGCTGTCCAAATTTCCGAGTTATTAGATCCACGGTCGCAGCAGCGTAAATATGGACAAAAATGTGATACATTGTGCTCAAGATTCCGTGCCAGCTCCCTGTCATATTGAACAGCTTTTCCTGCGGTTTAATGCAGAAATCCCTTTTTCTTTTTTCCTTCGTCAATGCTTTTGGGCAGGCCGAGGGTCCAGATGTCTGTCCGATGCTGACTTGTCTCTCCCGCTCCATGCGCTCTGAATATAGTTATGACTTGCTCCTTTACTAGGCCGGACAAAGTAGGCTTGGGCTAAGCCAGAAGCCAGGCGACCAGGTCCGGATTCCACCAATTCCGCCATTTTCCGGTTCAGGTTTGGTGACTGCGGAAAGAAGGGTTAGAAACGTTGCGGTGCAGGTCACACCGTGATTTGACGCCCGTCCCGAGCGCCATCTTCGACTCAGCTTGAGATGGGAACAGAGATTCCGGTAAGCCACAACGGCTGCTACCTGGCAAGATCAAGGAGCTGTCAGTCTGCCCCATGCTTGTACATGTAATAGTAACAGAAAATCGGCGGGCTCGCTGGAATGTTGGCTAAACAGGACCTGTCACGAACTCATGGCCCGCTCACCAGCTAATTCGTACGAATAGTAAGCTGTGTTTATTGACATGGCAGGCCAGCCGATCATGAGTCGCATATCAGCCTATGATGTAAAAGCGAACGTGCAGTCGTACTACTAGTAGTAATGAGTGCCAGCCTGGGAGACACTCAATTCTCAATTTCCGGGAACCACTGGTATGGCTAGTAGTCGTCGAAGTTGCTGCCAACAATTACGGAGAGGCAAAGCTATTGGGGCCGTCAATGCCCACGGTCATGGGCTCGGTGATTGTGAATTCAAGCAAAGTCCGGCACTCTGAGAAGTGAAAGACCAGAATGGCTGGAAGCGTCCCGGAGATGTATTGTTGCAAGAAAACGTCTTGTACTAGTGCTCCTCGTTGAACGCACAAGAGCGACCATCGTGGGCTCTCAAGCAAGATCTCGTCAACAAGTGTATCGGTATTGCGGCTGCATCAGCATCTTGCTTTTTCGGGCAGGCAAGGGACCTGCATTGCTTTCCTTGTTTGAGAGAGGCAAACTGAGATATGACCAACCAACGAGGGTGTCCTCCACAGCAAACCAAGCCGGCCTTTTGACATCCAACACATAGAAAAGCCTCGCAGTACCGGCTAGCGGCTAAGTGGCTTGTCCAATTTTTAGTCGCTGACGGTAATAGTGTCAGACTGGTTACTAGTTGTACTAGTTACTACGTAGCACTAGATCGCCATGCCGACTTTCTTCTCCTGCCGTGTCTGTGCGCCGGCACGTCTCATTAGCAGAACTGTGCCGTACCCAGATCGGCGGCGTCAAGAGATGTCAAGATTAATAAACCTTTGAGGCTAGGATCGATCGCGCCATGTTGGCACCTGTAAATGTCGGCGCGCATTTTCCAACGACGCGGATATCGATTTGCTGTAGGATATTCGTTTTCCCGAATCCGTGGCTCTGGTTGAGACTGCGACGATGAGAAAGATGAGAAACAATTTTATTGTCCAACCTCGGATGACAAAATTCACAGAGAGATCCGTGCACACGCAAGGATTTTTGCGACCCATGGTTGATGGAATTTTAAAGCCGACATACGAGCTATGACGATACTATCGCGAGCGCTGCAACGTGAGAGTCTTGCGTTTCATGTTCTGGTTGCTCCGTACTCCGTACTTGTTTTGGTTTGTTTTTGCCAGCAGGGTCGCGATGATAGCCGCCGCTTTTGGCCGCAAAAAGCAAAGTCAGCGACGCTCTGTAGCAGTTGATTCTTTGCGAACCCCCACGCAGCAGAAGCGAGGAAACTAGGCTGCTCATTACCCGCATGAGTTACGGAGTACTGCATAACACTCCGTAATAGGAACGACAACGAGACAGGCGTCGAACATTGAGATGAGCTGCGTGCGATATATGTAGGTGTCATACACGCAGTTGCAAGTGGAAGGGGCTCTGTGCACGCAGTAGACGACCGACTGCCCGCTATTTCGTTCTGTATTCCGTACCACTTCGGTCGTCGGAAATTTGAGAAACCAGACAGTTCTCGTGATTCATTACGGAGTGCGGATACCGCCTCGTTATCTCTACCTCCCACGATATTAGCTGAGCCCTGACAGCCAACGCCGTACGTACAAGGCACTGTGCAACGGCAAAATTCGACAAGATCAGGGCCCAGGGGCCACCTGCAGAGCAAGGTGGCCCCGGCCCCCTGGCCCCCGGCACGCCAACGCTTTGATAAGCAACCTTTCGGGATGCAGTTGTGCGTCAAAGGGCGCTGAGGTGATAGCTCGGGCGTCATTTGCCAAGTCGTGAGGCCGGTCCAAACACATTGGCGGCGGCCTAGCAGGCTTGATGGCTGGCTGCTTTTACCCTGCCCTGCTTTGGCCACGGCGATACGTATATGGAAGTGGTGCGGAGGAAAAAACGATGGCATGACATCAACAGCATCGCATGCTAGGCGGAGTGGCGTGCCAGTTCGAGCTTGATTATTCCAACTTTTGGGCCTGGGACTCGTCCACTTTTCCATGGAGGTGGAGGCTCAACCACGTTGGAAGGTGCGCTCTACGGTCTACCACCACCACTGACCGACCAGTCAGCACGTGCTTTACATTCCACCAAGCCGGAAGAGGGAAAAGGAATATTCCGTAGTGGTCTCCAGTCCATGTGGGAGGAAGAAGAAAAAAAACCAGAATTGCTGGCTTGTTTTCGATGCTACTCCATACAATACTGTTGTTTCGGTCAGTTGTCCTATTAGCCAGGCCAGTTTGCGGCCACTCCTGCATCATCGCCTGCATCGTTCTCCGACCCGCTTGCTTCAGGTTTTATTGCGGATGGGTCATTTCAGTGCTGTCCTCTAGGTTAAGCAAGCAGAAGAAGGAGAGCCACCGGCAAACAAGTCACAGGTGCCCATCGCTGCCGCCCGCCGTCCTGGTCCTCGTGAGTCGTCAACGTCTGCCGCCGCCGTGGTCGAAAAGACCACGTATAAACCAGAAATCACCGAGTCACAAGCCAGTCTTGACATGGGCCAACAGGCCCGTCACAATGCTCCAGGTGGAATGATCCCCGGGCTTGTCTCCTCCGTTCTCCCCACCCTCGCGCACGGTGATACTAGCGAGCGGGTTAAACACGCAGGACACTACGGAGTTCCTGTCTTGTTCAGTCGAAAATGGAAAGAAAGCGACGTCGTTTACCAATCGGCTGACACGAGAGCATGCAGTAGGCGGCCACTAAAGCTGTGGAGGGAAAAGTATGTGGCCTCGCTCACTTGCTTCCCAAGCATACATGGGCCGTTTGAGGGGCGGCGCATTCACAACGCCCCAAAAGGGTTTGGACCCGTGTCTTTTCATCTACTAGCTCTGTCTCTTGACTCTTTTCGTCTTGTCCAACCAGCCATTCTTCACGGCGGGATCCACCACCCCTTGCGGCACTAAGATCGGACCCAGCAGACAGGCAACGAAGTCGGCTAGGTTTGGACGCGCCAAGGTGATCAGTGATCCGCGTGGCGCTGTCATTGCTTCAAGTCCGACCGGAATTCTGCCTCTGGCGAAACCCTAAAATATGGTGAAATCAGTATGTAATCGCTGACGAGGAGGCGGGGGGGGAGGAGACGGGACGCGGGCTGACTTACCAGTTCATTGTTCAACGGTCCCAAGCTCTCGCCCGGTGACTAGCGAGAAGGGGGGGGGATCGAAGGACTATGGAGTGCTCGTACTCCGTACTGTACGGTTGAATGTTACCGCATGTCGACTACGCCTTATGGCACAGGCACAGGTGGTACGACTCCCAGCCCTGTCTTGGTTGCCACACGACCTGCCAAGTGATCTACATTACAGCCCCTGGAAAAGGTAATTGCTTGAAGGTTCTCCTAGGCAGACCCAAAAAGCAAAAATTGGAGACAAGGGACTGGCGTCCAAGTTATCCGCGCGAACATGCGGATACTAAGTGGCCCCAACCAAGATGCACCCACTCACTCAACACGATTTCAACAGCAACATTGCTTTTCTCTCCTCCGAAAAAGCAGTTTCTGATCAAGTCCCAGTGATGGAGATCGGCACATTCAGCAACTTGACTTGGTGTCCAACCCCGCGATAAAGCCAGTGCCGTCCTCATTGCACGGTCCTCGCAACGCCTGGCAACCCTTCTGCGTGGCTTGCCGGCCGCGGTGAACGGATTCGAATATTTATCAAGCTAAACCCCCCAATACCTCGTCGTGTGGCCCCATCGTCCAGTGTGTCTTTGCTTGACAAGATCCCACCATCCGGTTTGTGCGCTCTGGCGTCGACAAGCTCCAGGCATCGACCCACGCGTCCTTTCGTTCTTTGGTCCATCTTAACCTTCATCCCGTCATTTGGGCCGTGAGGCATGTCCTGCTACCATCTTCCTTTCCTGTATTCTAGGTTGTGAGAACACAGTCAACACCGACCCAATGGGTTCGGAGTTTGGTATCACCCCTGATACCAAGCCAGCGGTCCGGCTTGATGGCGTGGGCGTCTTTTGGATCGTCTTCGCCGTATCATGGACCATTATCCTTGTTAGTGGCATGACATTCTTGTGGACGAAGCGCGATATGCCCATTCTCCGAATCAGAGGTCTCGGCTTATCACTTGCGGCCGTCACTTTTCTCCATTGTTATTGGTTTGCTGTCACCACAGGATATGTGTACGGTCCTTTAATGCCCGAGGTGGCCGAGTTCTGGATCATGAGCATCTGGTTTCCATTCGGTATCGCACTCTTCCACGCCTCCAACAGTCGATTCTTGTACGTTGCCAACGCCCAAAGGCAGTACGTCAAACGGACACTTGATTTGGAATGGGATGGCCAGCGTCCACGGATCCGCAAGACTCTTGTCGCCAGGTGGAAGATGCTTCCTTATACCCATAGGACGCTGATACCTGTTGGCTTGGGTATGGTAGCGCACGTTAGTATTCTCATAACAGGGGAAACCGACTCGGCATGCTTCACAGACTAACCGTGACCAAACAATAGCTTTCTCTTACCATTTTCATGTTCCTCATTTCTCGCAAGTTCCATCCTGCTTGGGGCATCTCTGGAACCGAGGTTACTGGCACTGCTATGGAGCAAAAGACTGAGCAAGGTCGTGGCTGGGAATGGTACGTTGCATTTTTAACTAATTGAAAAAAAAGGATCCCTTGGAGACTAACAAATGGGGGAAAAGGTGGCCATCAATCTTCTGGCAACTGTTTTGGGCCTGGATCGTTGCTCCCGTCATTCTGTGGCGCTCTCGAACTCTACGAGACACCCAGGGTTGGCGGACGCAGACTATTGCTTGCTGCGTGTCTGGGTAAGGAAACTCGTCTTTTTGCAGCCAGTTTTGACCAATTTTTTTTGTTCTGGCTAACTGTCATGATAGTCTTCATGCCTCTCCAATGTGGCTCATCGCTCTCTATGTCCCTGGCATGGCTCCTGTCAACAATTATTTCATCCCTCCGCAATGGTACGTGCACTGTGGGCTGGACTGACCTGTCATGTGGCTAACCATTCCCTTCAGGATTGCCGTTACAATCATGATGCTCGAGATCTTCACCGTATTCATTCCCGTCTGGGAAGTTCGAAGGCAACAATCCCTCTGCCAGGAGACCCTCGACTCGATTGCACGCTGGGAGTCTCGACAGAAGTCTGTTCAGCACAGCGGAAAGTCTCTCCACTCTGGCACCAGCTCCTCGTCATGGATGGGTCGTACCAAGGCTGGCTCAGTATCTACTACTGGGGGCAGCATCTTGACCATGGACGCCCTGGAGCACACCTTGGCGAAGAACCCCGAGCCCTTGCAGGAGTTCTCTGCGCTTCGAGATTTTTCTGGCGAGAACATTGCCTTTCTCACCCGAGTGCGTGAGTGGCGTGCTCGGTACATTGTCAACCCCACCCTCAGGGAACCCATGAGGGACGAAAAGGACAGCGAGAAAACCTTGACCCTCTCGCGGGAGTGCTTCGAGGGCGCTCTCCGCGTCTACATCGACTTCATCAGCAGTCACAGTGCCGAATTCCAAGTCAACCTGTCCTCGCAGGACTTCAAGAACCTCCAGGGTATCTTCGAGGGGGCCGCGCGCGCTGTCTGCGGCGAATGCAGCACTCCAGACCCAGCCACTCCTTTTGCTGACGCTCCCAAAGCTCCGAGCGAATCGGGCGAGACTGCTCGATACTGGGGCGACATCCCCGAGGCTTTCAACGAGGGTGTCTTTGACGATTCCGAAATGAGCATCAAGTACCTCGTGTTGACAAACACGTGGCCCAAGTTTATTAGAGAGAGGCGCTCATTCGACAGCGTGAGCAGCGTGGAGGCTGGTAAATAGGCGGCGACAAAAAAGACATCCGACGTATCTGATGTTTATGTATTTGATGTGTCAACATATGGGAAAGAATGAAATACCGGCATGGCCATTTTATTATTCTAGAATATGTATTTAATAGCCGCACGTGATACATGTTCACTTTGGTTCCCGAATCTCCGCACTCGGTATGAGGGGAGGTTGAGAAATCTTGTATATAACATGGAACCACGTCAATGCGAAGACGGCTCTATTGTCCGAAACGTATGCTTTCGTGTGCCGCGAGCATGGCTCGAGTCGAAACATAGGCAAGGTAAACAGTGCAAGGGAAGGCGGGCCGGATATGACGGGATGGAGTGACTCTGGTCATGGCCAGTTCACGAGCGTACATGATAACATGGCGCGATCCGACATACCTTTTCACAGTCCATACATGTGTCGACGGAGAGAGACCCGGAGACTTGTCGTTAACAACTGCTCGCTGACGGAGCAACATGCCATGCTTGATATAAAGACGACGGCCAAGCGCACGAGTGTTCCAAGCGAGGGGTGTCGGTAAGGAGACAAGACCTGCCAGACCTGAGGCCATTGCGGGAAGCGTCGGGCCAGACCCGTCATGTTTTTCATGGTCATGAGACAAGGTCACCGAAATAACCCGCGACAAGTACGTGCACTTAGTTGTAGTTGCATGTCCAGCCGGGGCGTTGAAATTGCATAAAGAATCATGGTTTCAGCCGCCGAACCGAGTCGGCTCCTGTAGGGTAGTGAGTAGCCATGTTGAGACGGAACTGTCGAGTTTTACCTGCTGATTGTCGATGAGGACATGGCGGCTCCCAATGACAGACGCTCGCTGGGTGAAGTGGAATGGGTGTCCGGAGGGCAAAGCAAAGCAATTCAAGGCTTCAAGAAGGCGTATCCTACCAACACGGATGGCGGATGTTGGACGAGCCGGGATGCAGATCAAGACGATGTGACGGGTACCTGGTTTGCGCGCGCTCTCAACAGGTCCGCTTGGTTGTATCGAGGAAGTATCAGGGCACTGCGACTTGGCCATATGCTCTGTCCCGTGAACGACATGTGCCTTTGGCAAGTGTCGCCAGTCTCGGGATGCTGGACATTGTTTGAGGCTCTGAGGAGAGAATTGGGGGGAGGAAGGAAGGAAGAAGGGAGAGAAAGAGGAGAGCGTCCGTCCACCACTTGGGTCGAAAGAAGCACCCCTTGCCTTCATGTCCATCCATGTCGACAGGCTCGCCCAGAACTCGGAAGGTGCTCGGATGGGCAACGGGCCAACGCTCCTGCCGCAGATATTTTGCGCACGCAGACGCACAGCCATCGACAAGCGACGAGGAGCGCCGCAATTCAGTTCTCGAACCTCGACAACGTCGCGGCCGGCGGGCTCGGTTCCCCGTGTTTTGCGCGGCGGCATTGTTTCGCAGAGAACGGCAAAGGCCAATCATGGCGTATTCCCAGTCGCGCACCACTCACGGCCGGGTCCCTTGACACGACGATCGAGGAACCCAAAACAGTCGCGGCACCAGGCAAAGTCAAACATCAAACATGCATATGAGAATCTCAGTCTCTGCAGACCCTCGGCGAAGGAGGCAAAGAAGAGAACTAACCAGCCAGCACGCCAGGACAAGAAGAAGGCGAGATGATGCACACCTGGGCGACGACGACGAAAAAGCACCGACGGCGTGCCTCCATCTTCCCCGCGTTGTCTGTACAACACCAGGCAAAGACAGGAGAGTGGATTGATGGGCGGGAAAGCAAATCAAGGGCGGTATTGATAGAGCGCATGTGGTTTCACTTTTTTTTTTGGTTGTCGCTGCGACGGCACGGGTAATTTGCATGGAGGCTCAGTCTTTTTTTCCCCGCGTGTTTCTGTATCCCGCTGCCGTTGTTGACATTGTATCATATCGGTTCTGTTGGGAGCTGCAGGTCCACGGACCATGCCCCCCCCCCCCCCTCAGACAAAAAAGGTGCACCGCACGGATGAAGACGGAGCACGGCTGCGGCCCGGGGAGGGAACTTTGGGGGTGGACATCGGGGACGGATGAGGCAGGCTGGTTGTGTATCACGGACGAGTGTGATTCAGGCCGGACGGAGAGATGGAGAGAGACGAAACACGACGAGCGCGATGCTGCTGTCACACTGGCCGACGTCACCCTTCTCCCTTTTGCCCTTTTTCTTGCTCGGTTCGTTGGTTTGCTCGTGATTTGACGCGGGACAGACGTCGAGCTCGGGCTTGGCTGTTTCGTGCCCGGGTCAAGAAAAGGGTGCCTGCCAAGTACGTACCATCCATCCATCGTGGGCAGGGCGGCGATCTAGAACCTTTGCACCGGGCGTTTTGGAAGTCTACCGAGATGAGACGGAGGAGAGGACGGGCATCACGAGCATCACGAGCCATCGCGAGCCATCGCGAGCATCCCCACCCCGCTGAAAGGAAGGGGAAAAAATAAAAAAATAAAAAAAATCACCCACATGGCAAATCTCCGATGCTGGGTGTTGATGCTTCTTTTTTTTTTGCAGGTCGCCGGAGGAGCCGGTCCTTTGAAACATTCTTCAATCTTGGTATTCGGTACGCAGGGCCCGGACGAGATTTGGCAAATCTCTCTTTTCTCTTTTCATCTTGGCCCTCGTCCGGTCGCCCGCTAATTAAACGGGCGTCCTCGTCACAATCCTCGTCCCATTCATCACCATTTCCCTGCCTCTCCGTGATGCCTCCCGTGCACCCAGTCCGCCCGCCCGCCGGGTCACCGGGATGATGTACAAGCAGTTTGCATCTGAGACAAGACCACGCACGCATACCGATCGCTGGGTACTCGGTACTGCTACTCTGTGCTCGGCGGTAGCCTACCTACCCTATCCTATGTATGATGCATCGAGCCTGCACTCGAGAGAAACCGCCGGCGAGCAGGACCTGGGACGAGGAGATGACCGGCGGAAAAGAAGGAAGACGGCAATGCCAAGCAACAGAGGGAAAGGCGCGCACCGGCGGCGACGGAGCTTTGGCTGGTGAGGCCGCTTGCCGCGTTGTAGAAACAAAAAGACCTGTCCCTTTTGTTTACTCGTGAACGGCAGAATTCCAAGACAAGGGCGTGTGCGTCAGGCACAGGAGACCCTGGCTGCTGACACGTGGATACGGAATAATAATGGTGTCTCGAAAGCCATGGCCTTCGAGCCAACAAGTCGCACAGCTCGTCGCGAGGCTTGCGAGCAAGGCCACGGGGAAAAGCAAGCGAGAGAGGAAGAGGCGGAGAGGCGGACGGGGAGGGGAGGGAGAGGAGGAAAAAAACAAAAAAAAAAAATTGACTTGCCCAAGCACACGAGGCAACGTGGTGAAGCAGAATGAAAGAATGCAGCCTGCCCAAGCATGTTGCGTGTGCGATCCGGGTGTCCGTCTGGACTTTGTTGTCTTTGCCACTGGCGCCGGCCCTGTCTTGGAGTCTTGGGCATTCGCATGGACCGAATTCCGCGGCAATGGGAAAAGCTGAATATGCACCGGCAATGGTAGATGGGCGGCGTTTCCCCCCAGCCAGCCAGCACACTCTCTCTCCCTCCCTCTTGTTGGTGTCTCTGTTTGTTTGCGCCAGGGCCCAGGGCGAACCGGGCGGACGGGGCTGCCGGGCTGTGCTGAAGATGACCTGTCAGTTGATGCCTGGTTACATGAGAGCATCTCGTCTCGCGGCCGGTGCATTTCAACCCGTCTTGATCACATTTGGGACCATGTGCGTCAGTCAACTCGAGACGGCGTTGCACAATTTTTTTTTTTAAAAAAAAATCCATTTCACAGACGAAACCAGCGCAGGGCCAGGACTCCCGTGGCGAAACATGTTGGAATGCCGTGCTATTAGCCATCTATTAGATTGTGTTTCTTGGGGAAAGGAACACGGGGCGACCCCAGGGGGTGGGGGGTCGGCGTGCAAGCAGCAGCAGCGGCAGCAGCAGCAGCATCATCTCGGCGTCTCAGCGTCTGAGCATCTCGGAGTGTTGGAGTTTTTGGACATCCAGGTTTCTGCGTGCGTGCGTGCGTGCGTGCTTGCCGTGCCCTGCCCTGCCCTAGATGCTCGCACGGGACGGGCTGGTATATCGTTGACCGTTGACTCGGCGCGCCTGAGGCATCAAGGACGTGCCTTCATTGTTCATCGGATCGATAACTACGTACTCCGTTCTCTGGCACACACGCATCGCATGACATTGCGGGCTGCATGCGCAAAAGACAAAGACTGCCGACCAGATGGGCAGGTACGTGAGTACGTACCTACTTGGGAAGTTGGGTGCCTACCGCACGATGTACTCCGTACCGTACGTTGCATGCAGTCTACTTAAGTAGTCTGTACTTGGGTATTAAGTAGTCAGTGTTTTGCTGCAGCGCCCTCGATTGCGCGCTCTCTCTCTTGTCGTTTCTTTCTTTCTTTCTTTCTTTTTTTTTTTTTTGGTGCGTGTGTGTGTGCGCGCGCGCGAGGGGTTTCCATGTTTCAACAGGCTTTTCTAGGCTCTAGCCACGTGGATGCCCTCGGCCGCTTTCGCACCACCAGCCACCAACCAACCGACAACATCTTGCGTGTCCCGACTCGACTCCTGGTTGATATCTGGCAAGCCGCGCTCAATGCTAACGTTACTACTTGGACTGCTGCGTCTCTCGCCCCGTTCAAGCCCCCCTCGCTCACTCTGCTGGCCGCCGGCGTCGAGCCGCAGCGCTACCGGACGTTGGAGCCGAGGGACCGCGTGGCTTGCCATTCGGAGCAACTTTGGGAAGCCTGCGGTGCGGTGCGGTGCGGGGGAGTCTGGAGGTTTTGGGTTTTGCCTACGGACTAGTTACTACTCAAGTACTTGGCTGCTGCGGAGCACGGCCAAGTTGGTGCCAGCGCGACGTGATGTGACGTGACGTGACGTCTTGCTGTAGATTGTGCATGCACGGACACGACAACGCCGTACGGAAATAGACAACTTTGGGGTCCTGACTCCTACGAGGCGGAGCCGGAGCCGCGCTGGCCACGGCGGCCAGGCTTCCTCGCATCAAGCGTCAATCGTCAATCGTCACTGGGCCGCGGAAACCGGGGTGGTGGGGGGGCAGTGCAGACTGCAGAAGTTTCGGCAGGACAGCACGGCCAGGCGGGTTTAAAGTGGTTCTTGTTGACGAACCTTGGCATGAATGCACACACATACATACACGCTGCAGTCTCGCCTAGTCCTGCGGGCCTTGCTTCAATCGCGAGCCGGTGCATATCTTTGTGGCAGCAACAACAACGGGGAAAAGCTGCTTGACCTGGGCACGGAGCACGGTAGGAGTCATGGTCCAAAGAAGCGCCCCTCAGCCACGCGCCATGCAGCTTAAAACCGGGCGCCAGAATCATGTCGTCGTCTTGCCGACGCGGCTGGTGCTTGCCCACCAGCCAGACAAGCGCAGCCCCTCGTCCGTCGTCCGTCGTCCGTCATCCGTCGTCTGTCGTTGCCCTTGCTGCGTCAACGGCTCCGCTTGCTAGCCAGGAACTCGTCCACACCCTTCCGCTTCTCTTCCGTGCCGAATGTGGTGTAGTACAGCTGTCGTTCGAAGAGATCGTCTCTGCATAGCACGTCGGCTGCAAAGGCAAGCATACAAAGAACCGTTAGCCTCATGGCTCTTTCTTCTTTTTGATAGTTTGCTTTTCAAAGCACTCTGTGTTTTCCAGTGGGGAAAAGAAAGAGACGAAAAAAGAAAAGAAACAAAAGGCCGAGGCATGCCCTCACCTCTACAAATGGCCTCCCTGGCCAATTCAAGCGCCCGAGGCCCATGGGTCGTCAGCGCCCTCGCGGCTACAATTGCTCGCTCGAGCAAGGCACCATCGTCCACCACGTCGCACGTCAGGCCCCATGCCAATGCCTCGTCGCTCGTAATTGGCTCGCCCGTAAGAATGGTGCGCATCGCCTAAAGAAAAGGGAAAGCAATGGAACAAAGAGGAAATGGCGCTTAGCAGTATTCCCGACTGCCCTCCAGAACCGTCAGGGTGACTTGCTCGAAACTTGCCAACCGCGGCGGTTGGTCGCTGGGTGCCGCCAACACCGGGGATGAGTCCGCGCTTTGTTTCTGGAAGCGCAAAGTATGCAGACTTGGAGGCGAAAATCAGGTCACACTAAAATATCCATGGCTCCGCGCGTCATGTTAGCCACATGGTTGCCTCTGATTCTTCACGCGGCCGAGGCGACCCAGAAACGGCCCGGGCTTGCCGCAGCATCGGGGACGGGGGCACGGAGGAGAGAGTCAATGTTTCTCACCATGAGGGCCACTTCGAATCCGCCGCCAAGCTACCAAGACGCAGCGCGTTCATGTCAGGGGGGGGGCTTGGAGCGGGCCGACGATCCCCTAGAGGCCGTGGGCCGCACCACCAGCGAGCGCACGGCTGGGGAGAAGGGAGGGGGTCTGCCTGTCTGCCTGTCTACCCGTCTGCCCGTCTGTCTGGTGGCATTTCCTCACCGCTGGTCCATTGACGGCGGCCATGAGTGGTTTTGCGAACAGCGGCCATGGCGACGCACAAGTCCTCGAGGAATCGACAGGACCGGGCGCCAGCGGCGTCGAGCTCGGCAATGTCTTTGAGATCGGCGCCGGCTACGGAGAGCGACAAGCTCCCACAGGTTAACAAGTCGTCGCGAGAAGCATCGTCTTGCACGCCTAGCTGGCCGCAGGTGGGGCGACAGCAGGTGAGACCGGCAAGCAAGTCGTGAGGACTGGGGAGTCGGGACAGCTGGTTCAAGTGGCTCACCTGAAAAGAAGGTCCCGTTGCCGGATATGACGATTGCTTCAACTGCCGGATCTGTTGAGGCGCCCTTCAGCTCAACAAGGAACTCGTCCAGAAGCCGTCGAGACAGGGCGCTGCGCTTGCCGGGTCGGTTCAAGGTGATGAGCCTGACGCCTTGGGCAGGTGACGTGGCTTGGACAGGACAAGACCAGATGTAGACATGTTTGCTTGGTTGATGATGGATGCTTTCGTTGGACTGGGCGTCGGGACCTGGAAAGGTGACGGATGCGATGAATGGGCGAGTAGACACGACTTGTGGATCGGCGCGACCAATGGCGTCGTCGGAGTTTTTGGATATGGGTCTGTTTTTATGGCCCCTTCCGTGTCTGCAGCCCGAGGAGAGGCGAGGCGAGGGGAGGCGAGGGGAGGCGAGGGAAGGCAGGGCAGGGCAGGGCAGGGCAGGGCAAGCCCAGGCAAAGCGAGGTGACAAGGCGTTGAAGATGCTGTTCGGGGAGCTGTTCTGGTGCACGAACCGACGACGAGGAGGAGCCTGAGGGAGGAGGCACCGTAGCTTTGTAGATGGACAGAGGACAGATGGACAGATGGAACGGGGGCGGGGGAGGCAGGCAGGCACAGGGATGGTTGATGGCACAAGCAAGGAGGCGCGTAGTACGGAGTAATGGCAATGGCAATGGCAATAGCATGGGCAATGGACCATGGGGCCATGGGCAATGTGTGCGCGATGAGGTGGAATGCGCTGCCACCTCATACCAAGATTCGATGTCTGGCTCGATGGGTGCGTGGTCAGAGGTGGTGTGTTCGTGGTGTCGACTTCTCGAGTCTTGATAGCCCCTGTGAGGCGTGGCGGAGTCGACAGGATGCGGCTAGTAGCTACAACGTCAACGTACGGACGGACGGAGCATGTACAAGTCCAGATGTGGCAGACCAGCCACTTGCAAATTGGGCATTGGGGCGCCGGGGGGTTTGGCGGACAAAGGGGACCAGCCGGAACATCGAGCAAAGGAACCGAATGGAACAAGTCATTTGCGGCTGACGAAGGGGAGGGCAAGAGTCTACACGTACACAAAATAGTCGAGTGCTATTATATAATAGCTTGGAGCTGACTGGACGCCAAGGCAGGGCAGAAGTAGACGCCGAAACACCATGTCGGGATGTTTATGGATGCCAGCAACCGTGAATGTGAAACAGGATGGAAGCTGAAATGCGAGAGAACATGAAGAAGAGACGATGGAAAATTACGCCATCAAGGACGAGATGGAACAAAATGAAGAATTAAACATAAACAACAGCATCAATCAAACAAATAGATACATGAGTAGCGCGTTGTGACGCTTTGCGACGCCTTGGTGACGCCTGGTGACACCTGGGGTAAAGTTTGCCAAGTTTGTTGCGTTCTATGTAACTACCTAGGTAACTACGTAACTTGTCAACTGGTCCCTGTCTAGACTGATCCAATCCAGGGCCCACGGACCAGACCACCAGACCACCATGCATGTCCTTGTCCCAGTCCGACGAGTGTCCGGCAAGGATCAACTGCAACGAATTCGCTCCTGCCTCTCGATGTATTTACACGTGAGCACGCCCGTAACAGCGGCTGCGGGGTTTATCTGGAAACACGCCAGACTCGACAGACGGACATTGACAGACAGACGAGAATCAGGCGAACCGTTCAGTTCAATGCAATGCAATGCAATTCGATTCAATGCGATTGATGCTGGACCTGCTCCTTCGTACTGGCAATCGATCGGGCCGTGCTCCGTAAAGGGAAGGAAGACAGGGAAGACAGACAGACTAAGCAGGGCAGGGCAGGGCGGGCAGGTGCCAGTCTCAAAGGTGGGGCGGCGGCGATGGCATGGAATCTTTGTTCAACATGGCAGGAGCGACCAAACTAAAAACTAAACTAAACATGTTCTCTGCTCCCTCTGTCATCTGGCCTTTGGCATTTGACGTCTGCCATCTGGGGTCGTGTCCATCATGCCCATGCTCGTGCCCATGCCATGTCTGTGCCCATGCCCGTTTGCGAACGTGGAGCTTCTCCTCTTCGCCTCGCACCAACATCCATCGCCCTTGCTTGGCTCCTGCCCATCACCTACGTACCGAGTATATGCTGACAATAATCAATAATGCAAACATGGCCTTGGTCAGTTCTTACTGCAAAGACTGCGTACTCCGTACCCCAAAGTGCCTATGCGGCATTCTTTATTTGGCATCACCCTTTCAATCTCACTTGACAGCCGCCTGACCTGCATCGACTGTTCCACCCACCGCAGGAACAAAACGAGACAATACGTACAATACCATCCGCCTTATTTTGAGCACCTCGGAACGTGTACGCAGAGCCGCATCGCATCGCATCGCATCGCATCACGTCACGCCGCGAGGCACCGCCAAGTCCGCTGTACGCGCCGGTGCGGTGCTCTGCGGACAGGTTGAACTCTTCAACTTGGCGTGAGCTACCTGGCTGGCACTCAACTCAAGCTAACACGACACCTGATGAATGGCTTCATCTCGTCCCGCTACTCTTCATTGCCATGGACGTGTGCCAAAGGAAAGTTAAACCGGGCCAAGCACAAGCAGCCTGGGCCACGAGTGCATAATCATATTCTGTCACCCAAGGATCAGCCAAGTCGCAAGGGCCAGCTCCAGGATCATCCAGATAACCGAAACAGTTTCTGGTCTGATTGCCTCACCGTGTGTCAGAACCCACGCTGACTGTATGCGACAGCGCGAAAGCCACGTTTGATCGGCCGATGGACCTGCCTGAAGTACCAGGTGACTTCTTCAAGTGCGAGTAGAGATCATGCAGGCAGCGCGCCACACACACATACACACACACACACACACCTCGACACCTCGACACCGGATCAACTACCTAACTGTACAACGCTCGCTGCCCCGTACATAAGCTCCGTACGCTTGTCCTACGCACATTGTACGCATATCCTGCGACTTCTCCGTACCTAGGTACCCGCCTGCCTTGACGCCTCCCTACTAGGTAGCTCCTAGGTAGGAAAAGCACAGAGATCTACATCCACGGAGAAGAAGGGGTGAGGGGGGTGAGTTTCGGCGGCGGCTGTTGCCACACACGCCTCTCCGGTCAACTCTAAGTTGCTTTCGCCAGCGTCAACTCCGACCAACTCGCCTTGGTTAGTCTGTGGTACCGGCCGAGTGGATCTCTCCGTCACTGGCTCTTCCAGTAAGCCACACTCACCTCACCCCTGGTGTCTACCCGGAGTCGTGGTGTTGTTGGAGTGTGGGGGCATGTGCAATTGACTGAGACTTGAAGAGACTCTCTACCGAGTACATTGATGGAACCAATGCCAAGGACAAGGAAAACGTTGCACACAAAGAAATGCAAAGGAGCCGGGCTAGACTTCTCACATCTGCAATATGACATGGGTTCCTCCAGATTGCCAGTATGAAAGCTGTCCCCATGCTACTTTAGCATACCTTGGAGGGCTTCTCCATCCCACGACACACGGACAGACGGCCATCCTCCCATCCAACAAGCCAACCCATTTCTCTGCTCCTCCTCCGCTGGTCAATCCATTTGGCATCTGGTGGATCAGGGCTAACTGGAGATACCTGGCATGTCTCACCCATAGGTGACTGCGCGATCGAGTTTTTCTGAATTATCAACCCGGCAAAAACACCTGCACTTTGAGAGTCTCATAGAGCCCTCAAGCCTTCTACTTCTGGCTCAAGTACCCGTCACTACTTTACTACTGGCCCTTGATGGACCTCCCGCTTCCCGCAGCGGCATTCCAATTCCACACGAGATTTGCTCCTCCGGGCTATAGCAGTTTGCCATCCGGGATACATGTACAGCCCCCCCGCCGGGGTTTCGCCATCGACATACACCCCCGGGCCTAGCTACGGAATACTATTATTCAATCCTCTGCAAGCACTTTTCAGTCCAATTATTTGTTTTATTCTATTGCGTCTCATTTCACCTTGACAAAAGATACTTTCGGGCAAAGGGGACGGGATTTGGCAAACATACACAGGAGCGTATGGTCCGTGGTTGCATCGACTGAATCTGGGTGCTGGGCGAGTGCCTGCATCTGCCCAGGGAGCAGAGTGGTTGGTGGTTCGTGATAGAGCCCGGATCTGAAGATGAGCGACAGGAAAAAAGCCCGAACAGCAAACCTTATAGCCCAAATGGCAACCATTCCACCCCCAGCCCCAAGGCATCATATCATACCCTGCTCGTCCAGATGCACGACGGACAAACCGTTCTTTCTACTATTATTTCACGCCATCGACACCCCGGAATGAGATACCGTCGACCCTTGCACCCCTCCCCACTCCCCACCTCGCCAAAAGGTTGAGATGGGGGGTGCGCGAATCAAAGCCCGTGGCCCAATATGCCTCCAGACGTCCAGTCCAGTATGCATTATACTGAGGTGTATGGCTACTCTGCTTGCCTGCGCGGATCCTCTATGCTCACGTCTCCAAGAACCATCGGTAGTCGTTGGGGACCCATACGTGTTCACGCTCCCTGAGTTCAACTGGTTCAACTTGAGCCACAAACCAATTACCCCGGTCCAACAAACATGCGCTTTCTCATGTAGCATGTAGCATGCGGCATCTTTGTATGCGGGCCCGGTATCAGACTAGGATGTGCGATGCCAGTATTCTCGCCCAGCAGCTTCCCACAGCCTACCCCAATGACCCCGTTGATATGACCGAGTTGCCCGGGGACGGAGCGCCTTTTGTGAGGAGGAAGAAAGGCAAACGAGATCAGGGAATGCTCTGAAAAACTATTTAAAGGGCCATTCCCGCGGCACCTGCCGGCGACGGAAGCTGCAAGTCCAAGTTTTCCTCTTCAGCTACTACTGCATCTCTCCCCTCAGAGTTGACCTCGGCCGTCATCATGAACAACTCTAGGAAACCTCATGATACCTGCACCTCACCTACAAGGGACTTCACTCACGGTGAGGCAGTGTACTGTCCCTTCCCAACAGTCACGTCTGCCTTCTTCCACCATGCTGCCACTATCCCCTCAGTCAAGGCCGTCAGAGACCTGTCTTCTGGCATCGAGAGGGTGCTTACATACCGGGAGCTAGCCATCCATGCCCAATCACTTGCTGCGCGGCTGCGAAGGTTGGGCGTGGGCCCTCACCAAACCATCCCGCTGGTTGTGAAGAGAGGGGCTGAGATGGTGATTGGCATATTAGCCATATTATCCTGTGGTGCGCAGTACGTGCCTCTGGATGGTGGTGTAGTCCCGGATTCTACAATCAGACTTGTTGCAGAGCAGTGTGGCGGCCAGACTGTGGTCTGTATAACATCAACCGAGGGACGCATCAGAAAGCTCCTGCCCACGCTGAGCCCCGTAGTGGTCGAGCACACTCCAATTGAGGACGAGAAATATGAGACCCCCGAGTCTTGGGTTGATGCCGCGTCCGCCGACTCTGGATGCTACGTCATTTACACTTCTGGTTCGTTCAAACTCCTCGTTTGCGGGTGCCACAAGTCCATTTGCATAAAGCAAATGCTAACAAGAGCCGTGTTTAGGAACCACGGGCAAGCCCAAGGGTGTGGATGTCACGCATAAAAACGTAACCAACCTTGTGTGCCTGTCTCCTGGTGGGTTGGGCATCCGGCCGGGAACGGCAGTTGGACAAGTTCTGAACATCAGCTTCGACATGGGTACGATTTGCCGTCCCCCCGAGAGTGCGCGTCCTCTAACAAGGGCGAATTCACTCTGAAAGATGTCAAAGCGACTTTGTGAGCTAACCGATGACGCAGCCGCTTGGGAGATTTTCTCATGTCTTTGCAATGGTGGCACACTTGTCCTGAGAGGCTCCAAGTGGGAGCGTACGGTGCGCCAGGTAAGGAAGGGTCTCCTCGCAACGAAATTCCAGCCAGTATCGGAAACAAGCAGCTTGGCTGACAGCAGCGTTCCTGTCTTACCAGATTGACGTATTCATTTGCACACCCACGATTCTGTCAAAGTACCACCCCAAGCTACATCCCAACATCAAGGTTGTCGCAACCGCTGGAGAAGCTACCTCGCAGGATCTGGCCGATCTCTGGGCAACTCATGCAACATACTGGAACTGCTGCGGACCAACCGAAACAACCATTGTCAACACAATGTCCAAGCATGTCGCTGGCGAGCCTATTTCCATTGGCCGCCCGACTCCCAACAACTCGGTTTATATTCTAGACAATGATGGCCGAGCCGTACCTGTGGGTGTGGCTGGTGTGATGTGGGCAGGCGGCCACGGTGTGACTCGTGGCTACGTGGGGCTCGAATCCAAGACAAAGGAAACCTACATTCCAGATCCCTTTGCAAATGACGGGTAAGTAAGGCACCGCAGGAGGGAGGAGAAGGGGAAAAAATAAAAAAAAAAAAGTCACCCACCCGGCTGGTGTGAGGCAAGACGGGCTAATTGGTGTCTCACATACAGATCCAACATGTACTGCACGGGCGACCTGGGGAGGTGGAGAGAAGATGGGAACATTGACATCTTGGGCAGAGTCGACGATCAGGTCAAGGTCAAGGTAAGCTCAGCTCAGGTCCTCCCAACATCGACGGCGGCCTCGGACGTTTTTCCATGGCCGTTTCAAAGGCTGACTTGGGGCCTTCCCGACTACTCTAGGGTTTCCGAGTGGAACTGGATGGAATATCGTCTTCTCTGGCTTCCGCGCCTGGAGTTACCCGTGCAACCGCCCTTCTAATCGAGGGAGACATCCATGGGTTCACAACGCCATCCGGCCAGGACGAGGAATCGATCCTCGCTCACACCAAGAAATTGCAGCCGTACTATGCCATTCCGTCCAAGCTTCACCAACTGCAAATGTTCCCCACCACCGCCAATGGGAAGATTGACAAGAGCGCTCTTCGTCTCATGGCTCTTGCGCCTGAATCAAGGCACGAGACAGAGAACTACGACGAGGAAGCTGCAATCGGCAGCGACCAGAGCACCCTGGCCGAGATCAGGTCCATATCGTCCTCGTCCACACTGACAGAGCTGGAGAAGCCCAAGCTCGACCTTTCGAGAGACATTCCGGAAAAGAAACTGCCGAAACACTTGCGAGGGTTTCGATACCGGATTGCCATTGTTTACCGATTTCTCTTCAGTCTTGTCGGCCTGCTCAATATCGGCGCCCTTGTCGCCCTGCTGCTGGTCAAGCCGGGGGCGGAGTGGCTCGCCACCCTGACGGCGGCAAACTTGGTCCTGGCCGTCCTGGTCCGCCAGGACGTCGTCATCAACGTGCTGTACACGGTGACTTGCTCTCTCCCCAAGACGGCTCCCTTGTGGATGCGAAGGCGCTGCGCAAAGATTTACCACCTGGGTGGTGTTCATTCCGGCGCCGGAGTCTGTGCCACCTCGTGGCTTCTCGGGTCCACATTCCGGTCGACAGTCGCCTACACGCAGAATAAGACGAATGATTCCATCGCGACCCTCATGGTCTCATGGATGCTGTGTACACTGTGCTGCGGCTTGGTGGGATTCGCCCATCCTACATTCCGCAAGAGGTACCACAATCAATTCGAGGCAATTCATCGGTTTGCTGGCTGGTCAGCGCTGGCCCTGTTCTGGGTGCGCACCATGTTCTCGGTGCGAGACGTCACGCCTGCCGGCGAAGACTTTGGGCTTGCTCTCGTGAGGACGCCGGGGTTCTGGATGCTCGGCGTGGCCACCTGCAGCGTCGCCTCCTCGTGGTTCTGGCTGCGCAGGGTGCCCGTCAAGGCCGTTCCGCTCTCCGACCACGCAGTCGTTCTCTCATTCGACTACACGGTTCCCGTCAACGGCAGTTTTACGAGAATCTCGAGGCGCCCGCTTTTCGAGTGGCACTCGTTTGCCACGATCCCCGCGCCCGAGCCATCTGCCATGACGGAGAAGCCCGGCTATTCTCTCGTCGTTTCAAACGCCGGAGACTGGACCAAGGATTGCATCCGCAACGCCCCTACCAAGCTGTGGGTGCGTGGTCTGCCCACGTGCGGCGTCATGAGAATTGCCACCCTGTTCAATCGCATTGTTGTCATCGCCACTGGCTCCGGAATCGGCCCTCTTCTTGGTCACATTGGCCAGCCCAGCTGCCCGACTCAGCTCATCTGGTCAGCTCCCAATCCCGAAAAGACGTTTGGCAAGAAAGTTCTCGACACGGTGTACGGCTCCATCCCAGACGCCATCATTCACGACACCAAGCAACTGGGCCGCCCGGATCTGGTCAAGATGGGCTACAACCTCGTCAAAGACTTCGGAGCCGAAGCTGTGATTATCATTGCAAACGAAAAAATTACCAAAAAGGTGGTTTACGGCCTCGAAACACGAGGAATCCCCGCATATGGCGCCATCTGGGACAGCTAGACCGTCGCGCAGCTGTCCTTGCACTTGCTCTCATTTTGGCCAATTCTTTTCCTCGTCTATATTTTCTACTCGATTCTTTTTTTTCTGTCCTTACACTTCTGGCCCGTTGGAGGCCCATACCCTGGCCCCAGACCCTATTCAATTGATACCCTACCACTCTCTGTACAATGCCCGAATGCCAGTTTTTGCACATATCAACTGCGATTGAACTATGGGCGGTCAAGTCAATTTTTCTCTTTTTTTGTTTGACAGATTCATTGTCATTCGCAATCAACAGCATGGTTATATGGAGCACGGACGAACATTTTTGATCTAATATAGAACTTTGCTTTCCCTCGCTCTCTCCGTCTCTCTCTCTCCCTCCCTCGCTCCCTCCCTCTCTTTGTTTATTTTCCCTTGTTCTGGCATGGCGCATCTTTCTTTTGGTTGGGTCATCATGGCGCATCTTGTACTTACAATGCAAATCCAGCTGCCACAGCGGCACAGTTATTAACAGGTATTTTTTTCCTGGTCATTCATTCGTATTCTGTATCTTGTCCGGATGCATTCAGGGCCCCCCCTGCTAGTCGTGAGTAATGTCGGGGAGGTGACCGGGGGGGGGGGGGGG